CAGTCAGCAGGCAGCACTAGCAACGTTAGCAGCAGCTGCAGCAGCAGCAGCAGCAGCATTAGGAGCAGCAGGAGCAGTAGTAGCGGTAGTAGCAGTATCGTACGGTGGGGTGCGTGTGGGAAGGTGTTGTGTTTCCATACGCTTTTATTTGCCTTTTCGTTCTTGTCCTCATGTAAACGGAAGTATGCACATGTTGCAAGTCGTTGACATTTTGCTTCCGCAATCTGCTTTCTAGGTTGCTTCATAATGTTGTTTCCCTTGGTGAATATTGATCCGAGGAAGTTGCCGGCAGCGCCGTGCTGCACGGGAGCCTCCTCGTCGGAGTCAGAGTCCAGTCCGGCGAATACTCGAGGCGATTCGAGCTAAGATCCTTAGGTGCAGGATGCTCCAGATGCCTGTGACTGTAGGCAGCCCAAAGTGGCCATGCAAGAAGATGGAAATCCGGAGACTCCAACGCCGTGGGTGAAAAGCACGGCTTCTCGTTTCACGCCAGGTGTGACACTTTCCCTGTTAATCTTCTCGAGATCCCCAACCCAAACAACTCCTGAGTGCACGTCTGGAAGAAATGCTGGGCCTGAAGCACTGCAGTGGCACACGCTAAAACTTTGAACCGCAAAGTCGTAGACATCCCCAACTTTACTTTGCACACTTTCCATTTTAAAGCCTGTCCAGAATCGAATGAAGGCTGAAGGTGGAGGATCTGGAACACAGGGTTGGGAGTTTTGCCAATAGGTCCCCTGGTCTTGCGGCCGTCCTGTTGGCTGACTTGCTTCATTCACCTTGGAGGTTGCACTTTGGAGTAAGGCTGTGTCACGACTCTTCTCGAAGCTGAAGGACTCTGTAGGACTCTGTAGACACTGTAGACTCTGTCGGGATCTAGCTCAGCGGTTACGAAAGAACAGAGCAGGAGAGGAAGTGTGTGCCTGCTCAGTGTTCCTAAACGTGATTCAGCCCTGACACAGCTTGTGTTTGTGCTGTTGTTAATGGAGCTTGGGATTCGTTTTCCTTTTTGCGCGTACAATGCCTGGGACGAGAAGCCTTCCGGCTGGAACTTCTTGTTTCGCACTGTTGGAGCTGGGAGACCTGCGGGCAACGTTGAAAGCCGCATAGCATGCCGCGAGAGCTCGGCAATGCAAGACCTGCCCTAAACCCAAAGCCTTCAAAGCCCAGGCAAATGGATTCCCAGCTTGGTCTTGTGCATCGTGTGCTTTGGGAATGCTCTTGCCACGGCGGCTGCATGGGACCAAAAACACCAAATGACCTGCTTGCCTGAACCCTAAATAGGTTTCAGCGTTGAAGTCCTAATACGCTTTGATTGAGCCTCTATGCCAGCAAGGTTCGTGCACACTATCCAGGGCTTTAAACAAGGGCTTCCATGAGGGTCCGGAAGTTTTCAGCGGCCTCTTGATGTTCCGATCGTTCGCATTTTGAAGATTATGGTGATTGTTATCACCAAGAGCATACAAGAATGAGTATGGGAAAGCATGGTTCCACTGTCCTTGTTTGAAGATAAGTCAAGTCTCACACTTCTCAGGCTCGAGTACGCTACGAGTCGCCGTTGTTGTTCTTGTAGGGAAAAGCTGCAGCCCGAATGAGTGGCTTTAGGTCACTTCCGGGACAGTACCAACATACGGGAGAATCGGGGAAGGCTTGGGGTCCCTGGAAGGAGAAAGGGAAACTTTCTGCATGACTGCAGCACAGGCCTACATTTGCATGGTCGGTGACTTGATCTCCATGTGCTTGCCAGGCGGGTTGACGGTGGCTGTGAGCAAGCAGCAAGCTGACATCACCGTGTAACCAGCCTGTTCAAGCAAGAGTACCCGCAGAGGCTTTTGCAACAGCTTCTTTCGTCCTAGCCGCAGAATGCAGTCGGATTGTAAAGGAAGCAACAGGATGTCACACCTGAATCAACCACCACGCTCATTTGTGTGCAAGGGTTCGTTTTGTGATGTCTGCTTTGTGAACCATCCTTCGTCTTTATCCTGAGCCGTAGTTTGACACTGCAACAATACCCGCCCCAAACCGTGAACCCCCGAACTCCAGCATCCCAATTTGTGAGGATTTGGGATCTCTTTCCTCAGTCGCTCTTCGTGCATCGCCATCTTGGCCGTCTCCTGACCAAAGCTAACGTGTTCGGAGTTCGGGGCCTCTGGTCTTGTCTCATCTGCTGTCGCAGCTTAACATCTTAGAATCTTCTCATCCCAAACCTTGAACCTTCTACATAATTCAAGGGATGTGGTCCTGACTCGACCGCAGGCGTGACAGGTCATCATTCTTTCTCAGAGTTGTCGGCCCAGGTTTTCCCTTTGCTGCCGCTTTGTATGCTGTGCCTCAGCGGCATTTGGTAGTATATTCGTCGAGGAAGCGGGAAGTATTCTAGCTTCTCCCAATGGGAATTTCCGAAAATAAAGGTACCTCATTTTGGGGTCCTTTTTACAGGGATCCGACTTTTTAGGGTACTGTATTAGGGCCCCCTGTTTTCGGAAACCCCCCCAATCGTAGAAATGCAAGGGCCAGAGTGGAGAGAAGCTGGCGCTCGAAATCAGAGCCGTTGTCAGGAAAGACCTCTCTGCTTTGGCTCCGACATCATTCTTGGCGCTGTTAGCCGTGTCCCTTGGATTCCTTAGTGTGTGTGTGTGTGTGTGTTGCCATGAAGCCTTGTGACCTTTACTGCCATGCGACTAGATCAGAGCCCTAAACCCTAATGCTAAAAAAATCCTAAACCCGCTAATCAAAGTGTGAGCGCCGAAACCCGCTAAGAAACTGGATCGTTCTTTCTCAGGAACACCGGAAACCCTGACCCATAACTGTGGATCCTGAATGCCCTGCATGTCAAGCCCGACACCCCAAACCGGAAGCCGAGGTTCTGGATGATCATCATGACTCCTGCTGTTGCAGCAAGGGGGGCCGGATTCATGAACGGGCTTTGGGATCCAGGATGTAGGCTTTGGGAATTGAGGGTGTGTGTGTGTGTGTGTGTGTGTGTGGTTGGTTTGGGTTCCGGCCGAAGTTTCGGCCCTTGGAGTCGGGCCATGGATGCGCATGCTTGTTATGATTGGTGTTTTAAGATGATCTATATAAGGTGATAGAATCTTAGAAGTCAGAAGAGCATGATGACGGCCGTGACGGTTTTACCACAATCATTGTCGCAGGGTTCGTTTCAGTTCAGCTTTTCCCTCGCGGCCGAAGCTTCTGAGTTGTAAGGTTGATGATTCTGAGATTTTGAGAGGCCCGTAGTTCAGCTGTCTCAGGTGTTTTTTGCTGTCAGCCTTCTGACGGCTTGCCGTAGGGCATGCCCGCATTTGCTTGCATTCTGCCCGTGCTTTGACTCATTGTCGCCGGTTGGGGGAGCCGAAGCTCTATCCCGAAGCACCTTTTGAACCTCAGTCCCCAAACACTTTTCTGGCATTTGTTCGGATGTTGGAACCCAAGCTTGCCCTCGTGCTTTGAACCGCGCCGTTCCGAGGATGATTATCCGCTACGTTGACGGCTCCTATCTTCCAGGTGCTTCCCGTTGAATCTGTTGCTGAGGGCAATGAAGCGGAAATTCCAGACCTCGGAACACTGAGCGTTTAATCGTGATTCTCGGAGAAGGTTCCTGTAACATAGGACACCTGACAGCAGACACACATTCAACAAGCTCGCTGCACTGTTGATCAGGTCTTGGATAGTGTGTCAATTATGTAGGCCTCCGAAGCTGCCCTGCACAGAGGTGGGCAGTACCATGGATTCCCAGCACCACGAGGGCATGCTCGGTACCCAGCGATGTGCCTGTGAATCCTATCGTGCTCACGCTGAGACACTAAGCCCGCCAAGCTCTCTAGAAGTGTCTGTCTAATGCAAGGTATACCGGCCTGGCATATCATACCGGCTTGCGGCCTCGTGTTGGGACGCGCTGTAAACATGAAAGGTTGTGCATCTTATGCCTAGCTGAAGTTTCTTCCTTGCCAGTCGTCTCCGGAGTATCTGGATTATGTGTGGAGTTGGTCCCGGCTTCATGGCTTCATCTTTGGCATTGTGAGTTTGCGGCGTCGCGTTTTGTTTGAAATTTGATGGTGATTAAATATCTTTTGTCAGCATCGGCACATGCAGGAGGTCTAGACAACTGCAACCTCACGTCAGGGACGTCCTGCATACTTCTAATCCTAACCTTCGCAACGTCGGCTAAAGACCCCGAAGGATGAAGCACCTCCACGCAACAGAAAACTCGGCACATTCGCAAGAGCCCGATGAACACAAGCATGCAGGCAAGTCGCTGCACAGAGAAAGGCGCCCCGTCATGTGCACTCAAGGTTTATGTACATGATGTCGGCTCAGGTGGGGAACATCGGCTTCTCCACGCTTATCTTGGTGGACAACTTGGCCGTGGCCTTCCTCTGCCGGGGGCTGCAGCATGTTTCGGAGTTTCGTAATCGTCGTGGTCGCCGTCGCTTTTGTTGCTCTCCCTTAAGGTCGCCAGTCCAACACCAAAGTCTGGCAAGTTCGACTTGATAGTCTTGCTTGAAGCCAAAGGCTTCTGAAGCCAAAGCATTTGGACTTCAGGACGGTAGCTGGTGGCTTAAGTAGAAGCCGAAGTCAATACTTGTGTCACCTCGGACTCGAACACTGAACCCTACAGCCCACCTCTTGCGGGGACCTGTGTGCTGCAGCCTAACGAACGCTGTTCCTGTTCTTGAAGCACTCAAGTCTGGCTCGATGTACCTCATAAATACGTGTGCCTCCCAAGGAAGGTCCCCCGCTGACATCCTAAACAGCTGTCTGCAGCAGCAGCCGGCAGGTGCGAAGTACTTTGCAAGGCACTCGAAGGTAAGCCAATACACTCAGCTCCCCACCCCCCAAGATCTCCTGCGGCTGATGGGCCATGGTGGTGCCCGAGCAGAGCAAGAACACCTGCCCAACACCTCATGTCATTCTGCCACATCGAGAGGCTGCACTTGCACGGGCGGTGTCTGACATGCAGAAGGCCGCAGCGGAGGTGCAGAAAGCTTCAGCTGAGTTGTCCATTTGTGAGGCTGCATGGCTCGCGGCCTATGAGGCCGCTTTGCGAACGGCCGAGGACGATGCAGAAGCGGCTGCAGTTCGAAGGGCAGCGGGTGAACTCAAGTCACAGCCCGGAGTTTACTACAACTCCTTGCGAACCTTCCATGATGAAGTTGAATGCTTGGCACCGCCCCATTTTGAACCGGGGAGCCTGCATTCACAGTCGCATGGCGAGCAACACGCACACTCCCGCGATGATGAGTTCCATACTGCCAAGCATCAGCTTGAACATCGCTGGATTGAGAAGACGGCCTTCAGTGCCGCGGAGCGCGTCGTGGAGCGCATGACCGAGCGCATTACCGAGAGCATGGGCGAGCGAGTTGGCGAGCGTCTTGCGGAGAGGGGCGTGGAACGACTTGCCGAGAGGGGTGCAGAGCGTCTCGCTGAGCGCGGCATGGAGCGGCTGGCAGAACGCGGTGCCGAAAGGCTGGCGGAGAGGGGTGCCGAAAGGCTGGCCGAAAGAGGAGCGGAACTAGCATTGGAACGGGCCGGCGCAGGAGCTTTGCGACACATCTTGGGCAGAACTATTGGCGAGACTCTGAGGATGGGAGAACATGCAGCCATGCATACCCTGAAGGCCTTGCGCGTCATCGTCCCTTTTGTGGGAATGCTCTTCGTCATTCATCTGGCTGAGCACGACTGGCATCGCTTGCTCGAGGAGTGGAGGGCCCGACGTGCTCTCTCACTCGCCTTCTTTTGCATGGCTGTTCTGGGAGACATCGCCGACATCCTTTGCCACGTGTGCGTGATTTCTTCTGGCATTCTTCACGTGGACCACCACGCCTTGCACACAATCGAGCCACTTGCATTCAACAACATGTCATGGCCTAGCACATGAGTTTGTACATGCAGATCCCGCAAGACGAGCGAGGCTCGTGGATGCTAAGGTCCTGTGTCCAGCTTCCACCCTAGGCCCTAGCCAGCATCCCAGCAGGATCGAGCAGGCCCAAGTAGAAGTGCCCGTGGGAAGCCACAATGTCTGCGGGTGTGACCATGTCTCTGTTGTGTGTGTGTGGGGCCTCGAGAGACAGGGAGTGAGTCAGGGGCAAATGGCTTTGATGCACGTACACATTTACACAAGCACACGATGTGTGGCACATCTAAAGGTTGTCTTTAAGTTCCAGGCAGATGGGCTTGTCGGTTAAACGTTGGCGTAAAGAGCTGTCATTCTAAAGGGTTCTAAAGGGGCTTTGTGTTTATTGCGATCTTGACTTGATCTGGGTTGGGCCTGTGCTTGGACACATCTGGCTGTTGGAATTCCTAGGAATGCGTCCGTACTTACATGCTTGCTCCTTCATTCCTTCATTCAGTTTGAAAGCTGTCTGGGCCTGAATCGGTGCTTCTCTGTCTCTTGAAGGAAAATCTAAGATAATCTAAGTGGTTCGACTTGATGCAGTGAGCAGTCTGAGACACGTACTACTGCTGGAAGAACTTCAACCCCGCCCTCAACCCAGTTTCTCAAAAAATATCCCCCTGTGACAGCGGAAGGCTCCAGTCTCACCTGTGTGATTGAGCAGGTTTGTTCTTGATAGAAGCAGCCGAAAAACACTCTCTCAAATGCCTCCCCCGATCACTACAAGAGCGTCTAGCAGAGGTACTACGGAATGGGAAGTGCCATCGTTGCATGTCTCTCCGTCGTGGCCGCAGAGATCTTGTCCGCACGCGCTATGCGGAGGGCACTCAAGGCCCAAAGCCACAGCTGCGATGCACCATGCACAACACTGCCGCATGTAACGCTATCTCCTATTACAGTACAAGCCGCGGTGTTATCTGGGATTAGCCTAAAACCGAAGCATATACATCATGAATATCATGACCACCATGATGCTCTTGACAGTCATACCCGTCGCCACAAGACCAGTCGTAACAGCCTGAACAACTGGTACATACAGTTTATACAGTGTACTGAAGGAGCCTGACAATTGTCAACCTTATGAAAGCTGTTCTCGGGATATGCTCTCAGACGCAAAGTCGATTACGAAGCCGAGATTCTAACAACGTTTGTGGATCAAGTGCCACTTGGTTTTGGCTTAGGGTCCAACTGCCGGGCTGCACTCACTAACTCGAGTGTTCGGCGGCAGTCATCTTTCCGTGTGTGATAACTCGAAACTTAGGCTCCTTTGCTGCTACACCTGATTTCGATCACAAGCTCAGACGCCCCCTCTTCCCCCCTCTTCCGGTTCTGCAGGCAAAACCTGTCTCGAAGCTGGTGCCAGTCGTGGCGGCGGCAGAGATGCCATAGCTTGTGCTGATGATCTTGTTTCATACCCGGCTTACTGATAAGATCCTTCATCTTATTCCGAGAGGTAATATCACGATTCGTGATAGGATGTTACTGATGTTACGATTCTCTCTTTTCGGGACCGTGTGACGAGGGTTTGGGGTTTTCTGCCGACACAGCTTGTGGTGCTTTGGGAGATCCTTAAATCCTAAACCCGTCAGATGCCGTTGCCATAGCTCTCGGCGGGTGCTGCCACAAAGATGCTCACCTGACCCTGGCTTGGTACGAGCAAGCTCGGCCTGGAACTTGAGAGATCGGATTCCCGATCTGTAATATGTCTTTATCCTGAAAGACTTAGTTCCTCAAGTACTACGCTGAACCTACGGTGACCTAGGCAGATGCTTGAACTGATCTCTCTCTCGGTGAATCGCTCGCCGGTGGGCCCAGCGCCGAAAAAGCACCGTGTTCCTCGCGCACCCCGACACCAAACTCAGAACAATCGGTGTGATTATGTTACTATCCTTTCTCAGTGTCCGCATTGGGGTTCGGTCGCCCACATGCCGAGTATGCAATTTTTTGCGTACTGTTATGTAAACTAGTCGTTCAGTTCTGAGCGGCTTGTGGTTGAACTGCCAACGAGCCCTTACTAACTGGCGAGTCTAGATGCGTGACGTGCTGCATGCGAGGCTACAGGTTATGCAGTGCACACAGATCAGTGTTCAGAGGATTGTTTGCCGCTCAAACCTGCGAGCCAGGTCCTGCCAAACCACTGCGCTTCCACCGAAGCCTAATGCACTGTTTGCAGCCACTTTCAATCTCACCCCGGCGGTAAACCACCTTACTCTTGGCCGTCTCGTGACGACACATCGCTTGCACTGAAAGGTCACTATAACGGTCCGAAGTACTATCGCGAGTGCCGGCCTCGGCAGCTTTAGATATTTTGTTGCTTCGGGATTTGAGATTTTGTGGTAGGGTGCAAGGGGCTCAGCCTTAGGATCATTCACCGTTCAGACTTGTCAAAGGCTTTTTGGGCCTCACTACGGGGAAAGGGGTGTGCAGCTGGTAAAGCTTCCATGCGCGTGGGGCGCTTCCGGAGGCGTCAAGCACTAAACATCAAATTCACCTGCTTACTATGCGGGAGCCCCACCTCAAAAAGCACCACGCCATGAACCGTCATAGACACCTGAACCAGCTAAGCCCCCTAAAGCCCCTAAGTACCCGAAGAGGTACAAAAACCATCGGCCTGTCCGCTTCGGCTCTCGCGTGCTGGCTGCTTTCTCGCTGGTCTCCACCTTGCCGCTGGGCGAGGGTGGGCCTATTCTTTGGGGTTTAGAGTTTTGGGCGGATCTTACACAAACGTGATAGCACAGGGAGCAAAGCAGTTTATGGAAGGAACCAGGGGGTCCTGTGAGCTGCCCCAAAAATCGACAGAAATTTGGAGGGCCATTAAACACCTCAATTTCCGAAACGACTACATAAATCCGAAGCCACCGCCGCGTAAGATCCAAGTCCGTTGATGTAAGCATGAAAACCCTTTCAACCCCATCGCCCGAACAAACAAAACCTGTTGGACCGCTCAAGCTCTTCGTGCTGCACGTGAAGGGGCGCTGAATCGTAGTCCCACTACAAAGGCTCCTCTCTCTGTGTACAGCTACATTTTTATGCTGGAAACTGGAGCCTGGACACGTGCTTTGTGGCCTAATTGGGCTCAATACGGCTGAGGCTCAAAAAATGGCTTGAAACGGTGTTAAGCACTTGGGCTACGCTCTCTTCTTTGGGTGGTGGTTGGCACCTAAAAGTATCCGGTGCTGTGCGAACGTCTGTGTGGCAAGTACCACCGTCATTTGCGCCATCACAGTTTTCGCATGAATGCAAGGTACTTACTTTAGAGATATCAAGTAGCAGCAGCCAGCCACAGAAGGTCAAATGACACGTAACTAGAGGCACTATATGGTTACTAGCAGTTACTAGCAGCCGCGTTGATCAACGGGTAACACATTGCCTGAGTTGTTATCGCGAACAGTCACTTTTGCCGAGGTTTGCAACATCAATGCTGCTCGGGTATGCAACCTTTGGACAGCACGCGGAGGGTGTCATTCTCAACAACTACGAAGCTTGGTTTGAACATTTTCTTTCGACTGCATCGTCGACAGGTAAACATCCTGGAAAGTGGTCTTGTTCAGCATGGAGTTTGGCGACGGTCTTCATCCATTTTTCGTCTCCAGAGCCCTTACGCCAAGTGCTTGGGCCATGGGGCTTTGCTGGCAATGTTTGCTATGGCGTCAGGGAAAGCTTGTGTTTGGAAGTGCTGGCCGCTAGTCTGGCGCTTTTCGAGAGCGAACTTCCCCTTATAAGCGGCTTTTGTAGCCCAAGCAGCCTGGACCGTGGAATGCGCTGGAGTTGTGAAAACTGCCAGGTGTCTCGCTAGTGACATCCCTAGCATTGAGGAAGCCGCTGGTTATCATGGGAGTACCGGTTAGTACAGCAACAGCAGTCGCCCCAATTACCAGCTGCATGAGGAGGAACGAGATGCATTTGCAGGGACTTGTCATGCAAGATCTAGAACACCGTCTTGACCCAACATGACCCAACAGACCTTCGTCCCTCCACCCGGAAATCAGGACAATACCGACATGCTTGCGAACATAGCCCGCTTGGGCATGGGCTTCGCCAATGTTTTCAGCACACCTCTCATGTTCAGCGGTCTTCGCCACTGGGAAGCTCAGCAAGGGGTCTGTGGACTTTCCGGGGTGTAGGGAAGGGTTTTCTTGCCTGATGGTCGTTTGGGTTTCTGGAATGGCTTGTTTAGTAGCCCCAGTGAGGAACCAAGCTTGCACCCGCAACATCCCCGACCTGCGAGCTAACCCCCAACTACAGGTCCGAGTGACCACTGTTTTGATCAACAGCACATAGTGATCATGGGCTCTCCCTGCAAGCTCTTTCCATCTCCCAATGCATCTGGTCATCTGGGCGTTGTCTTGAGTCCACGGTTTCGGCAAAGGCCAGCTACAGTATCTCATCGTACCGTATTTAGCGCGAATATCGGACATACGGACTCAACTTTCACTCTGTGGTTCTGTTGCCTGTGTCAAGACCGATTTTTGAAAAAACATGAAAAACCCATGATCTTTCAAGCATGGCTTCCTGACCCGCTGGTGTTTGGAGTGTATGGTAGTGTCTAGGTCCTCAGGACGTAGCGCCAATCCTTTCCTTTGAGGTTAAGCTTTGCCGGAGACGCAAGGGTACATCTGAGCCGAGCATCCAAGGGGAAGGCGTCCTGGCTGTACTCACCCACTTCGCCCCTGAGGAGGAGGACATGAGATGCACATCGATGGTATATGCTCGTAGTCAGATTTCTGAGGGTTCTGGGTGATTGTTCTGGAAGGGCACCGGGTGTATGTTGGGTTGGAGTTGAGGATTCAATTCAGGGATAGGATAGTGTTTGCGCGCCTTGTGATTACTTGGACACGATGTTGAAGCATATGGTGCGCCGAGAGTACCATCATGACGATCACCAGAGGCACGCTTTTCGCTGGCCACCAGCGACAACTGGCGCCAGCAACTACAACAGCCAGCAACAGCATGAACACCTAGTTCGCCAATTAAGACGACGAGCGGCCAGCCTTCACAGAGCTCAAGAGCCTAAGCTCCACTGCGCGGAGGAACTCTACAGCCAGGTATGGTTCCAGAACACCCTGAGTGCAGCACTTCTTTCTGACTCCTGGCAAGATTTACGGGTTAGGGTTTGGGTGTCTGTCAGTTTGGCAGCAGACGGTTTACATCCCAGGGCTGTTAGTCAGCGTCGTTCAGGACGACCAAGAGCGGACTGGATCACCCAAAGTTATAAAGATGCTTTCACGGCTATGTTTCCAGGTGGGGCCTTGTTCGATGCTAACAACACAAATCATTTGTTACAAGTCAAAGCTCAAGCACAGTCAAGATTGCCTCCTTTCGGGTGACCCGCCCAGGCTTCGGCCTCTCGAGGTAATTGCTCTTGGTAATGTCTTTGGCGTCAATATGCGGTGCTCTTTTTGTAGACTCTTTCACATTGGCAGCGGCATTGTCTATAGTTGGTCTCACTTGATTGTATTCTTGGGTGTTTCGGATTGCGTGCACAGCGATCGTCGGGGGCTCGGCTTTGCCCATGGGAAAAAAGTACAAAAATCTGAAGTCTTTGCAAGCATGCTGGTTGCTAGGTCGATGTGCAGTGAGACCCAAGTCTACAAAGGTGATCCTTCAACACAGAGCGTCAAGTCAGGAGCCCGCAGTCACAAGATTGCTTATGTCAGAAATCAAGAATACTAACCACGGCCATGTCGACACAAGTCCCGACTTGTCATTGTAGCACAACACAGGACATAGAATATTGTTCATTGTAGGTTAGGTGATTTCGTTCCTACTATTTCCTCTTCCTTTTGCCTTAATCTCGCTTTCATTCCATGACATTGAATTAAGGGCTTGTACTCTCTTCGTAGGGTTCTTACCATTAGAAAATACCTGTAGAACATTGTGAGAGAATTCTAGATGGTAGAGTGTCCATCATATTTTAGTTGTACCTTAACTTTACAATTAAGATCCTCTGGTAAAATCTTCTAACTAAATCTCAAGTCATATCTTGGTGGGTTTCCTGGGGGGTGTGTTTATTAATTGGTTCGGTTCGCGCTTCTCTTCGTTCCACTTCTTTTCAGTGCAAACGGACCATTAAAATGAAACCGCATCACCAGTAAACAACCAAGAACCGGGAACAGAGGCCAAAAGACACAAATAAACAGAGAAACCGAGTAATCATAATATTTCACCACACAGCACGCGAGTCTATGCCGCGAATCTCAAAACTTGTTCTCGGCAGGGATAGCAGGTGGAAGGACCCTTTTTCCGTGGCCTGATGGGAATGGCACGCAGTTAAAGTGTAGTTCGTGGTTCTTGCCTGCTGAGCTTTAAATCAAAAAGCAATTCACAGGCACAGGCATGTCGTTTCACATCGTTTCTTTGTGTTTAATGTGGGTGCACATATGTATTTATGTGAATACATTTTCAGAAGGGGTGTCTGTTCAGGTGCGAATATTCGCTTTTTCAGTCCAATATCATGCTTAAGATTGTTTCTGATGCAAGAGATGATGATGAAGAGGAGGAGGAGGAGCAGGAGGAGCATGTCGATGACAGTCAGGACACAACTAGCAACGGTGGTATTGTTTAGTAGATATGAGCAGCCTCAGCAGGACGAGCAGCAGCAATAATCGCGTAGCCCGAGAACAAGGAAGAGTGCCGTTTGTTGTCGGGCCGGAGTTCATGGCACTGTGCAAAGCCCGTAGCCCGCAACTCTGGACATTTCGCCATCACCTCACCTCATGCTTGGATGTGGGAAGACGACTCGGGGATGCCCAGCCTGTGTGAACTCACTGCATCACAATTTAAGTTTGATTTGTAGCTCCGATTGAGAAGTGTTTCGACGCAACACTCAGACGAAACCCTTTTCTCATCTTAGAACATACCCCAGCCACTCGAGCAAGCATGCTTCATGACAACATGCACCCGTTCTGTGGCACTGAGCTCGTGACGGTCATCGCCATCATCGTCACTGATGCCAGCATTGTGATCGGTTTGGTCGGAGCTATTTGTGGCTCCGCGATCATCTATGTCATTCCGCGCCTTGGTCCCAATCTCGCATGGCTAAGGTTTCACCTTCACGGTCATACTTCCTCGAAGCCACGGTGTCAGTCCTCATAGTCCGACGGTGCAGCTTCATTAAAATAGCCGTGGTCATGTTTGTACTAGAACAAGAGCTGAGACAGGGTGATTAGTGAATAAAGCTTGACCCCAACAACGACGACCGCGACCGGCACGATCTAACACTGCTATTTCTTGCTTCTCCAGCGAGTGAAGCAAAGCCAACTGGTGTGAACACGAGATGCGACTACGAAGACTACTGTACTGCAGCAACTGCATCTACGAGTGTTGATAGTTAATGAAAATAAGTTGCATGACCAGCAGCAGCATCAGCAGTGGCGACCTTTCATCACGCACGTCATGATCTTTCAAGAAACGGAGCATTAACTTAAGACTCTTAGGTGTTTGGACCGTGTGGCGTGCATCGCACTCCAAACCGAACTCCTTCACACTGCTTATTCTGTGCCCTCTCAATCTCTGGGGGATCCCATCCAAGCCCTAGAAGCTCGAAGCTGGTGCCTCGCCGTGACGCCGTGTCATAGACAGATACGCGTGGTACAGTAGTCTAAAACAGCTGGAGGCAAAAGAAACAGTTTAGTTTGTTTTCTCCGTCTGCATGTTTCGAGATGCATCGTGCAGCAAGCACGCTACACCGTACGTGGCACAGGTATGGTTGTTTGTCCCATCGATGCGTGTACTTGGTTTTGCAGGTGCTTCCTCTTCGACGCAGCGACGAGCAAGTTTCTAGGCCTGCCTTTCAATATGTTTCGGCCAGTCGAGATATGTTTGCGGTCTCTTTCCAGCCAATGACTACTGGCTTCAACGATCCCTGGTTTGAGTGCCAGGTCCAGGCATGTGGTCACATGCTTCGGGGAGCAAGGGGTATACGGTATACCTTTCCGGATCCTCCAAGAAAAACACTTACGGATGTCTGTGTTTGGGAACTCCTTCGCCGGAGCCGAAGCACACCTGTGCAGGTCAGGGCGACGACCTGCACCATCCGATGGCCGCTTGTAGCTGTGTACATACGACGAATCAGATGTGCATATGAGAACCGAAGGCTTATTTCTGGAGTTGATGTGTACAAGATTTGTTGGTTTCTCACGAGAATAGTGTCAAATTTATGTGACATTTCGTGGCTGTGAGAAGTGGGCATTCATGTCGCACGGCTTCAGCAACAGCTACGACTATGCACTTGTACTGTTGTAAACTGTAAGTTGTTCCGATAGTTTCGTCCGCCGTGTTACGGGTGTCATGATATTCAAACCTGGTAGAAGTATCCACCATTTTGTAGTAATGTTTGGTTAGCGTTGAGTTGCTGTCATCTTCATTCCGTGCATAGATGCCTGACGCACTGCCGATGCGCTGTTTGTATGTCTCAGGAGATTTATTTGGTGCGCGGTCTCGGCTTTGCCGGTGTTTTCGTCATGAGTCCCGGCAGAGCTTGGTATGATTATGGTGCACTGCTGAGTGTTAACATCGAGTTAGCAGTGAAGGTGGCAGGGGCATGCATTTCCTGAAGTATCAAGGGGCCGACCCGATTTCGATGCTAAAGCATTGTGGCGCAGTTTCTGAGCCTCCATCTAAATCGCACTTACGCAGATATGCCACTGAAATCCTACCCGAATCCTACGAACATGTGCCCTATGCAAGCGGCATGGGGCTGGTATTCAGATGTCGGTCGTAAGTTGCAAACATGGATGGGTGTTTCTCTGTGGCTTCCAAAGAACGGGGTTCTACGTCTATGGGTGACAGTTGGTCAGAATTCCGCAAACCGGGTGAAACATCAGTTTTACAGCCTTCTCCTTTCGTACAGTAACTCCTGAGCTGAACCTGGGTGGAACTTGAAGCATCACCAACAGCACGACAAGGATGTGCATTTAAGGGTTCAGGTTTAGGCTATGACATATGACGTTCGGTAAGCAGTGAAGCCACCTAGAGCAAGAGGAAACAAACAAAGACCACATGCTGCAGCCTTCTGACGTAGTTGAGGTTCACTGCTTCACGGCTAAGCACATAAAACTATTTATAAGACCTAATGACTAAGACTAATGAGTTTAGGCTTTAGAAATCAGTGTGCGCCAGACCCTCGTCGTCCTAAGCTGAAAGCCTGACACCTTTCCAAGCCTTCCAGCCCGTGAGCTACATCGGCCCCAGGATTGCCGGCTCGGTGGCGACCCTGTGCCTTTGAGGCCTGCACGACAGAGGAGTTTTGTGCAGCCGAAATAGTAAAGTAGATGTGTACATGAAATCGCCGAGGTGTTTGTTTAGGAGGATTTCGGGGTTTGGGGCATCGGGCTCCCAAAACCTACGGTCTCAGCAAGAAGGTGCCTCCCCCCGCGGCAGTGTAGAATAAGCCCGGCGCTGGCTCATCCGTGGCATTGCTGAGCTTGGCTGTTGCATATACAAACAGTTTGACAAATGGAGTCAGGATTAGGGCTTGAGGATGGACGGTTCTGCAGGTTCAGGTGTACTCTGTAGCTCAAGCGGAACTGGGATACAAACAGGTAGAACCAGGACACTGAGATAAGCCGGTTCCTTTCCGGCGCGCAATCGTGTGCAGGCCTTGCGCCCGCCGCCACTGCTGCCCAAGAGTGAGCTCGTCCAAGAAAAGCACAAGGGAGTAATCATCACAGGAGGGCAACACAGCACCACGTGCGATCACCCCGTGCTTTGGCAGGGGCAACTTGCGGTTGGAACACTTCGTCAGATGTGCAGGTTACTAGTACTAGTGTCACGTGTTTGATCTGGTTTATTTGGTGCTACATGGTAACCGGCCTTCCCGAATCTGGACGTACATATCAGCCAGACCTATTTCACTCGAACTGCATGGAGTGCAGAAATACGCAAGCCAGCAGAAGAAAGCACAGTCTGCTTTCCGGCAAACCGCATACCGTTAGTTTTGTGCTGAGTCTTGCTGCTGGCTTCATTACAGCTATTCTTGTGCTCGTGTCTCGCCAGGCTTGGGGGACGTAGAAGGCAAAGCCATGAATAGGGGCGGAAAGCAGTTCTGCAGCTATTTATGCATGAAAGCTTGAATCATCGAAGAGCGGATAGGATGTGTCGGCAGGCATATCGCAAAAGCTTTCCGTTCCTGAACATTCCGAGCAGCAGCACAGCATCCACAACTGTCGCACTCGCTGCCTGCAAGCCAGTCGGATTGCCGAAAGATCCTGGAGTAAAGCTGCACCTTTATTCTTCAGGATTCCAGAATCCTAAACCCGTGCACGGGTGTAAGCCTCGACAAACCCTTCAATGCCTTAGAATTGACGCAGAAAGGCGCAGCCTGTAGTGGTTGGTCTTCTGCGGACATGGGTCCATATGCCGGGGTGTTCAGACCACTTGGTTTTGCAGCTGTGGTAAAATTTATAGGTACGCATGTGTCTAACACAAGCCTATGCGTGTATGCACGTATGTATGTATGTATGTAAGTGTACATAAATATGTGTGTGTTTTATATACAAAGGCATTATACATCTAATATATGTAAGCATAATCCCCGGAAGAGGAGTTTCAAAGGGCGAAGAGGAGATCTCAATTCGGGGGTATTAGGGAGGCTCCAGGGATCCTTCTCTGAGAGATTCTCTCAGCATCCGAAACCTTTCGATTGCAAGAGGGTTTGAATGTATGCGTTGAGGTGACTGCAAGAAGTGCAGCCAGGAGGGGCCGCAGGAAAGTAGGACTGTAGGCATTGCTCCCGAGAACTGCAGGGTCTGCGGCCTGCCCAAGGGAGGGTTTTTGTTAAAGTTAAAGGCACTGAGCAATGGCAAGAAGCTAAAACTGACCCCACCCAAGATATGGAACATCATTCCAGGGAAGTCGTGGGGGAGAGGGGGGTGTACCAATCGGGGGAAGAGATTATGTATGTATGCATTTTTACATATAAATAAATAGATAAACAATATATATATATATATATATATATATATATATATATATATGTGTATATATATATATATATATGTGTGTATATATATATATATGTACATTATGCACGCACGCGCGTATGATTAATGTATATGCCCGGTGCCATCTATGCACATAATACAGAAGTAAGACGCAGCGCTTACATCCTAAAAGCACCCACGATGGCATACAGGCTGGCGCAAAGATGCAGCAGCATTCGTGCTGCAGCGTATGTGGGATGGCTTAGTGCTGCTATTTCCGAGCACTTTGCCTCAGCACGATCTCAAACAAGTCTCAGGTCCTTTGTATCTTTGTTTCCGAGGCTTGTCCGGGTTGCCCCTCAATGTGATGTGAGACCCATGAGCCCAAGTGTAACAAGGCAGAAACTAACTTGGTCCTACAACAGTGAGTTCTTCGCAGGCAGACTTTGAAGTATTTCCGGCTGCTCCATGATATATCCACCCGGGATCACACGACAACACTGCCTTCTAATTCCTGCAAATGCTTCAGTCACACAGCGCACTTTCAAAGCAGCCTCGGAACTTTGCTCCGACATTCTGCCGGCAAGAACTTCTGATAGACCCAGACATGGGAAGCAGCTCCGCCCCCACTTATACAACCAAACCAGTCAGCCCGAAGAAAACGCACCCACCCTTCGGGTAGAGGGGTAGGGTCACCTCTGTTAGACATGAAAGCCAACAGCTATAGCTTGATACGAGTTGAAGACCATACGAGTCAACTCCTGAAGCCAAGCACGCATTAGGCAAGTCTAAGCCCATAGACCCCAAGCTCCAAATCCGAAGAAGCCGCTTCACCCATGGACGGTATCGGTGTGCGTTGCTGGTGGCATGGGTAGAGGCGGCTTCGCGCTGCACCCAGGCTTGACATACGACACAGGATTCGCTGTTTTGGGGAAGGAGACATACAGGGGCTTCAGACGTCAACATGGACGAGCAGATGTAGTCTCAGCTTGGAGCATTCATGCCTGGACGCATTCCAGGATGCGAATACTGAACCAGGAGGATGACATGTCCTGCATCGGAGCAAACCAAATTTATGGCATGGCCCTACGTAGCATGATAAGTCCCATGCCCCAGCAACACCCCGAAAAAAGACCCACTGACTCAAGGAACACGGGCGCTTACCGTGAGCTGCGCAGCACGAAGGGAAAGGGCAAGGGCAAGGGCGCAAAAGGTGGCAAGGCCAGGAAACCTGAGCTGGTGTTCGAAACTCACACAGCTTAGCAAGCTTGTAAAGCCGACGGATTCCAGTTTCCCATGCTCTTCTTCCGTGAATCTGGCTAGCTTATTTCTTGCAACGCAGACCGCCCTTGGATTTTGGACACCTGATCTGATTGTGCTGGGTTTCACGGCTCTACATGCGCATCCTCGTCTTCGATGCCTTTTGTCAGGGCAGCGGTAAGTCCAAAGGCAAGCTTGCCTTCCAAAAGAAGCTGCTCAAGAAGAAAGCTCAGAAGGCACGACACGCGAAGTGATACTGGTTTCTGGCTAGTTGTGGGGAGAGTTCAATGACCGGACAGCACATAGACGTGCCGGCGCATGGAGAGGGCCGGAGCGACTTCAGGGTGCTATACATGGGACTATATGTGTCTGTAAACCTGCAGGGAGTATCAGGTGGTAATATTGCGAACTCTACAGGCACCTATCTTGCGGGGTCTCAAGCCACCAAGGGGACCAGACTCCAAACACAAGACTCCCACAGCCGCCGAAATCAATAGTCTTTTGTGCGACGTCCGTGAGCGTGGTGGGCAGGCCGGGGTAGGTTGCTTTCACGGGTCCTAAACTCTTGTGAAGTGGACCCCGCTTTTGTGGCTAGCAGTGTTAAGTTGAACCTGTTGCTGAAAGAAGTCTGGTGCTGGCTAGTGCCTGCCTTCGTGTGGCACTGAATGAGTTTTGAGATGAGATGTCAGAGCAGGTTTAGTTGGGGTGTTCTGGCTTCTCATAATCGCCCTGCCGTTTGGGCAAAGAAAGTATGCTTAGCAACTGAAGACGGTTGTTCGCAGATGGGCGACTGACTTCCATCCTGCCTTGTTCACAACCCCCCTGCTCCCCCTTCAGGCAGAGGCGAAGAAGAATGCTCCTTGGTTGCTCTCATGACCTGTGTACATTGAAAGGGGCTGGCTAATGTTGACCCCTGATTAATAAACCCCCCCCCCCCCCCCCCCCCCTTCAAGGTTGTCAAGGTCGCAGGCCCCCCACAGGATCACAGACCCCCAAATAATCCCGTGAAGCCAAATTGCAGTAAACAGTGGTGCTAGTAGTAGTAGTAGTAGTAGTAGTAGTAGTAGTAGTAGTAGTAGTAGTAGTAGTCGTAGTAGCAGCAGTAGTAGCAGTGGCAGTGGCAGTGGCAGTGGCAGTGGCAGTGGCAGTGGCAGTGGCAGTGGCAGTGGCAGTGGCAGTGGCAGTAGCAGTAGCAGTAGCAGTAGCAGTAGCGGTAGGAGTAGGAGTAGGAGTAGGAGTAGGAGTAGGAGTAGGAGGAGTCGTCGTCGTCGTCGTCGTAGTAGTAGTAGTAGTGAGCCTGTAAAAGATGTTGTGATCGGCCACCCGAGTTGATTAATCGTGGGTCGTTGATTAATCGTGGGTGACACACCGTTGCTAGGGATGGCTCAGAAAGCTTGTTTGGGGGCCTGGAACAACACAGCGATTAATCTTGAAATCATTGCTTTGGAGGCTTTGGTGGACCTGTGCAAAACGAAGAAATCGGACCTAAAAAGCACTTGTGCAGCACAACTTCAAAAGTGCGAACAAAACTACCCTGAACCTTGAAAGCTACCCCTTGAAAGAACCGCTTGAAAGAGGACAAGACGCCCTTTAAATGTAGTCTTGCCCCCTTTAAAAGTAGTCTTCGAAGCACTTTTTGAAATTTTAGATCCCCAGACGGTGTTGCCTTTAATCGTGGGGGGTTTTCTGCAAAAAACGATCCTTATTTGGGTGCTGCCTTTAAAGTAGTACAGATTGGGGCCGGAGCCGCCCGCAGGCCGCCTTTAATCGTAGGGGGATTATTAATCCTAGGTCAACATTACCATCCATCGTTGCCCACGGTGATCGTTCATAATACCCGTCAAATCAATGCCGGCCGTTGTCAAGATCATCATAGTGTATTTCGCTCAGCGTGCAAGCACAGCGAACAAGGTAAACCCACGTAGCCGTGCTTTTTCTGATTATAAGAAGTACCAGTACGGAACGACGATGATGGTGGCCATCGGACCCAGGAACAGTTTCACGCCGACAAAATCGAAACATGCGCTTGAAACCGTTCGTGTTGCTTCTACGTTGTGCAGACTGCCCTGTCAATCTCGGAGCTGTGAGTTCGGGAACTGAAAAAAGGGGACTCTTGCGTTCACGTTTGTTAACCTTTTATTTGGATACATAAGAACTTGTGAATGCAACCCCGGGACGACCCGTCCCTTCCTCCATTGCTCCCAAATTATGTACACATCGTAGACCCTCCGATGCTTGCGTCAGCAAAGTGCATGGCCCCACGGTCTTTTCAGCAAAGGCCCAGCGGGAGTCTTCGGATGAAGAGGTCGACACCCAGGCTGCTGGGTTAAACTCATGTGTGTTTGACAAGTGGCATGTAGTGCCATATATGGTCACGCGCTCCGCAGCCCCCCCCCCCCCTCCCCCCCCAAAGGTCAATGGTCCGGATATAGGGTGGGGCCCCTCCCTCCCCTGTGGTGTGGGGTGTGGGGTTCCTCTTCCCCCTCTGGGGTGGTTGTGGGGTTTTGGGGTTTAGGGTTTAGCTTAAGCTTTTGAGTTTTGGGTTTACGGCTACAAGGTATAGGGCTTCGAGTCGACAAGGGCTTAGGGAGGATTTGCGGTGTATTTTCTGCTTTAGGCTTAGAGCCTGCAGTTAGGTGGGGTTTAGGGTTGGGTGTAGCGTTTTAAGTACAAGTTAAGGTTGCTCAAAACAGGGGCACGCGCTGCGTCATAGGGTTTACGGCTTGCTTGCGAAGGGCTTGCGCGTGAGCCCTGGCAGCCAGCACCACCCCACCATCCAGTGGCAGCTCCAACGGCCCCCAACCCCTTTCCGCACACGCCAGGCCCCCCCCCCACCCCCACCCCTGTCAGACCATACCATTGGGGGGGGGGGGGGCTGGGAACGCCAGACGCCTGACCATATATGCCCCACATGTGCCCCAAGCATTTAGGCGGTCTGCGTTATGGAAGATAGAGAGTTTGAGTTGGGGATTTGCGTTTTGTGGAGCTGGCGGAAGCTGTCGGAGCAAGGTTCAAGGATTAAGGCTTCGTTGCAAGGCTCTTCCAGATCAAGCAGGATGGGCCTGCTTCCGTGCTGACGCAACCTCGCACCCCGAAGCTATCTAGGACATGCAAGTGTACTGTAAGCAAACCGCACCCCAAGCCGAAAAGATGTAACCTGAAAGGGTCCGAAAGCCTAGCGGCCTAAATCCCCAAGTCCGTTCAGCTCAGGATGTTTTCTGGCGACCAACCTGGGACACACTGGGCCCTCTTCAGGAGCCGAGTGCATTAGTCGATGCAAGAGTCCTGCAGTTTCTGAATATGAGGAATTCGCGTCGTGGTCCCTTGTCGGGTTGAAGTGGGGCCGGGTTCCTTTTTCGATGTCTTTCTAGGAAGATTTGGTTTTACCGCTGTCTGTTCTTTCTGCCGGCCACCGCCACCACCACCACCACGAGCATCGTCATCAGCACCTGCGGCAGTGGCCCCTACTATCGCCAGCAACGAGGACCACAACTGGCACCAACCCGTACCTTAATTTACAGCAGCGCAGACGTTTTCTACATGCAGCCTGCAAGCATCTGCAAGCCCTAAAGGCCCCTGGCCCAGGAGGTGAAGGAGAAGGGCGACATGAACCGATTGGGTCGGAAGCGGGAGAAGGCAGCGGAGCTTCGCAAGGTCACTTTAGGATTGTCACCGCTTTGTATAGTGATGAGATTTCTTCGCTTCATCGGTAGAACTTGATTGAAGTGTAGATTCATGCAGTCCTTGTGCCCCAACCCCTAGATAATCCGCTTTTTTTTTGTAGAACTTACGCAAACTCGAGCGAGTGACCGCAATGGTTTGCACGGCTCGACAGTGTTGAGAGAAACAAGCTGCTTGCAACTGCTGGTGCTCACCTGCACTTGTCGCAGACGGGCAAAGACGACTTTGGCTTCGGCGTGCCTTGGGCGTGTCATGAGTGATCATTGGTGGTAGTCTGAAGGTTTGGATTCAGGGTTAAGGCTTAAGGGTTAAAGGCACAAGCGGCGCCGGATCATTCGCCGTCGCTCGTGATCCAAACCGGGTCTGAAAGTTTCAGGAGTTGAGAGTTTTGGGCTCAGGATTTGAGGCTTCCGGTTCCTAATATGGAGCATTGGGATTTCGGTGGGTCGGTTCGGTACGGCGGTGTATTGCTTGCATTTGCCTGCCATGCGGCTCTTGCAAACCCGACTTACATGTCGACTTTAGACATGCGTAGATAGAAACTTGCATGTGGCTCATGGTCAAAGGCTTGTCGTGCAACCTTGTTGATTCTGCATACATCCGGAGAAGTAGGGAGCCAGAGGTTCATCATGGAGATCTCTGACATACGACCCCCATGCGCGACACCGTTCAGGTTTTGCTGAACCGAGCACCCGTCCTGCGATCCAAGAAGAGCCTGGAAGCGTGGGGGGCTCAAAGGGCAGCAAGCTGCGACACAGGAACGAGCTCCAAAACGAAAGTTCAGATCCAAGAGACCAGGAGCGATGAGCCGATGTTCTTTCCTGCTAGTGCAACTAGGCTTGTGGCTATCGACACCCATCAACTGTGACAATTTTCTGGCCCTTTTTGCTTCCTCGTGCCCTTCCCAGTCGCAGCGTTTGAAAGTGTACCAAGGTCAGTAGAGGAGGCAGAAGCCCCGGAGCCCGGGCAGAGCTGCCGAGTTGCACCCAGAGTGTATGGTGTGATGAGAATAAGGATCCATCCCCTTCCAACGACAATGTAGTCGATGTGTTGAAATCACAGCTGATGTACATGTACTGTTTTACTCCCGCTTGTCAACTCAGGCTCAAGTAGAGTTGGAGATCCTTTGCGTGGACATGACAAGGTGGTTCTCGAGTAGCACATGAAACAGGCCCGGGGGTTGGAGCTGAACCCAAACCCCTTACCCAAACCGTTGAGAACAAATTCATGTAGAATCTACACCCTCGAATATCTAGACACTCCGATGATCGACAAGGCCGCCAAAAGCCAACTGTGACAACAGTCCCTCCTGGTTGAAGTGTTCGGGAGACATGTCTTGGGGAACCCAGGCCGCCGTGCGCGAGCACAGAAGCGGAGGAGGCAAAGGAAGCTCCTCGCGTTGGAGGCACCGAACTACACTTGTTGGGTTTCCTTTGCTCAAGAGACTACCCGGTCCTACACCATGGGTAGATCGAAGATACGGAGTGCGTGGCAATGGACCATGCTACAGCAGCATCGACAAGATGGCGGAACCGAAATGGCATGTTCACAGCACACAACGTAGTGCGAGGTGTCTCGTTTCCAGCGCCTGTGGTCGCTTCTAAGGATACCTTATTTACCGGTCCTTATAGTTGATCAATGAGGATCTTACTGTTTATGTTTTATACCTGAGTACCCGTTGGAATCGAATCGAACGCCGACTTCAGTTGACAGCACCTTCCTAGTTTAGCCTGCCGGCAGTAAAGTCCAATCTGTTCAAGCTCCGACGCCATGTTGTTCTTACAGACCAGACTAAGCATGGTGCGTTCCTCGTCGGCAACGGTTGCAGCGCTGGCGCATTGCTTGATCGGCTCACATGTGGCGCTGGCCTGGAGGCCCCGCGGTAGATAGCTTTGGAGTTTTGATGAGCTTCCTTTTGCTGTATTACTGCTGCATTTTCAAAACAGTAGGTCAAAACAGTCCGCGTAGTTGCTCCTGCCGTAATATCTCAAAGGCAATATAAACATGAAGAGTGCTGCACACAGTATGTACAGCTCCAACATAAAGCTCGTTGATGCCCACGCTGACTGATGCCACTCTCCCCGATGCAACGAGCATAACGATGTTCTCGTAAGGAACGGCCGACGAGGGTCTTCCGTTTTCGGGTCTGCGTTGCCTTTGAGACATGACACACACCTTAGATCCTTTGAACCATCATGCTTTCGGATGTTTGCCAGTCCTATGGCCTCGGACTTCGCCGCCGCAGCGCTAGCAGCCCGCAGCGACTTCCGGTGGCGGGCATTCGAGACATCAGGCAGGGCTTAGCAGGCTCTGTACAAGTACTGGCGGCCTCAAGCATCAATTCCTTCAGGAGGCTTCTCTCTGTTACATGCTTTGCATGTATGTCCGGGCAAGAAGAGCGTGTCGAAGTGTCGGGGATGCCCTGCTTTGTAGAAGTTGTGTCGTGGCTTGCCTTGCGGCATCATCGTATCATGAACCGTCCCTTCGGTCTGCTACAGTACTTGTACCGGTGGCTTGATGGCTCCCCAGCCTCTCTTTCTAAAACGAGCCGAGTCCTGCATGGTACAAGAACAGTCCAGGCAGGAAGTTGGAAGGGTTGGCCCGGGATTTCAACACAGAGCGTCTCGGTAAAATCTGCAACCGATCTGTTCAAACACCTGGCAGCGGCTGTATCTTCGCAGTGAGGGCTCTTTTTAGGCCACCTCAGTGTTGGAAGCATGTCCAAGTTCCTTGAATCTTCGCTCTTAGCAATTGACGCCCTTGTTCTCAGCGCCAGGATATCGTTTTCCGGACGAGACCCACTTCGACGAGCTGGACTGGCTCCTCGGACTTCCGCAGAAGTGGAACTCTCAAGTTTTGCCGCAGGAGGATGCGAGGCTAGAGACGTATTCAGTAGTCGCTTCCCGGCTGCTGCTCTTGGATCGTAAGGAACCCTTTTACCACCCGTCTTTGTTCTTTAGGTGACCTCATTTTATGCATCCGCCTCCGTTGCACACTGGCATATCAAAACAGAAAGAGTCCAGCTCCGACGAGAAGTAGGCTTTCACTCACCGCCGTGATTGGACCATCCACATCGGGAGTCAGTGATGCACCCTGCGGAGCTGGATGTAGATGTTGCCATTGTATAATCCTTGCGGGCTGTGAGAGTACTTATTAGTATAGGGGCCTAAATAATTTACCTGTACCAAATAGACCCCAAATCCCTAGTCTAATTATTAAGGCCCCCACATTACACTACTCTCGCAATCCTTTCCTGAGGAACACAGGCTTTGCAGAGCTTTGGCTTTATGCTCTCCGTGCCGCCCGTTTGGCACTGCCGCAGCTTGTCTAAACCATCGGTTTGATGGTGCAGGATGGGCCAACGAACAAGGTCACAAAACTGCTTCTGTGTTGGACTTTTGTTCAAGTTGAAAAGAGCGTAGGAGACAAAGGCTTTTGCGGGTGCAGGGTGCAGGCAACTTCACATGCAGTGTCTTAGTGGGGCACTACAGTGGCCAACGGCTTCGATTTCCATGGTGGGAGTCAGGAGTCAAACCCGTGGGCCCCTCCCTGACGGCCTGGGCAGGAGTCCTGTAGATAATTTGGAAACGCATCCTCATGCAAATCCCATAAACCCATCATTGCCTCGAGACCGGTGCCTTTCGCCTGAGTAAAGCTAGAATCAGCTAGAGTTACTACAGCGTGGCTTAGTACTGCACTTCGATCTGAGGAAACAGGCGTTGTCAGAGTGGTAGATTTGCTCACGGCAAGCCATGCCACTCAAAAACCCACAAATCTCAACCGGAAACAAAGAGCCGTGACAGGGAGTCTGCTGGCGGCCTATTGCGGGCAGCAAAGGAAGTGCGCATAGTGCGAAGTGAGAAGCGACTGCACCGGAGCTTTGTGGCCGCAGGCTGGGTGAAGTGATTTGGGTCTCGGGTTGAAGCTACTGTTAAATTCAGGTAGTAGGTTTGGAGGGATGGTGGCCCAGCAAATTCTTGAAATCTGAAGGAGAGCATGCCCGAACATGCGCTTGGTTTCTTTGCCTGGGACGGAACTTGTTCAGACTCACTGAAATTGTGCTCGGGGTTGGTCGAGGTCGGGTCAGTATTACTCGTGCAGCTTTCAAGAGAAGGCGATTGTACCTCGGGTGAGTACACTCGGTTGGAGGATTGCGTTTAGCTGGTGCCGGTTGGTGCCGATCATCGAACATGTTCTCTTTATATTTGCGGATTCATTGATTCCTTGCTTTATGTTATTGGTTCTGACCGGAATGTAGCGACTAGATTCACTGGAGCCCATGGCACGAATAAGAGCAGATGCCTGCTTAGGCTGGCTCCTCGACCCAAGTCTGTCTACAATGGGTTCTTCAAGTCGCAAAGAGGCAAAGGCTACCCATTCTATGGAGCACACCCTCAGCTACGCTAACAAGAGATTGGTCCGTTGAATGTTCCTCAACATCCGTATACTTGGTATAAACATTGTTTGCGGGTCGCTTCTTGCACACGTAACATGATGTGCTCACGGGCACCTTAAACGCGGCAGGCAAGGCTTTCGATCGCATTGCCGAGAAGTTGCGGCAGCTCGTAAACGTGACCCTCGCCTTTGGATATCCATAGTTTGGCTTGCTCAGAGCATGCTCGAGGTCTCCTAAGACAGAGCAGCGAAAATCCGCACAGCATGGGGTTGGGAAAGATAGTCAGCAATCGAGAGGTCCCTAGTGTAGTGTAGATGTTGTCTTGAGCCCAGTTCGGTTGAATACTGGACCATACCGGACGGCGGTGACAAAAGATCCAGTGGGAAATTTCCTCGTAATATTGACTGCGTGGGTGAAAGTTGAAAGTACCACATCTGCGCTCCAGGCTCTCAGAGAATCTCCTTGCACCGCATCCTCAAGTGTGGTTGTTGCATGCATCATTTGCTGCCGTGCTCAGGACGCCCAGTGTGGCTCCCACAACCTGCACGTTGGCATCGTCGACCGTCAAAAGAAACTCATCTGGGTTTTGATTCACGTACACGTATGTACACATAATCAGTTGCGTCTTCGTCGGTTTTGGCCTGACATCATGCTGGCCAGGCATCTGATGGGGGAAGACTTCAGAAGCCATTCATCCTATATTTGGCAGCATTTTCGAGACTTTCTCAGTTTCTCGGATTGGAGCATGCTATTCATTTGATTCACACTTGCCTTCTTTGGCTGAGTCTTGCAGGTTGAAGTGTTGCTCTCTGATCTCAGTGGCCCCTGCTCGCTTTAAACTCTGTCTCAAGAGATTCCGACCTATCGATGCTAATCTTTCGGAACGGTGTTCCGTGCCCTGTGGAGACTTGGCTCCCACATCATGATTTTCGGTTTGCTAAGCCGGGCATGTCAACTTCTAGCCTTCTAGCCTTTGCAAAGCCAAACCAAAACAGAAAGAGCCATGATTGAATTCGTCGTCTCAGTGGTTTCGGGCACGACCGCGAATCTCACTTCCCATCCTGTTGGTTCCCGCTGAGCGTGAGCAAGGAAGCATCCGCCTCTCCAATGACCTTCAGATGCCAGTGCTGGGGTTGGGCACAACCATGCTCAACGGTGCGTCTGGGAAGGCGGCCAGCACACACAGTGTGAGAGCAGCTGATCATGGACATTCCGGGCTGTCCTGCATGAGGTAGTCAGCCCTCAGCCTTTCAGACACAGTGACATACTGTGAGTGTCTCGCGCTAAAGCCCAAACTCACGCGACATGCCGATACGGTTGAGAGAGGTAGAACAATCAGAGTTAACCGCTGAGGTGTGGATGGTTCAGCAACTTCACGCTTCTGTGTGCGATTCAAGACTCTTTTCTGTCTCTGTCAAGCAGAGAAAATGCTGGAGCAGTTTGTGCACAGGGAAACACACAGCACAGAAGTATTACACAACAGAATGTGCGCCGAAATGGCTGAAGCATCAACTCTGTCTAGATAATGTAATGGCATCACTGAAAGCCAAAAGCAGAAGTCCTCAACGCCTGGCAGTCCTAGTCCCTCACGCCCCAGAGTCACAGTGGATGAGTGGATGTCCATAATTGGGGAACCCCAGCTACTGTAGTTATTGAACCTCTAGATGCCAAGCTCGAAACCCTAAAGCACTTCGGGATTGTCCTCCGTGCGAGAGTGCAAACCCTAAGCCTAAAACTTACACCGTCAAGGCATTGGACCCAGCTTCTCGCCTATACTTAGCTGCTTTGATGCTACTGCTTGTAACACACATGATGTGATCCTTGTATCTTACACGCGAGAGCTTGGGACATTGGCAAGTCCGAGTTGTGAGAACGCAGATCGCTCCGGCGAAGCCTAAGAAGTTGAGGTTATCATCTCTTCTTATTACTACTACATTCTAGTTGTTATTATTCTTTATGTCTATGATTATTATTCGTTTAAAATCCGACCAGGAGGCCATCCTCGCGGCGCTGCGAGAAGGCTACCGACTGATAGACACGGCGCAGGCCTATGAAAACGAGGCGCGGCTTCACGGATCCATGGATCTCCAGGATTTCAGATTCCGGCACGTATTTAGGGGCTTCATTTTTGAGGAGTTTGTGAGGTGGTGAGGGTTGTGACGGAGTGGAGGCTGGCGTGTAGTGTAGAAACCTCGAGGACAGGGCTCCGAGGTTTGTCCTTCTGATCTTCGCGCGGCTGCACGGAACTGCTTGGCCTCCAAGGGGTTTGCATCGTGGACCTCCGTTTCGCCCCTCAAAACACTCCCATACACACCAAAACCCCAAAACCCCAAACCTTGAGCAACAAAAACGCACCTTTCCCAGCATCTTGTTAGTCAGTCACACCAAGCCGACCTGTGCCCACATGCCTCGCCTGGAGTGTCCGAGCGCCGAAACCCAAAGCCGAGGCCGAGGTGGGCGAAGCTATCCTCCAGCCAGGATCCCCAGCACACGAGCTCGAAAGTGCTTAGGCGGATTTAGGGTTCAGAGTTTAGGGTTTGCGGGAGTTGGTCAGTCAGCATCGGCATCGTAAGGTCTTGAACTGTAGCCAGTAGTGCTGCAGCTTGGCGTGATGCTGCTGTGGCCTTTCACCTTCCCCGGCAGACTTCCCAAGCCCGGATGCAAAAAGAGTTTGGTGGGGGGGCGGGGGAGAATGTGGGTCAGGACTGGGCTCATCCTAATTTGTGACCTGTTGCTGCCAGACGTATTGGCCACGACCGAGCTCCTATGCATTCATACATATACACGCAGTATGTATGCGCTTTACGTATATACACATGTAGAACACATATACATATACATATACATATACATATACATATACATATATATATATATATATATATATGTATAGAGAGAGGGAGAGATGCATAGTTCTTTGTTCTGCCGGGAGATCCAGTCTGGTGGCTAAGACCCGGCCAAGGTCTGGCATACCTCGCTCGGAGATCTTCGTCGCGACGAAACTGTCAGACGAACCTCGGTTCCGGCACGCGAAGTGCTTGAACTCTCGCAGTGGATGATTAGATGCTCGACCGGGGATATCGAGCTGTAGGTGTAGCGGAGCCAACTTGCGGATCCTTGTGGCAAGTCAGCTGGCTGCAGCTTCCAGCGTCTGCAAACCCATTGAGTAAGGGAGCTTGGATGACAGTCGACTCTCTTCAGAATTTCTTGAGAGTGCTCGTTGTCTCTCGGATTGGAAATTGTGTCGGGAGGAGGGCCGGTCCTAGTGTTTCCGAGTCTGTAGACATCCGGGGGAAGGAGCCTTTCATGCACTGAAACTTGTCCCGCGGCCTCCCAAGAACTCCAGACAGGAAGTCTCTAGAGTCCCTGCACTACAGATCCCCGAGCCCTGCACATGATTGCGCCCTAAGCCACGAACATTTTTTCCGACAGTGATGGCGAGCCTTTGAAAACCAACCAGCTACCCTGCCATGCCGGTTCGTCCTTGCGAAGTAGGAGGCCAAAAACAGTTTTGTTTGAAATCGTTCCGAAGAACCCAAGGATGGCGATTGCAAGCCGGGCAGGGCGAAAGCCGCTTGGAAAAGTGCCATAGGGTTGTAGAGCTTGTATCAACTATTTAAAGTCTATACGATTCGAAAGTTTTGTCTTCGGAGTTTGACTAGCTCGGGCTTCATCTCAGAGTTTCGTGTTTTACCTCCTGCTGGAAACTTACATCCTCGAAAACTGTAAACTCCAGGGAATATGGCACGTCACTAACCCCATGCACGAGAGCCTGCGTCCTGAAGCCTTGAATGCGAGCTCAACCCTAAACCCTTCTGCACAGACTAGTATACCCTGTATAACCCTAAGCCATGCAAGGCACGGGTTCGGGCGCAGCTGAAGCTGCTGAAAACGAGCTACATTGATCAGCGCCTTATCCTGGACTGGAATCTCCTCATCAATCCTGGTCTCGAGCTTGTTCCGGTCCTTGGCCACATCTCTTCATGTCAATAAAGCGCTAACTTGCGGTCCAGTGCCCGCATCACTTCCTGAGAGAGCAAGCAAGTAACTTGTTGTCATTTTATGCTGCGACTTCTGTCTTCGCGTCGCTTGCCTGCTGATAATCCTAATGATGGGTATTCATAGCGATCCCGATCGTCGTCATGCCTGTGGTTCTTCTTCGTCGACTTGGATCATGATTACTGCGCTATTTTGTTTCTGGGCTCTTGCATGCAGCTACGACATTATGAGTCCGTGCTTGTGATGACCGTTGTGGTTCTCGCGGCACCATCAGTTCTAGCAGCATCTTCTATTCCAAAGACCCAGGCTTCGTTGTATGCTCCAGCCTAGCCTGCTGTAAACACGTCAGCAGGTACATGCTCCATGGGCCATGCGAAAGCATGGTCGAAGCTTGGAAGGCCCGTTAGCATTTGACACTTTGGGGTTAAATAGGAATGGTGGATGAGGCGCTTTTTGGCATCGCGATAGCGGGGGAGGTCGGGGTTTTGCACGTGAGATCTTGTGAGCCGCACGCTCTGAAAGTGCCAGGCATGGAAGCCTGTGGGGTGAAGTGGTGAAGTGGTGAAGTGTTGTCGAAAAGTTTCGGCGTTGAGATTTGTGCGGCATGTGCTTCCGGCAAAGATTTCCCGAGTTCGCCCGTCGCAAGTCGTCCGGATGGTTTCCGACAACCTTTGCTTGATGCTAGTTGCTACAAGTAGCGGTTTAAGGGCGGTCACAACTTGATAGAAAGCTGAATCCTCGGTCCAGAAGGCCAAAAAGCCAAGTGAATGCACAGGATCTCGAAGAACTGTACGATGCTGGCGTACTGCGATCACTTGGTGTGTCGAATTTCGACTACACTCAACTGCCGCTGGGGCGAAAAAGCAGCCCTGTTTCGGGTCTTGGGATTGGGGATTTCATTGGTTGATACCGTTTGATTTCTTCAGGGTAGTAGGGGTTTGGGATTTGGCATTCAACCCATGCCACTGCGGCTCTGGTTGATGGGGTTGGTCTGAGCAAGTGGTCCCGAATGTCCTTTATTTCATACAATTCCGTAAGATCCCCCTAGGTTGCCGGGATTCGATACGTAGACCTTTCCATTTCGCTCCGACGAGTAGATGTCTGTATCATTGTTTTCCCTGCTGAGGGCTGCAGAGAAATGGGGTTGCTTCCTGTGGACCAAATAACTCGATTTCGGAGTGATTTTGCTTCTGGTAGCTGCAAGTCCTGAACTCGCTGCTTGAACTGTTGAGACGAAGTCCACAGCAGCCAAGGAAACGTTTCTCGGGGCAGGTTCGCATCGCACCGCACGTCGTGCAGAACAAGCTCTCCGCCGTCATTATGGATGAAATAGGGGCGCACGGACGAGTGTTGGAGGATGTTGAACATTTCAGAGGCAACTACGTAAACTACCTAGGCTTCCCAAGCTTGGGAACCCCCAGCACGGAAGAGGCCAAGCCAGGCGTGACATTCTGAGGGAAATTTGTACTTGAAATTTGGTGGGAACAAAGGGCCTCTGACACTGCACTCAACCAACCTTCTCACTCCGCTCCAACGTATGTCCTGGATGCTGGCTTATGCTAGCCCTGCTCCTAAGTTACGTTCTCGAAAAAAGAATGTGCTTGCCCCAAAGCAGGAAGCTCCACAAGATTCCTTCGGGGTCCGGGGCCGACCGACAGATGCAAGGGGACCGGATGAGGGTGTCTCGCTTCATTGCGTACTTCGGTGCCCTTTCTCCGCTGGATGATCTGTGAAGCTGAGGTTCTCCATCTACCACCGTGGCTGGGCTCCTGTGGATCCTCTGAGGGCCGCTTGGCTTGGTGTTCAGCTCGGCCACACCACAGAGGTTCCAACTGTCTGAGTTTTTTTACCCCAAACAAACCTGAATCCCTAAGGCCCTGAACCCAAACACAGTACGTTGGAGTTGACAAAGCTTCGGTTGCTTGGCTGTATTTGCCAAGCAGCCTCTCGGCAGTAGGTCAGGGCTGGCGCTGGGAATACCTGCGAAACTACATGCCTGCCTGCAAACATACAATTAACATACACACATGCATGCATGCATACATGCATGTACATAGATATTTAGATCTGTAGTCGCATCGCAGGACCTCGCCGAAGCTTTTCGCAAGGAGGGCATGGTTGTCATGGGCTATTGCAACTTGGATGCGTGCCTCGGCCGTGGCAGGACTTGTGGGTTGAGGATTGGCTGTCTCCGTGGACGGCTGCATGAAGGCTCTTCGGAAGAAGCCAGTGCAGGGGGAGTGTGTGCTCCTTTTTCATGCAGTCACCGTGCACTTCGTTGAGGCTTCACCAGGTCGTTTGACCTTGTGTTGAGCTTTGACACTCTGCCGGGCCCATGCTTCTGTGCTGAAGGTATCCACACGTCTTGCAGCCGCTGGAAGACATCTTTGTGCGGAGAATTGCTTCGCGTTGTGGGAGAACGCCTGCCCAGGCAGGCTGCAGGGCTTTCTTCAGCATGAGAACTTTTCGTTCCCCCACAGACATCAATGTCTGGCTTGGAGGTTAGCTCGTTTTTGGTGACCATGGCTTGCAAAGTGCACGAGCCGCAAGGCGGAGAAGTAGACTCCGCAGACTGCTCAACAGTCGTGTGTACAGTCGATTCAGGTTCTGCTGCGCCATGCTCTGCAGCACCACACGGATTCTTGGACTAATATCCTTGCAGCAACCGCATCCCCTGTATTGCAATGCAGTCCTTTCTTTGTGCAAAACCGCATGGTGGCCTGGCAAGCAACACAGCAGGTAAAAACCATCAACATCATGGTCCGCCACATGAATGCTGCAAGCCTTGACGCCTTGCACCCTATAGACCATCCCTAGATCCATCGCCTGTCAAAGCACAAGAGACAGCATCCAACCCCAAGACGAAACCCAGGTGGTCATCCCCAAGTCAGAAAGGCCGGAGCGCCTCAGGGAGCGTCTTGGCATTGACCTTTTCGCGAGCTTTCGATTTAGCTTGCAGGATTATCGGGGCGACCCAGGGCCTTCGGGTTTGGTTTCTCGGTGGTTCTCATCGGGCCAGACAAGGAATGCAGACATTTTCGACTTCGAACTGTCGCCTGAAGACATGACGCTTGGCGGCATCATTTGTGTAGGCGTGCTTGTATACTGTATAAGACTTGTAAAAGCATTGAGGGAGACCGGCATGGCTAACAGCACGATGACGGTCGTCAGCAATATCACTTTGGCCACGGCTCAAGCCTGGAAAGGTTCTGTCACATGTTACCGAGCCACTCGAATTCCCAACGCAACCTTGCAGGGTTTGTCATGAATCCAGTCTGCGATGCTTCCCAGAAAGGCTTGCTGGTATCAATGCCTTGTGCAACTTGCTCAGTTGCTTCGGGTATCGTCTAGCCGGCGCCATGGACTCCTTCGTCTTCTTCGCTCAGATGCTGTGCTGCGCACGCGACTTGACCTGTGTTGGAGGGCGGGCAAAGCCCCGAACGTCGACACGCTCCACTGGGACTGGGCTCTCGCCGTTTACGGAGCCCAATGCCCGGGCCGGCGCGGAGTCTGGTGCAGCGGAGGGCGTGCCCGAGCCTGGGCCGGCAGTGGCATCAGTGGCATTCTGGCACACTCCGACAAATCAGCCTGCGCCATGGACTCGAGCGATCCCGAAGCGAGCGGCCAAACCGATCAACCCTCGCTGCGATGGGATTTTTGAATCAAACCCGACGCCCCGGCCTGCCGTGCCCAATCCAGCGGTCACGGATGAGACTTGCACGAAGGAGGCGCAGACTTCAGGTGCTGACGCCCGTGCAGAGCCCCACGTGCGGTGGGCAGCGCGGCCCTTGCTGGCGCGGGGCTCCGACTGAGCTGGCAGTGCGATCTGACGTAGGGGCCTGAACACTTTGTTATAGTATCTGCTTGCAGTCCCTAATATTTCTTAGTGTGCAGTTTTCTGGTTTCTTGTGAATATCCAAAACTGGCCATGGATCTGATAACAGCGCATGTGCATGACCAGCCGGCATCTTGATGACAATGGCATCGCCACGCTGGGTTTTCGAGGGACTTTCTGGCTGCTACGGGCCTGGGAGGTTCCAACAAACTCGTTGCAGTCAAAGACACTGTCACAAGCCATTTCCTCGCTGCATTCCCCAGGTGCACATATGAGTAGTTCTCTAACCTGTTAAACCCGTTGCAAACCCCCAAACCCAAAGCCCTCGAAGCTAAAACCCGCAGAGAGGAGACCTATAGGAAACCGAGAGAGGGACGAGTCCAAGACTGCCCCTTCGTCTCACGAGGCCTCCGAGGATTGTTGCACCAGAGACTTATTTTGGAGGAGAGGTACTTACGAAGGACGTCATATATAGGAAGCACGCGCCTCGCTCAAAAAAAGACCTGGAGACCTTTTCGCCGAGGCACTGGGAGTTATTGGGGGCTTTGTTGCTCAGTCGTTTCCAAATCTCACCTGACCCGGTCGAGCGAGAGCGCTGGAAAACAATGACAATGATCGTGACCGTGTTCCATGTCACCAGCGAAGATTTCGGGAGTGCTCGACTCACAGTCTGTTGAAGTTCAGGGAAGTATCAGCCGAGACGACAGCAGATCTAGCGGTACCAGCACAACAGCTTGCTGCAGTCACTCATGTAAGACGACGCGAAGAGGAAATGGAAGAGTGAGGCGGCATTCGCCCTCGAGCAAAGCAGCTATTCGTAACTAGCTAGCGACCTGCTTATTTGGTGTGGTGATGGCTGTGGGAGCTGAGAGTCAGATTTCTGATGGACGGTCGGCAGCGACACACACGTATAATACATATGTCGATGCTGCAGCTTGTAACAATTATATCACTTTGGCCACGGCTCAAGCCTGGAAAGGTTCTGTCACATGTTACCGAGCCACTCGAATTCCCAACGCAACCTTGCATGCAGGGTTTGTCATGAATCCAGTCTGCGATGCTTCCCAGAAAGGCTTGCTGGTTTCAATGCCTTGTACAACTTGCTCAGTTGCTTCGGGTATCGTCTAGCCGGCGCCATGGACTCCTTCGTCTTCTTCGCTCAGATGCTGTGCTGCGCACGCGACTTGACCTGTGTTGGAGGGCGGGCAAAGCCCCGAACGTCGACACGCTCCACTGGGACTGGGCTCTCGCCGTTTACGGAGCCCAATGCCCGGGCCGGCGCGGAGTCTGGTGCAGCGGAGGGCGTGCCCGAGCCTGGGCCGGCCGTGGCATCAGTGGCATTCTGGCACACTCCGACAAATCAGCCTGCGCCATGGACTCGAGCGATCCCGAAGCGAGCGGCCAAACCGATCAACCCTCGCTGCGATGGGATTTTTGAATCAAACCCGACGCCCCGGCCTGCCGTGCCCAATCCAGCGGTCACGGATGAGACTTGCACGAAGGAGGCGCAGACTTCAGGTGCTGACGCCCGTGCAGAGCCCCACGTGCGGTGGGCAGCGCGGCCCTTGCTGGCGCGGGGCTCCGACTGAGCTGGCAGTGCGATCTGACGTAGGGGCCTGAACACTTTGTTATAGTATCTGCTTGCAGTCCCTAATATTTCTTAGTGTGCAGTTTTCTGGTTTCTTGTGAATATCCAAAACTGGCCATGGATCTGATAACAGCGCATGTGCATGACCAGCCGGCATCTTGATGACAATGGCATCGCCACGCTGGGTTTTCGAGGGACTTTCTGGCTGCTACGGGCCTGGGAGGTTCCAACAAACTCGTTGCAGTCAAAGACACTGTCACAAGCCATTTCCTCGCTGCATTCCCCAGGTGCACATATGAGTAGTTCTCTAACCTGTTAAACCCGTTGCAAACCCCCAAACCCAAAGCCCTCGAAGCTAAAACCCGCAGAGAGGAGACCTATAGGAAACCGAGAGAGGGAAGAGTCCAAGACTGCCCCCTCGTCTCACGAGGCCTCCGAGGATTGCTGCACCAGAGACTTATTTTGGGGGAGAGGTACTTACGAAGGACGTCATATATAGGAAGCACGCGCCTCGCTCAAAAAAAGACCTGGAGACCTTTTCGCCGAGGCACTGGGAGTTATTGGGGGCTTTGTTGCTCAGTCGTCTCCAAATCTCACCTGACCCGGTCGAGCGAGAGCGCTGGAAAACAATGACAATGATCGTGACCGTGTTCCATGTGTCACCAGCGAAGATTTCGGGAGTGCTCGACTCACAGTCTGTTGAAGTTCAGGGAAGTATCAGCCGAGACGACAGCAGATCTAGCGGTACCAGCACAACAGCTTGCTGCAGTCACTCATGTAAGACGACGCGAAGAGGAAATGGAAGAGTGAGGCGGCATTCGCCCTCGAGCAAAGCAGCTATTCGTAACTAGCTGCAACTAGCTACAGCGGCAGCGACCTGCTTATTTGGTGTGGTGGTGGCTGTGCGAGCTGAGCATCAGATTTCGGACGGATCCCGAGTAACAAAGCCGCAAGGCAACAAGGTGTCGCAGTTGGCTTGCAATGCAAGTGGTGAAGCGCTGACGCTGCGAGGGAGTAGGAATGAAGTGCAATCAAATGCAGGGTTCTGGAAGACAGGAGTCGTGTACCCAAAGCACCCAGTCGGGGCCCGTTCTGGCAGCGACAGCACTCGGACCTGAGCCACTGCCGAGGCGGATCCTGGATGCCCTGCCAATGCTGGCGCACCACGGACGAGAGCCCAGACCCTTCGAAGCAACCGGAATGAAGGTTCCATTGTTTATGATGGCAGTTAAGGTTTACACTTTGACAGAAAACAGTAGAAGCCTGTGTCAGAGGCTATGTTGAGGACGTGTTGGGCTTGAGGAATACGGACGAACACTCCGCCGAGCTGTAGCAGGACCGATTGAGATGAAACGTCGGCCACAGATGGCTCCCCGTTCTGGCTCTGTACTGGTTGTGTAGCGACTGTAGCGATCTTTCATTGTTCGGTTTCCCGTGAGCGACCTTTGCCATTCAGAGGACTAGCACGTGCGTGGAGTGTATCGAGCCGACCATTGCAGGCCGACCTTGCACGGCTTCACGACCCCTCTGCTTTCTGGAAGTCCGGGACTGGAGGTCCTAAAGATAAGGCAGCAGGCTGCACCTGCAGGAAAGGTCGTGCTCCTGCTAGCGGGCCTTGACGAAGCGAAGCTGACCAGGAGGGACATCCGCGATCGATGGTGGAGTTGTTGCGATGGAATCGTGGCCGTTGCCACCGGCTCTCGCTGCCACTCATGCCGATGATGAAAAGTTGCTGCGTTATGCAAGAACGAATCAGACTGGCTCAATTCTTGGCCGCCTTCGTGCCGAGAGACACTGCAGATTACAGGTGATAGGCTTCCCATCTTATCCCATGCGGGTTCTATCTATCGCCTTCTGTTCGGTGCATTCTGCCGGGAGTCGAGCGTAGCACTGCTGCCAGCACCACTGTTTTGAAGTACTTGCACGTTCAACCTGCTACTGAGCTTTGTGCAGCTATTTACAGTTAATGATGTTGAATGTAAGTGACACTTAAAACTGTCCCAGCCCTAAACTCGGAACTTTACCCTGCAGCCTCCACCCCACGTGCTGTTCAACGGGGTCCTGAAAAGCTCTCACTTAGAGGCGCCTGAGAAGCAGTTGGCCCTGCCACCGGTGGAAGAGGCAGCAAGGGTTTCAAGTCAAAGTTTCAGAGTTCAGGGTTGAGCTACTGGCGAGGCTCTGGTTCGCTTGGACCGGCACGGGCCAAGGTTACATAAGATGGTTTGTATTGAGAAAGAGACCGGTGAAAATCGTAGCCCAGGTGCTTGCGCTAGTCGTTTTATGTAGCCCGAATGAGGCTGCTTTACAACCACTCCTTTATATTGTTATTGCAACCAGCAACCACCAAACCCAGCCGAGTATGCTGCCCATACCCAAGCTAGAGTCGGGTTCTACACCCGCAAAACTCGTCGAAGCCTCGCAACGACGAGTCTCCCGAAAATCTTGAGGCTGCCACGGCAACGGCCGCGGAGCCGAAGAAGCCGGTGACTTCGGCTGCGGGTGTTTGTGTTGGAGCTCATGGCTTAGGTTTTTGGGTTTGGGGGTTCAGGCCGTCATGGTGTTGCTGTGGTTGAGGAGATTTTCTGGTGGGGCTCAAGCCTAAGAGGCGCAAGAAAGAGCGTGCCTCCGCAGCCAAGGTTAGATTGAAGAAGCAGAGGAGGAAGCTGGAAAAGAAGAAGGGTGTGAAGGCAGGATCCTTGGAAGATTTGGGCTCGGTCGTTTGTGTCGTAGAGGGGATGGACATAGACCTTTCCTGTCCGGGCTGATGCGATACCGGGGGCTTGCAAAGGATTCCCTACCCCGAGTCTCACGTACTAACACAGTAGTTATACCGATGACACGCGCTTGTGCACCCTGTCCTCAGTCTAGTTTGTGCAGGGTTGCTGGGCTGTTCAAGCCCAGGAGTATCGAGGTTTCAGGAAGACTTGTGAGCATGGGTACTTGGGCTTGGAAGCTCTAGAAGAGGCGTGGATGTTGCGCAGGCCAGGAGCAGCTTGCATTAGATTCGTATTCAGCAGCTCTTTCGGATGCACTCGGTGACAGCTTGCTGACCCGTCTTCGTCCATTACGCGACCTGTGCTCCGCAGGATCTCAGAACCAAGTTTTCCGGTCCTAGTGTCTTGCTGCCTGTGGCTCACTCTTGGGGCCGAGCCCTAAGTTCTGAAAACAACGACTGCCCCGAAGCCCAAGACCCAAGACCTGCCCAAGGCGAAAGCAAGCCTCAGAGCTCAAGACCCGCAATAATCCTGGACATAGAGTCGAAAGTCAGAGATACTGAAGTCCGACAATCATTCCGCACCCCAAACGTGGAACATCACACACAAAGTCCCTACGGCCCTACGTCACACAGCCCTACACCAGAATGCTTTTCGCCCTCACTTTCCCGGAGAGGACACCTGACTGCCACTTCGTGTGCGGACAGCTTCGACTGCCAGAAAAGGGTGCTGAGCACTGAAAGGTCTGGTAGGTGAAACTTGGAGAGGCAGAGCTGGCGCGATGGCACTTGGACTAGCGAGCGAGGCGACACTTGGTGCTGCGGCGCCTTGACTGTAGAGAGGTAACAAGGTCCATCACACATCTTGACGAGGAGCCACGTTCCTCTCCTTCAGCCTCTGTACTTGGCCCAACCATAGGAGTCGCAGATCCAGCCCAAACCGGCTGCCTCCCAGCGCAGGTGGAATCCCTCCACAAAGCATGCATCGGCGAACTCCAGGTGGTGGTTGAGGTTTTAGGGGGATTCAACCTCCGGGCCTTCAGGTTGGAAGTTGAGTTTGCAAGGTGTTTGCTTTGAGTCCGCGTGCAGGCCCCGGTGCTTGAAGTGTAAAAGCCTTGAGGTTGGGAAGGCCATTTGAGGATTTAAACGTTTGGGATGTTTTGCACTGGCTTGAGCAAGGTCTTCTGGAGCTTTCATGGGATGTGCACTTTGTTCTGCAACGTTTCGATGTTTTGTGCAGGCACACTTAGAGCAGCGAGATTAATGCCGTTGTTCCGATCTTTGTCTCTCCTGGCCGGAATTCTGCCCTTGACCTTCTCTCACGTATGTATCCTAAACAGCGCTTTGCCGGACGCAGTTGTTCGCTTCAGGATGGCCTTGTGGGAAAAGGGGGGGAGGGGGTGGGTGGGTGTGGAGCTATGTTTGTCGAAGAATGCAGGCTCATGAGCCTGAACACTGCAGTGTTCTTGTTTGCGCGCTTGCGTCCTTCTTTGCCTTGCTTGTTGTTCTTTCTGTCCTTGTCGCAATCGCTGAGCGGTGACGACAAGAGTAATTTTGATGCTGGCCACGGTGACTTGTTGCGTCCGCACCAGCAGAGCCTGCTGTATCCACGACATAGCCACGACCACGAAGCAAGTCGTAGCGGAACCATTGACGCAGTGTTTGCCGGATCTCGAGTAGAGCGCTCTGCATCACGAATGCCCAGTCAATCATCTCATCAGTCTTCTCAGGGGAGATTTTCTTTCAATTGAGCCGCTGGCTTAGTTCTGAACGGTCATCGTGGTTGATCCTGGAGTTAAGTCATGATGACTACATCTCTGCCGGCATAGTTTATTGATTTCGAGTCTTAATGCCAGGCTTTCTACTAGCGACAATTCTCATTTCTTCATGCTCTCATGGTTTGTCTGGCCTCTAGGCCTGCGCTACAGTCTTACACTCTATTCAATTTTGGAAGTGAGAATCCAATTCGGGAACTACTGAGCCGCCTCTGAGCTCCAGGCGGCTCACGCCGACTACTCGGAGCGTCTTCAGGCCAAGGCCGTCCTCTGTGGGGTGGAGGGGTGCCATGTGGCAGTTAGTTCTCTCCTATGCCCATCTGCATGATATCTCCAGCTCCGCATGTGGTGGTGGCCTTAGCCTCGCTAGGAACAGTGCTCCTCAGAACTCGCCGATTGCTCTCAAGGGCTGTGTGGGACCAGTAACTCAACCGGTACGGTGCTGAGAGTTTACAATCCGACGCCAGTTTCTTTTCGAACGTTCTCGGCAAGAGAGTGCCTCAGCGCTGTTCGGTGCTGAAGAGCCCCAGCTATAATTCCTATCTGCTAAGTTGAGATTGTGAATTTTGCAGCACAGAGCTCACAGCGATGGAGTGCCGCTGCCCTGTGTCCAGCCATGACAGCTGCAAGGTCTTTGAACGAGCAGTTTCTACCAGAATGTACACACACACACACACCACGCACCCCTGAACATGTACTGGCTCTAGCTCATGGATTTCTCTCCCGGCAGCCCTCCCAACTTGGGACAAGCTCCTCAGCCATGGGCCTTTCTTTCTCGAAGATATGGCAGCGCATGATCGGCGAGCAGGAACTGAAGATCTTGATGCTAGGATTGGATTCGGTGGGTAAGACCACCATTCTCTACAAGCTGAAGTGCGGCGAAGCGGTCACCACGATTCCCACTATCGGCTTCAATGTGGAGACTGTGGAGCATAAGAACGTGTCATTTACCGTGTCTTGGGCCTGAAACTTCTATGTGATTTCGGCAAACTGGGATTTCGACTAGACATGTGCCCGCTCGCTCTTTGCAATTGCCTCAGCCGTTGAAGGCAGAATGTTTTCGGTTTTTCCGGGCTGGGAAAGTCAAAGAAGAAGCTGCCTAATTTCCAGTCTTGGGGGTGCAGTTTCTGGCTGAGGTGGCCTCTGGGGATCTCTCGGGTTGCCGCCCAAACAACAAGGAACAGGAAGGTAAGAAGATCGGCATCGCAAAGCCCAAGTTCTTGAAGCGCAGCACCGCGATACCGTCAAACTACAGAGCCCACTGTCACCATCGCCATAACCACTTAAAAACAAAGAGCAGCAAGGCATTTGGAAACCCTGGATCTCGCAAACTACGAGCACTGACTTTCTTCTCGAATCTTTCTATTCCAATATTCAGCCGGGCCAAAACTTCCGTAACTGTAGTTTTCGTCTGTGTTGGACGACAAGGTGTGGGACGTTGGTGGGCACGACAAAATTTGCGCCATATGGCGGCAACACTACCATGGGGCGAAGGGGTTGATATTCGTGGTTGACAGCATCGATCGTGATCGCATACAAAAGGCCCGCGAGGAGTTCAACAAGATGTTGAGGGCGGACGAAATGCGTAAGGCGGTGGTTTTGGTCTTTGCCAACAAGCAGGACCTGCCTAATGCAATGACGACAGCAGAGGTCACCGAAAAGCTCGGGCTGAACGACCTGCACCGTCAGTGGTTCATCCAATCTGCCTGCGCCACGACGGGAGAGGGTTTGCACGAGGGATTGGATTGGCTTTCCCGGACCCTGTGCTGAAAGTGCTGGGTGGGCAAGGAGGGTGGCTCAGTGGCTCAAGCGAGTGCTCAAGCTGAATTGTATTGGACGCTTGAGAATTGTAGGTCGCCTTTGCTCATTTGTACAGGTTTTGAGCTGAAGGGATGCATCATTGTGTAGTGTGGTGCATGTTAATTACTTGGAGCGGCTTTGCTCAGCCAACCCTCAATGCTGTTGCCAAAGCATGTTTCTGCATTCTACGCCGCGTCTGAACTTCAACCGGCGAAGACTCCATGGCCATGTATCCCCGTAATCTAGTCGACTCGGCCCAAGGTGGTGGACAAGAGTCCTTTGTGGCAGACAATTGACGTTTGGTCGTTAATCCTGGCGTGACTATCCTCAGCAGCAGTCGACTGAATTTCGAGTGAACGAGGGATAACGAGGGCATACTTTGAATTGTCTGTTTTTGGGATGGGAAGTCTAGGCCCTAGAGATTTTTGTTCTCAGGTTGAGGTTTGGGGGAGTTGCGTTTAAACCCCAGACGGCTCTGGCAAAAAACACCACCTGAACCCTGAAGGCAGCCCTAGGAATTGCTAAACGATGCCAGGAGCGTGAGCTGGCGGACAAGCGAGCTCAGATCAAGACCCTTTCGACCGACGTGGCCGAGCAGGACCTTCATTTGCCGAGGGTTTAGGGGTTACTATAGGGGCCTAAATAATTACCAATACTATCTTGGAGGGTCCTCATATTTACAAATGTGTAATGGGCCCCATATAGTAGGGTCCTTGTGAAGACCTTAAGATTCCAGCTTGCCGGCACACCCAAAGCCCGTGCTGAAAAAGGGTTCAAGGATGTTCAGGATTTATGGGTGTTCATATGTTTTGTAGAGTTTAGGTTCACGTGCAGTTCTGGACATCTCGAGAGTCCAGATGTGTGGGTCTAAGCTTTTCTGCGGAGCAGCTGCACTGTAGGAACAGGCTGGAGGAGCTTATGTAAGGCTGCAGTAGGATAGAAAGTTGGACCGTTGGTATTCCTTACTGAACCTTCAGCTCCTGCTATCTCCTGTAGCAGTTATAGGGAAAGCCTGGGAAAATATCGCAGTCTGGCCCCCGATACGTCGAGCCTCCGGGTTTCTTTGAAGTGCAAGGTTGTTCAAGGGCGAAGTCTTTGAGAACTGGGTGCGGGTTGCGAGTGAAGAATCAACATTCAATCTCGACCCATCAAAACATCTCTCGGGCCCCAATGCCCGACGCCCAAATTTTGCTGACGCTCGGAAGGATAGGCACGGTTTACAGAGGGCTTTGGATCTGCTGCCCGAAAGTTTTCAAATACTTTTCGGGATTGCTGAAGTTGTAAAATGCGCGGCTCTTATGGCGCATGCGTATGCATGTATATCAAAGTCTGGGTTCATACATACATCAATGTACAACAATCAAAAGCTTGGTCAGAAATGAAGCCAGAGTCAAGCATGCGCATCCCTCTTTGCCAGGAGGCGAAGATCGAGCATCTGCGGGTGGAGGCCGGCCTTCGAAGGGCAAGATACTAAATCTTAACTCAACCTACCCCGACCCAACAGGGAAAAGGAAGTTATTCCTCCACGCTCTACACCGAAAATCCGCAAAACCTCAATCCAAGACTGGAAGAGCTGCTTTATACCTGAAATCCCGAAACTTGAAGCGAGCATCGATTCTCATGTTGAACTTCGACGAGTTTCTTCAAAGTCCCTCAGCGGAAAAGGCTCAAAGTGAGAGCAACAATTACAATAAGAGTGCAGGCAAAAAGATCTTACAAATACTGTCCCCGCAGTAATGACAATACAAGTGCAGAAATAGTTGCAGCAAGAGCAGCGAGTTGCAGCAATGGCAGCAACAACAGAGGATCACCACCACCACTACCACCACGACGACGACTACTACTGCGAACACTAGCATAGTAGAAGAAGTAGTCGTCGTCGTAGCAGTAGCGCAGTAGCGCAGTAGTAGTAGTAAAAGTAGTAGTAGTAGTAGTAGTAGTAGTAGTAGTAGTAGTAGTAGTAGTAGTAGTAGTAGTAGTAGTAGTAGTAGTAGTAGTAGTAGCAGTAGCATAGCAGTAGCAGTGGCAGTGGCAGTAGGTAGTAGTAGCAGTAGCAGCAGTAGCAGTAGCAGTAGTAGTAGGAGTAGTAGTAGTAGTAGTAGTAGTAGTAGTAGTAGTAGTAGTCGTAGTCGTAGTCGTAGTCGTAGTCGTAGTCGTAGTCGTAGTCGTAGTCGTAGAGTAGTAGTAGTAGTAGTAGTAGTAGTAGTAGTAGCAAAAATGTGAAGACCTGTCATAGGTGTCCTGACATCAATCAGCCCAGCAGACCTCAGGTGGAGCAGTACCAGCAGACCCACATTGAGATGGACAGAGCCATGGCTCGCCCTTTTGGGGCTTTCTTTGACGCTCATTTTGGTGGTTGTTAACAGCTTTGCAGTTTGGGTGCAGGGTCGTAGGGCTGAGAATTTCATGGTCAGGGTTCGGAGTTCAGGGTATAGGGACAGCTTAGGGCTTTTAAACGGCTTTCGACGGGTTCGGGCCGGACCTTCAGGGCTTGTGGTATTCTGCTTGATTGCATTCATGCAATGGAGTTGTCGGCCATGGAGTTGTATTGTTGGTTTTTGTCGGTTTGTCAGGGAATTAGCTGCCGCTTCAGTGGCCGACGTTTCTGGACTTGGCTTGGGCTTGGAGCTTGCAGGCTTAGGGTTTGGGAGATGAGGTTTCAGAAGTTGTGCAAAGTTTGGGGTGCCGGGCTTTTCATCTTGGGGCTTATGGAGATCAGGGTGCTCATTAGAGCGAGGCACGAACACCGCTGTACTTTGGTGCGTCTCGGAGCCGCGGACTGACACAACATATTTCGTGACAACAACCTGTCTGTGTTCATCTGTATTCCGAGGTTACTGTCGAACTTTGTGGTTTCGTGGCTCCTAGTTCCTCTACCCCAACCGCAAAGCCGCAACTCCGAAGCCGACATTTAGAAACACACCCGAAACGCAATCGTAAGCGTACAGCGCTCACCGCAAGCACCCCGACGAGGCGTAGGCGACATTTTCTGTTCGCAGGCCGAGATGAAATCTGGCTATGAGCGGAGGATCTCACAGAACGAGGTGCTCATTTGCCAAATTTGCCAAATGCTGACCATGGTCGCAAACGCAGAAGCAAGTACCATAGGGACCTTAATAATTATCTACATTATTTTGGGGGTTCCTTAATAAAATTATAGTATAATGGGCCCCAAATCCTTATTCTAATCATTAATCATTAAGGGCCCCTATATTACCATAGCAATAGTGCTTTTGGGCTGTGCAGGAAGACAGGTCCAAAGCTGACAAAGTCATCCGAAATCTCCGCCCGTGCCCAAGCTGTCCTTTCATGGTATAGGGTTTAGGCTGCTCAGGCTTCTAAGGCGCCGAAGTCTCGGGCACGTTCCCATCCCAGCTGCTACTCAACAGAAGCTATTTCAGTACGGCTCCAGGTCACACAGCGCATCGAAAGCTTCAATTACACCCGGCAAAGCAAGCTTTCACCTTGCCGGACCGTCGTTATAGTCCTTGCCCGACTTGTCCAAGTGAGTGTCAAAGCAAAGGCAGGAAAGTCTGAACCCCAAAGCTGGCGGTGCCTAACCCCTAAAGCCGCCAGAACCCCAAGCCTCGAAGGTGAGAACCTCGAGCAGATGGAGAAAGAGAAGGTGCCTCGCACCATTTTTCCTTTGGATTTTCTGTGGGAGTTAGTGGAGTTGGATCGCTTTGTTTCTTTCTCATGCTCGGGACCTGCTGTAGCTATCACAGTGAGCAGGGTGAGACCGCACCAGAGAGTGGAAACGAAGAATGGCAATACGAGGGCTGTTCGCAACCGAAACGAGCCGAGCACCTGGATCCCAAGGGTCAGCTCATGTTCGAGCTGGATCAGCTCCGCATCGGCCTCAGTGTGCTTGAGGTTCTTTTATCTCAGATGCCCCCATCGTAATCGAACTGGCACGGGCGTCTGTATGGTCACCATCGCAGTGGTTTGTGGGCGGTTCATGGATTTTGGCGCTTAGCTCGCCAGCGCAGGGTAAGAGGGCTGCGTCTACCTCCCGTGGGTGCGGATTTGACTCCTGCAGAGGAAGCCAGGGTTCGCTCCAAAACTCAGGTGAGGGTCATTGAAAGCTTTCATCTCAACAATCAGCTTGTAGATACTTTACATGTAACATGCAGATACTAGTAGTGACAGTGGACACCGGCCCGCTTGTATGGAATCACTGCAAATCACCAAGACCGAATCTGCCACTTCAAGCGGTCTCTCGTGCGAGGCCAGAACATGGACCACGAGAAGTTTTGCCCTCGTGGGAGTTCGCCATAGGGGGCCGGAATACTTAGCAGTGATATCCTCGGTGGTAGAGGAGATTCTGCAGGACACGAGTTCATCCCTCAGTTCAGTCTGTTCCGAGAGCACCTGTTTCCGGCATTGCCTGCCCGGGCTTGCAAAGGCATGTGACAGGGTTCGAATGTTGCGTAACGCAAGTAACGTGTTCGCTGTCGGGGTAAGCTATGGCTTCCCGTCTTAGTGTGTGCAAGGCGTCAGACGAAACCCAAAAGACCTGAATCCCCACTCTTCGGAAGTGGATTGAGGGTTGGGATAGAAGGGTTGCGCGGATCGGAAGGGCCTGAAATACCCGAAACGCTCCAGATAACAAATTCCATGGAGCAATCGTGCAGGGACATGCTTGAAATATGTAACGTAAGGCCACGCCGTCACGGTTGGATCACGCTGGGACGCACCCTTCGAAGCTCTGGAATTACTTCTTCTGAGCAGCTCTCAGCTATCAGCGGACCAAGGAAAGAGATGAGTCGGAAGACACAGGCCTTTTTCAAGGACCACTGGCCGGCGGTGTCGTTGTGTTCGGGGATTTTGTTGACAAGATCCGTCAGTTCGATTGTTTCGATGTTGGAGCTGGTCCCCGGCCACGAGTGCGGCCCCGGCCACGAGTGCGGTCGAGTCATAGGTTGGCAGCGCGGAACCTTGAAGTGAGTAGTGGTACAAGGTCCTCAGGTACTGCACGAGCTCATCGTAACAATGAGCAGACCGCCTAGATTCACATATGTTCACATTCATCTTGCTGGCCTTGCTTGAAGCCACTTCATCGGCAAGGTGAGTTCGCCAAGTTTCATCACTGGTTGTCCGAACCTCGCACGACACCTGTGTCTACAACTCCCAAGTCCTCACTTGGGCAGGATTAGATGGCGATGCTGCTGTGGGCATTGTACTCTGTAATGCGAGGGCAATCGCCCACCCAGTTCACCAGCAGTCTCTTTCTTACTCCGGCTTGCAGGAGTGTGAGCAGAAGATGCAGGAAAACGATTCCAGAGTGTGCTCTGCCTCAGCTTGTCTCGAGATGTTTTGAGGATGGCCCTTGCCGAATCGGGTCCACTTTCGGATTCAATTCTTTTTAAGTGCATCGTCGCAGAGATAGTAGCAGGTCCAACCGCAGCAGGAGCAACGACAGACACGGCTGCACAAGAAATCTCATTCTTCCCTGTGGGCGTACTCGTGGCAGCAGCGGTGACTCAGGGCAGGCCATGCAGTGAATGCCCGTAACAGTTGTGAAAATGCAGCAGCTGTAAGCGGAGGAGTAGCAGCGGCAGTAGTAGTAGCAGTAGTAGTAGTCGTCGTAGTCGTAGGTGGTAGTCGTAGTCGTAGTGGTAGTACTAGTAGTAGTAGTGGTAGTAGTGGTAGTAGTAGTAGTAGTTGTAGTAGTACTAGTAGTAGTAGCAGCAGTAGCAGTAGCAGTAGCAGTAGCAGTAGCAGTAGTAGCAGTAGTAGCAGTAGTAGCAGTAGTAGCAGTAGCAGTAGCAGTAGCAGTAGCAGTAGTAGTAGTAGTAGTAGTAGTAGTAGTAGTAGTAGTAGTAGTAGTAGTAGTAGTAGTAGTAGTAGTGGCAGTAGCAGTAGCAGTAGCAGTAGCAGTACTGTAACAGTAGCAGTAGCAGTAGCAGTAGCAGCTGTGGTAGTAGTTGTATTGGTAGAGGTAAAATGGTGGTGGTGCTGGTGCTGGGGCGAAAGACTAATCGAACCATCTGGTGCTGGTGCTGGTGCTGGTGGTGCTGGTGGTGGTGGTGGTATAGCAGCAGTAGCTGCAGTAGTAGTCGTCGTAGTCGTCATCAAGCAGATGTAGTATCAGTAGTGGAAGGAGAAGGCGTAGTAGTACGAGTAGTAGAAGTAGTACAGAGTTCCGATTGCGATAACGTGGTAATTTGAGCCTTCGGCAGTGCTGAGGAACCAAACCATGGCTGAGTTCAACACCCAGCGGAGCAGGCACCAGCAGAGCTTACTGCATGAGTTGCAGGTCGCAGAGGTGCTGGACAGGCAAATTTGGGTCTTGACAGGTTGCCTGTGGATTTTGTCAGGTTTTGGTTTCTTCGGTCTCTAGTACTTGAAGATGTGTTATGGAATGGTGGGTGCTCTAGCCTCCAAAGCACTCTGACTGCATGTTGTTACGGCTCCGACGACGCCCTTCCACGAGTGAGGGCATGTGGAGTACAGACGCATGATTGTGATGCATTGCACAGTCTCTTCCGGAATGGATAGAGATTGACGGAGAGTACAAAACAGAAGCTGGGGCAGTAGCTGAGAGGCGTCCGGCATCCCCAGCACGCAGTATGGCAGGCTATGGCATTGGATATGTAGATGCTTTATGCATGACTTGATAAGGGGGGCAGAATGCAAGGACCCATGTCAGCATGTTGTCTCAGGTTGTTGCTTGGAGCTGTCGTTCTCCCCTGGCTAGGCCGGCTAGGTCATTAGGAGTATAAGACATGCCTTTACGGGGTGAGCAATCGCACAAGGGAGGGGAAGACCCCTCCTCTCGCCCTTCAGAAAGGGGGAGAGAGAGAGCGAGAGAGCGGGAGCAGACCCCCTCAACTGCGTGGAAGAAGAGAGAGAGGTCAACGTGTGTGACCCCGCGGGCTCAAGGGCTCCGGGCGCCTACTGCGATCATCCTTTTGGAGCTGCTGCTTGTGCCACCATGCTCCTGACGCTGGCTAGCCTGTTGACATGGCAGGCCAGATACGGCGTGGATGTTGCGATCGACTAGGGCGGGGGTGTCCTTGGGTGGGCAAAGGAGCAAGTCAGAATCCTGGCTGCGGTCTGTCCGAGCCTAGGTGGAATCCTGTCGAGGGTCGTTCGGTTGACGGAAAGACCAGAAACCGGTCGGTAATCGACTTGAGCTTCCGAACCTCTACCGCGGCTACCTAAGTCCTATTTGGTGCCTTGAGAAAGGCCTTTGGCAATCCGTCCTACATGAACTGTGACTTTAACTGCCTTGGCGGCTATACTCCTGGCAGCTTCTTGGCTGCAGCATTTATCAGTCGTAGGGCTCTGGCACTGCTAGGCTTTTAAGTTCGGTTCATTCGTTTTTGGAATGTTTCCATGCTCGTAACGTAGATGTAGACAGCGGTAGATCTTCCAGCATGTTGGACAGTGACCCCTTCGTGCTCATGCTTTCGCTTGCGGGTCGCCCCATTGTTTTCTTGGCTATGAGTTCGTCCGGCCAAGCTTCATAGGATCCCTCACTCCTCAAGCATAATCCCTCAACCGTGATCTGTGCAACCCAAAAGATCTCAACTCTCTCCTGTGCAAAGTACTTCAAGCTCTTGATGCCATCAGTACCTTTGTAATCTGATGCTTCTTGCTTTTGCTGCAGTTCTTGTCATGGTTGTAACGATGGCAATAGTGAGCTTGTGCATGTTATTGTGTTTACGAGTTGTTTTGGCCCCTCAGGCTCCCACCTTGTTCGTGATATGTCTGCTTAGCAGTTCTTTGGTTTGGGAGGTCAGGCGTCTTGGTTGACGAAATAAACTTCAACCAAATACTAGTTGTTGATGTTGTCATTCCTGATTTGTGTGAGCGCTGCGATCGTAATGGCTTGGCCATGCGAGTGCTACGCCCGCACAGTGTGTTGATCCGGCTATCATCAGAGATCGGGATGCACAAGAGGCAGTGGAGGGCTACATCTGTTCTTTGTAGGAGTACAGGTTTTCAGGGCAAATGACGAGGTGAAGATATCCCTGAGTGTGCCCAATCGGCATGAGTGAATTGTCCCATCTGCAGATGCTTATTCCATAGACTAATATGTGAGCCTAGACACTCAGCAGCAAGACCCTGCAGTGTTGCCAAACTTACTTTCCGAAATGGTTCTGGGCTTCGTCATAGGATCTCCATGCTTTTTGGAATGGTCCACGACAAAAAACCAGCTGCGACCCTCCACATGCTAAGCCGCCAAGCACAAGCTCCCGCTGCGGGGTTTGTGCTTTGGGACCGTCACAACCATAGAGTCTCCACTGCAGGTGGGGGTGGGGGCCTGTTGTGGTGGTTCATGTTTGTGGAGGAACGCATGAGGAAAACAGCAGCATGGAGAAACTCAACGACGAGCTGTTTCCAGAGTCCTCAGTCAGGCGGTCCCAGCGCGATGGCAATCAGAGCTAAGGTGCGTTTGGCCAGATGGGCATTGCCAACGTGGGTGCGACCAGCGGTGCCACATGCGCAATATCCACGGACATCCCCGGCACGGGCTTTGTGCAGGGACAAGACTACCAGGTGTGGGTGCCTGTAGCAGCGGTTCGAGGTCTCCTTGAATGTTTGTTTTACGCGTAGCAGCCCTGAAGGTTACAGTCTCGTCCACAACCGCACTTGCCCAAAAGCTGGCAGCCAGCAGCGGCAGCTTTGGTGGCAGCGAGACTGTGGATGAAAATTCCAAGGTCACCAGTCACGCCTACACATGGACCGCCCCTTCCTGTGGCAGTGCGAGCTTCCGTGCCCTTTGTGGCGCTGGTGGGAGCATCGACGAAATGTGGTATGCAGCAGAAGTATCCAGCACTGAGGCTGCGGGCATCACATGCACGACCACCGGCAGCTCCAGTGACGCCACTACCACGCCAGCAGGAAGCGGTCTGGAGTTGACAGCCGGCCTGTCCATGAGGGCAGAAGTCCTGGATAGCACCGACATTCGCATCGAAGTTACGTCCTCCATGAACACCTGGATCGGACTTGGCTTCGCGTCGGGCGACAGTGTGTCGATGATCGATGCCGACGCCTTCGTCTGCAGCGGCGGGGAGGTGTTGCGTTACTGGATGACTGAGACTTGGACTTTCATTTCCACAATCCGTGCAAGTTTACATGTGAAGCGAGAGCTTAGATACGTAGTTCTCTTTCCGGGCAAGGCAAAGAGCACACCGACTTCCGGCGTGAGCGTGCCGGGCTCCTCCTGCTCAACTGTTTCTGGCCAGGCGTCCCGCATACTGGGCCCGTCATCGTCGTAGTGCTGGTAGTCGTTGTTGGTGGTAATGGTAGTCGTCGCAGCCGAAGTACGAGTAGCAGCACTAGTAGTAGCAGTAGTAGAAGTAGTAGCAGTAGTACTAGTAGTAGTAGTAGTAGTAGTAGTAGTAGTAGTAGTAGTAGTAGCAGCAGCAGTAGCAGTAGCAGTAGCAGTAGGTAGCAGGAGTAGTAGTAGTAGTAGTAGTAGTAGTAGGAGAAGGAGTAGGAGTAGGAGTAGGAGTGCTAGTGAGTGGTAGTGGTAGTCGTTGTAGTCGTAGTCGTCGTCATTGTTGCCGTAGCAGTAGCAGTTGCGGCAGGCGTAGAACTCGTGGTCAGTATTCATACTAGCAGTAGCAGTAGCAGCAGCAGTAGCAGTAGCAGTAGCAGTAGCAGTAGCAGTAGCAGTGGCAGTGGCAGTGGCAGTGGCAGTGGCAGTGGCAGTGGGAGTGGTAGTGGTAGTGGTAGTGGTAGTGGTAGTGTTAGTGGTAGTGGTAGTGGTAGTGGTAGTGGTAGTGGTAGTGTAGTAGAAGTAGTGGTGGTAGCAGCCGTAGTAGTAGTAGTAGTAGTAGTAGCAGCGGCAGTAGAGTTCAGGTACTGGTAGTGCCAGTGGCATTACTTTTGATACTAGTAGTGCTACTAGTGGTATTCCTGGTTACCAGTATAGCTAGTTGTACCATACGAGTGGCAGTAGTTGTAGCGGTAGTAGTAGTAGTAGTAGTAGTAGTAGTAGAAGGAGGAGTCGGAGCGGCAGTCGTAGTTGCAGCGGCAGTGGCGGCAGAAGTGGTAGTAGTTGTAGTCGTAGCAGTAGAAGTAGTAGTACGAGGAAGTTGCACAAGCACCGCAACCACAGCTGCCACCACAGCGTTCATCATCTTTCGTTCCTCTAATAGCTTGCCAACGGCAGCCTTTCCCAGCTTTCTCCGTCTGAAGCAAAGCTGGGAGTAGCCCTAGTTGAGACTTTGTTTCGGGTACATGTCTGTATGTATGTAATTATCTATACCAATATCTATAATACATATATATATATATATATATATATCTATATAAGTATACATATATATATATATATATATATATATATATGTATGTGTGTGTGTTTTACAGCAACACACACACACACACATATATATATATATATATATGTATATAACTTGCATAAATGAGAATGCAAATAAATATTATGTATACATATATTTTTCTTTTCGCAAAAGGGAGAGACATCGATAGAGATAGCGAGAGTAAGCTTGCAAGGCCCCTTAGTGTTATGGTCTTGATCGACCGGGTTTGAGTGGACCTTTCTTGGTCCAGGTCACCATGGAATTCACGCGGAAGCTTGAGGCCTCTGCCAATTTGCCTGCCACGTCAAATTGGACATGGCCTTTGCTGTTGGATGCAACATGTGAATCCCAGGGCCCCTGCAAGCATGTCTTGTCCCTTCAGCTTTGGACAACTTCGCGAAGCACAAAATCAACACATGCTTGAGTGTGTCGCATGATCCAGGCTGATTCGGCCAACGAAGTGGCGATTACTCCCGGCACATCGCAGACGATCATCTTCGCGCACGGCGAGGATGGTTCAGGGGTCGGGTAAACGTTGGAAGGCGTAGGGTTGAGGTTGAGCGATGTAGGGCTGTCGTGCATACACTGATGGCTTCAGGGCTTTGCTGTGTCGTTGGATGTATGCTAAAGTTCGAAGGTTGTGCAATCGGACCTTGCTGTTCCCATCTTTTCCATACTCTCTAGCACCACAGAATCTGCGCATCTGCCTGTTTGCACCAAGGTGTATGCGAGTTAAATCCTGCAAGCAGTAGTGGCAGGAGGCTTTGGCAACGGAAGTCGATTTATTTGTCAGTTTGACCGAGACTTTCTGAGTCTTGGTTCTCGGAGTGCTATCACCCTAGTGAGCCCAGGCGACCTGGCGTGAATTTGATAACCCCCCCAGCTCAAATCAATTCGAGCATCACCTCTTCAGGCGAAGACCCGAAATCTCTCCACTGTATTCTAGTTCGTTGACAGTTACCCTTATGTCTGCCTCTGTAAGTCATATGATGTTAAGTTGTGGTATGCATCTCTGTGTATGCGTGTGCGTCTATGTAGGTAGGGAGACAAGTAGGAAGGTTCTCACGTTTGTTTGTGTGTGTGTGTTTGTTTGTGTTTGACTTTGTGTTTGTGTGTTGTGTTTGTTTGTTTTGTTTGTTTTCTTATGTTGCATTTGTTTGTTTTTTCGCGTTGTGTTTCTGGGTTCCAGGGCATTGTTGCACAAGCCTCGGTCAGGAAGGTTCGACGACCATGTCCTACCACTTCGGGAACCGAGGAGGGCTGATCATTGACTTTGCCGAAACCTCGAGCCCCGGCAGAAATCTGCAAGCAGCTCTCACCTCATTGCCCACCAACTGGTATTGTGACGTTCCTGCGGATCCTCTCTCCACTTACATGCCAGTCGCAAGCAGCGCGACCAATCCCGACCACAACCCTTGTGAGCCCCATGCATGATCTTGTGCGGTGTTTTGTTTTCGTGTGTAGGGGGTGTGTGGAGGTACACGATGCAAGTAATGTAAGTAATGGTTGTACATCGGTACTTCTAGGGGATTAGGGCTAGGGTGGGCTGACAGAGCCAAGAGGCAAGAGGCCCTACCCAGGGCTCTTCCCGGTATATAAACCCAGGTCGGCGGTGGTTGCGAAGGCGACTGCACCGGCGAGTTTGCGGCTTCCTCCGAAAACAGTATAAATATCTTGGGGGGTCAGCATTTCTAGATCCAGGGACCTAAAAGCGACAGCAGTCCGCAGTTCGGTTCATTTTGTTCTTGGGGCTTGGACGAGTATTCCTAAGAGTGGGTGGACCCTTGCAGCATGATGAACTGAGTGCATTCTGTGCGTCTCCCCTGGCCAAGTCTTCCAGATCCTGATCGGAGGGACGTGGCAGCAACAAAAAGATGCAACAAGCCTGACGAACACTCCACCTGGGGTCAGACGATGAAACTAGCGAAAATCCGAAAATGACGATGAGGGTTTTAGCCGCAAGGGGTCTTCCATGAATTGCCAGCTGAAGGTGTCCGCTAAAGCCGAGAGCCTTCCATTGCGATGTGGAGACGATGATGCCTCAGTGTCCTCCCACATATGGAGGTCTTGTGGAGAACCTTCCAACCAGCCTTGCCCATTAGCTCTTCGAGTCTCGTAGCCGAAGGCGTCCTCAATGCAGAAGCAAGCAAGGCTTCCCTAGCCAAGTTTAAAATCCGTGTCCATAGAATATTGGTTATACACTTTCGCTGAGTAACTAGCAGCCGGACGAGTGGGGCTGGCAGCAAGCCCAGGGCAGATTAAAAACACGACCGGCCTAAACGCGTGAGCCCCTACGACACGCTGGTTGGTGTTTGTTGAAGTGCAAGACTCAAATCGCAGTTTAGGTGGCTGCACCTCATTTTTATGGCCATTGGGTGGGGAGCTCTTCTACCATGGGGCGTGCCATGGCGTTTCATTGGGCATCGAAAGTACCAGCCGAACTTGTTCGAGTCGGGATTGAGTTGCTTTTGCCATGGTACTATGCTCAAACCGCGTCATCGAAGACTTCAAGCAATATGAACTGCGACTAATTGTGGGAAGGCTCCTGGCAAATTGTTGCGTTTGGTGGTTCAGGGTCTGCGGGTCTGGTTCTCTTCTCAGACTCGAAATTCGAATTTAAGATTTTGATAGATTTAGGGCTCTGGGTTCGGCGGATGCGAAATGTGGTTCCGCAGTGAAGCTGTTAGGTCTGCTTGCTCCAACTCCGGGCGAAGCGGAAAGCCTGTTGCAAAACGGCCTCTGGGTTCCTGTGCAGTTTACGACGCCCCCAGGTCCCTAAAGACTACTGGCATGAAGCTGATTCAACCCTGATACCTAAACCCTTAACCAGAAGCTGAGCCGAGTACATGCGTCGAGACTACTCCGCATGAATGAATGACTGGGGAGCTGGGATTGAGTTAGGTTGATGTTAATCAGTTGGTTTATGTGGCTATATGTGGGCTGCATTGCTTCCCAGTACCCCCATCAGCCACCTGTGGCATTCAACCAACCTAACCTAGGCGGGGAGAAAAGCGGGTTCAAAAAAATAACCTAAACCAGACAATGCGAGAGGGAAACAAACCCTAAACCAGACTTTAGGGGTGCATCCTTGTGAGTCGAAACCGGCCCTTGCTTCTCCAAAGTCGCTTAGGTCGCCTTGGCCAACCGCACCCGCAATGTCACCGGGGCGCCTCCGGGCAGTTGGTTCAAGCTTCACAAGAGAATACAGGCAGGGAGAAGAGCAGCCAAGCCTTGCTCTGTGTGACGTGTGCGGGTTCCTGATTTCAGTTAATATAGTATACTACGCATGATATACCTGTTTGATTATAACTAACCGCGTATTCATGCTGAAGTTGTCCGTCAGGTGGTTGGCTGGGCAGTACAGCTCGTTGGCTTCTGCATGGCTGTGTGGTACGTGCAGGCAGGCTCTCGGACCGTCACATGGCACTTGGAAGCTGGTAATGCCTAGCTCGCCTCAGCGGCACGGTACACCTCAGGCCTTGCAGTTTACGAGCGCGCATCACGTGATCGGCTTCGTCGCAGTGGTCCTCGGCGCCCTAGCAAGGAGTAGTGCAGTGCAGAGCTTTTCACAAGGGTCGAGCCTCGAGCATGAAGCCTCCCAAGAGTTGGCTCAACAGCTGCTACACAGTAATTACGTTTTATGATGCTGAGACAAGCAGGGGACCTGACCATGTTTGTTTGATCCCCCCATGGAGCCCTCAAGCCTTCGGACATGTTGTTTTTTTCCTTGTGGTGATGTCGATGAGTGTGCACATCGAAGCTGGAACGCCGAACCCTGAATTCGCCCCCGAGCGAGCTCCAGAAGCCTGTAAAGACCTTTACAGACGTTATAGAAACCCTCGTAGATCCCGGAGAGAGGTCCCAAAAGCCCGATAGTTTCAAGAACTGCCTCAGGAACCCTGCAGCCCTTCAATGCCATCCTCAGAAAACTCTGCGCCCACCCGCACCCTGGTGAGAGCAAGACCGCTGGCCGCCTCATCTTCGAAATCGTCCATAAAGGTTCGGGGCTCAGTTGTTGGTGGTTCGGACCTCTTTTATAAATCCCAACACCAGGGCACCGTCTCGAGTTGGGGGTCGAAGGTCCAGGGGCTCAGTGCGGTTGAGCTCTTGAAGAGTGGCTTGCAGGAGTCGGGTGTCGATGTGACGTGGCGTCCCTGCAACCGACGCAGAGTTCGTTGCCACACTGTAATTGAATAGGGACATGAGCATTTTTTATAAGAGCTGTTATGTATCTATCTGTCTATACCTTTTTACAGGTAGCCATGTGCAGGAATGCATACACAAATTCATGCATTCAGTTGCCACCCTGACCCTTCCAATCAGAGCGCAGGCTCTGGTTACATTGCCACGCTGATGGGCATGTTGAGCCTTGGATTCCTTTCAACTTGGTGTTAGGATGTTCGGAAAGCTGTAGAGCTCAGAGATCGAGAATATATCCTGGAAGAAACAGGAAGTCCAGAGACAGGATCACCGAAGGCTCCCAGCGCCCGTCCTTTGGCCCAACATTCCCATGCTCTTGAGGAACTGTTGGATCGGTGTCCTCCTCCTCATCCGAAATGAGCACCTCGCCTGTCCTCAACACGACACGGCGGTGGTGGGTTCCAGATTTACATAACCCCGCTGTATAGTAAGTGAGACTCAGACTGAGTGTTGGCTGGCTGCGCATCTTTTCAGACTCAGCTGAGACAAAACCCACAGCTCCTGCATGGCAGCCTCCCTGTGTAGTGATTGTAGTGACATTCTACATTACATTTGCGCGCTCAGGCTAAAGCTCAAGAAACTCGAAGTCCACATGAAATGCAGCCCCATTCAACGATGCTACGGCTAGCAGTGCTTTTAACTGCGCCGGCCGCACTGGTCGTAATTGTTTGAGCTGGCAGTTTGGTCGCGAGTGCCCTGTTATCTCCATCAGGCTGTACTGGTCATCATTGTCGCAGAGTCGTCGTTGGCTGTTATAGTTTTGCAGATATTGGTAGTACGGTTAGGGCTGTTGTCTTTGATATTCGTCGTGGTGTTTGTCGTTGCCGCCGGCATCGTAGTGTCGCAGTGCTCGTGCTGGTGCTGGCTGTTGCTGCTGTTGTTCTTGATGCTGTTGCTGTTGATGCTCCGACCACTGCATCGAATTAATCATTGCGTTTTCTGTGCTGGTAGCTTTACTGCCTTTTCAACCTACCATTGTTGCGGCGTTTCATGTGTTGTCCCACCCAGCTCAAGCTCGATGCCCTGAGCCCTGAGCATCGTCGCAGCTTCTAGGTTCGAGGCGGCAGTGATTGCTGTTGCCGCCACTCTGGCGGCCATCGGAACGCTCTCTGTGACGTTCTACTTCATCTTGTCATTGATCCAGAAGGAGCATGGTTTGGCGGTTTCGAGCTCGTGTGTCTCGGTTCGTTGACATAATTAAACCGTTTCGAAAAGAGTGAGTGTCAAAAAAAGCTTCGAAGAGGATCTCATGATGCCGTGCGTCGGTTGTTCGGACGACTGGACAGTCTCTTCGTCCCACCCTGTCAATATGAAGAAATTCCCTCCCAGATCTTCTATGCCAGTGCCGAAGCGATCTCGGTTGCGGGAGAATTCTCGAAGGACAACTGCATCTCAAAAGCTTTGACGGGGGCCAATTCATACGGCGACAAGGTGGCGAGACCCTCAGGGCCGGTAGCTTGCGGAGGTTCAGCATGTATTTGTCTGAAGTGCGACGAGTACCCTGGTGTCGCTGTAAAGGTTTGAGGGCTTGGGGAGTGGCCGCTTTCTTGATCTGCCTTGAAGACATGTTTTCGGCAGCGGAATGACAAAGCATCATGAATCGGGTGCTCAATGTGCGATTTGGCATCGGCCCGGTCACAAGCCACCTCCCCGCCCCCACCCAAGACACGAAGCAAAAGCAGAGCCCCAGACCCTTGAACAAAGTGACATTGCGTTGAAAGATTAAAGCGCGGGTGGCAGAGAGTGTTTGGCGTACTTCTTGTGTTTTTCGTTTTCGGTGCTTGTGGATCTGCTTTCCGACTTTGTGACCCAGTCCTCTCAACACAGACTGAGCCCCAATGCGTTGCACATGGGATCAACTGCCGGCACCAATCAGGGGGGCAGGGAGGCCGGGAGGCAAACTCAGGGGGCGTGAGTGGGACAGCCAGGACCTTGTGAGGGGTCGGGATTCATAGATATTGGAATCAACTGCCTCTTCGCTGAGGCAGTAATTAATCGGGTTTCAGAAATGGGATCAGCTGCCTCTTAACCGCAGACACAGGGGAAACGATTCAGTGAACCCACAAGACAGACCCCAGAAGCATGCATGCTTGCCCAGAAAGCGTAGTCTTGATTCGGAGCTTGGTCCAGAATTGCAAGTCAGAAGAGACTTAGAACAAAATGCTGGGCTATACTGGGCTGCGATGCCGCGGTGCTCTTGAATCCAACGGCATTGCATAGATGCTCCTGTCATCTCCTCTCGAGGGTTCACAGACTGCCACTGTACACCCAAAGTGTGCCTAAATCCGATCCCGAGCTTGCCTGCCGTTGCTGATCACACATTTTCTCACTGCCAGGTCGAGACCAAGATGGATGCTTGAGCTGCACAGCCGCCTGCACCCCAACTATATACAGTAGTGCTAGAGTATCATGGTCGGCTCACTCTTCCTTAAGTTCGTTCTCCGAGCGGTGGTTGAGAAGAAGCGCAAGTCTTGTAATAGAACAAACGTCTGAATGCCTAGAGGCCGCGGGGCACGCCTGTTTGACTGGGTTTTTGTTTGAGAGCTCTTTCGGACAGGATTTGGGGCTTTGGTAATTAGGGTTTTGGGGTTTGGGGATCGACGGTCTTCAGGGCTTAGGGATGTCTGGCGTTTCGGCTGTTCCAACATGTTGGATTTAGGCGTTAAGTGTGTGGGATTGGGTTTAGGGGGTTTAGGGCATGGGTTTTCCAGGCCTTGTGTTAGGATTACCTACTTCGTTGACTGCGGCTTAAGGCGTACGTAAGGTTTGTTACACCCTGAACCTTGAATCCTACCGCACCAAGACCTCGTCTGGCTTGTCCGAGTTGCGAGAGCGTAACCCTGAAGAGCAATATATCACCTAAACCCTAAACCCTACTAAACCCACTCGCCAAGGAGCCTCCACCCTCCTCGGAAGTCGCTGTATCCGATGGAGCCATCCAGCCCACTACATGCCACTCTTCTGAACGTCACTCATGGCAAGCAGCTCTATGAACCCTGAACGCTGAACCCAAGACTCTTCACCACAAAACCCAAAACTCTGAACCCTAAACACCGGCGCCGAAACACCAAAAGCCCTAAACCCTAAAGGTAGCCCTGAAAGGCTCGAACCTAAAGCCCGAGAAGCTCTGAACCCTAATCTCAAACCCGCTCAATAGCCCCAAAAGCCTTGTGTAATAATGTCTTTGGGCCCAAAAGCCATAAATGTGAGTCCTTAGAGCCTCATGGTAAAGGAGCTTGGACCGGGCCAGTTCAGTGTGCGAGTCAGGCGTCAGGCTTCGGGGTAAAATCTGGACGTTTGGGTCTAGGATTTAGGGTTTCGGGGTTTAGGGTTTAGGGTCTAGTGGTTTAAGGTTTAGGGGTGTAGGGTTTACGGTTAGCGTTTAGAACAGTCATCAGCTACAGCAACAGCAGGAAATACAAAAAGTAGCAACAGCAACAAACATGTACCAACCGAATGCGAGAACGATTCAAACTAAGCAACGACAACACAAGTGAGCCAGTCACTGAAAGGACGAAACATGAACAAACAAATCAATGCATAAAGGAATGAACGAACGCACGAATGAATGAAACACGAAACGAACGAAACGAAAGGCATGGAATAAACTGGACTGTATTGACAGGAGAGGACGAGAAACTGCATGCAGCGAGTCATTGAATGAATTCAACAACCCAGCACACAGCAACGACACCGAAGAAGCGACCCCAACAAGAGCCCGAAAAAGCATACCCCACCAACACCAAACCACCTCCAACACCACCGCCACCACCACCGCCAGCTCTCTCTCGCTCTCTCTCTCCCTCCCTCTCTCTCTCTCTCTCTCTCTCTCTCTCTCTCTCTCTCTCTCTCTCTCTCTCTCTCTCTCTCTCCCTCCTCTCTCTCTCTCTCTCTCTCTCTCTCTCTCTCTCTCTCTCTCTCTCTCTCTCTCTCTCTCTCTCTCTCTCTCTCTCTCTCCCTCTCTCGCTCTCTCTCTCTCTCTCTCTCTCTCTCTCTCTCTCTCTCTCTCTCTCTCTCTCTCTCTCTCTCTCTCTCTCTCTCTCTCTCTCTCTCTCTCTCTCTCTCTCTCTCTCTCTCTCTCTCTCTCTTTCTTTCTCACTCTATATATATATATATATACAAACACACACACACACACACACAGATTGACATGTATCTTTGTTTATCTATTGGTTTGTTCATTTTGTGTACTTGTTTAGTCAGTCTTTATTCATCCGTACCCGTGCTCATCAATTAATCACAGGGTGAATCAGGGTGATGCTGTATCACGGTGTCCGTTATCTACCTCTGGTCTGCCCATATACCTGTGCGTCTGTATTCATGTTTATCCTGAACATGAAGGTTGACCCGCTTCGTAAGCCAGTCGGAATATCGCTCAACCCCAAGCCCCTGAACCCTCAACCGTTTGTTGCTCCTCGTCTTAGTCAGCGAGCTGCAGCAGAGCGTGGACATCTGAGCTTGGCCGCACTGGCATGCACAATGTTCTCCGCATGGTGCAAAGGGTATGTACGCACAACTGCGGAAGAGGGTTCTGATGGTCCACTGCCATAGTTTTCAACAGAGAAATACAGTTTGAAACTAGATGGTCGAATACTTACCTTTGAATATTCCCAACGTTCAGAAGCCCCCATGTGGGTGGAGATCCTAGGAGTTCAGTTTGCAATGATGTAGGAGCCTTAACACAGAAGAGGGTTTTGGGGTATGATACTTACTTAACTAACTAAAATTGAGGAACTCCCAAAAAAGTATAGGATAGGTAATATGATTAAGGCCCCTATACCAAATCCTTACAGTAGCCTTTTCAGACCCCTTGAAAAGTGACCCTACTCTAATAGTATAGGTAATATTATTAAGGCCCTTTATTGTGCAGGTTCGGAAGAGCTGCTCAAGGTTCGAGGCGTTTGGGACCTCGGCTTCGGCCTCAGGCTTTCGGGTTTCAGGCCTTGGGGTTTTAGATCTTTACACTTCAGCGTTTTTTTTCTCCTACTACACTTCAGCGAGTTAAGGGCGTTTAGGGAAAAAGGGGTTTTCGTGGGGTTTAGGGAAAGGGTGTAACGCTATGCGGTCACAAGCTCTGGATTTTACAAGTCGTGGCACCAAATATATCAACTACGTACACTACGTTTATGTTCCTCACCGCTGCCTGGTGGTGTACATATCCCCGGCCCCTGTCGCAGCGAAGGCTGCAGTGTGCTGCACTACTAACCCGCCCGAAGTCGCAAGTCTGATGACTCGAGCGACTCCTGACGGCTCGATACGCCAAGCCCGACGCCTTGGCAAGTATGTAAAGGTCCCCGCCCAGGCATGTTGCCCTGCAGGTTGTCACTGTACGAGGTGTCTATATAATTCGTGGACAGTCTAGTCGGCGCACAGAACGGCAACGTGCCATCAAGGGGGCGAACAACGAATTAATGCGTTGCTTAGAAGCGCTGGTGTCACGGCCAGTTTGAAGGGTGACCTGGATGCCACCCCATACTGAAGACTGCATGTGTCAGATTGCGGACTGTTAATAAGCCCGTGCCAGTCTCGAGCAGGTACGCATGTTCAAGTCGCATCCAGCACTCGGCTGTGAGGCAAGCACTCAGCTGCAACTTCAAGTTTTGGGCTTTGCCCAGGCATGGAGCTTTCTAAGGATATCTAGAAGCTCCATTGCACGGATGTTTCTCAAGATCCACAGGAGTTCTTTTTGCTCCCATTCTACTTGTAGCCAGAAGCAGATGCCCGAAGCATTCCGTAGTCCTCAAACTTGAAACCCGGCGCTTATTTGGAGAAACCTCCGGATCGGCAGCTGCTGAACAGAGCGGAGCAAAACCTGCTCTGCCCGAGGCTGTCCCTTTACGCTCTAATTCTAAGATTTCCTTGTTTCGGATCCTGCGTTTGACAAACATTGGCTTAGTGTTCAGTGTAGGCAGCGTAGTAGACTCGAAGCCCTTGAAGGGTGCAAGATGCAGTCTTTTGCAAGTTGTCCGAGATGGGAGCACAGCACGCCGCACGCTCCTGGCTCCAGGAAGTGCGCTGCTCGAACGGTCGCTCAGCAAGCTGACCGGACGTGGGCAGAGAAGCGTAAAACAGCTTGTGAGCTTCAGCACCAGTCGGGGCTTTCTAGGGTAGGGTGTGGTGGTTCGGAAGCTTGTGCTGTTGGTGTCAGGGCGTCGGTATTTGTCAGGATCGCACCACTGCAGATGGTCAGCGTGTGAGCGCCGAAACCGCAAAGTTTAGCAAGGAGCCCCCCAGACTACCTGAAACCCTCACGCTACATTTTGTATTCCTCGGCGAAGGCTTTCCGAGGAAAAGGCCGAGATGCAACTCGGCACTAATGAACAATGGCTTTCGCGGGCTTGGGATGGCTTGGGTATGTCTACGTAGAGGGTTCAGTTGCGGTCAAGGCTTAATGAGAGTTTATTGGCTAGTCGTTTAAGTGTTGCTGAGTTCTTCGGTTCTTAGTGATGCTGAAGCGCTTCTGTGTGGGGTTTGACGGAGTATATTCCTTTTTGATGCGCTTGGGCATGGTTCGAGGAATTCAGGGTGCGGGGCTCAGGATTCTATTTCAAGTTTGGTCGGCTTCAGGTTGATGGCTTCTCTGTAGTAAAAATGTTCAACCGAGCGCGATGTATCGGATCTTCTTCGACAATGCAAAGAGGCTCTGGACCTGACGGGTGCAAGAGAGTCTAGAGGAGTTGGCAAAACAAGGACCAACTTTAGATCATAAATCAAGAGGCCCCGCAAACGCTCGCAGGAACCGGCGAATGGAGGCCTACCGTCGAGACTGTGAGAACAAGCCCCCGGCTCAGCATCAGTGTGCTATGACGAAGCATGCCAACGCTTACGCTAACCCTCGAATTACTTCTGGAACATCGAACTGGGAACCTGCAGTGGCAAATTTAACTGTCCCCGCCCCCTTACCTTCCTTTCGAGCTAACCTTCGTCTCAGCGTAAATTATTGTTCAGACCTCACTTCGGAGAGTCCATCGTCTCAAGGGGCTCGGTCTCGTCAAGTACCAGGTGCTGGAATTCAAGCACCCTGCCAGTGCAGCTTAGACAGCTTGGCTCTTCTCAGGTTTGCGTTCTGTTTGTCCAAGTCTGTTGCAACTCGCTCTGTGAGTCGGCTCGCTTCTTCCGAAAGGCCACAAAGCCCCGAGCTGTTGAAACATGTTTCGTCAGCGGACGAGACCGAATACTTGTAAAGGATGCGAGACAGAGTTCGGTGGTGGCAACTTAAACTGTCCCAATGCTGCCCAACTTGTTTATCAGGGGCTTGACTGGAGAGTCGCAGGCCTCAACCTCAGGCCTCGACATCAGCTTGTCATGCTCTTCTGCGGACGATTTGGGCTCAAGATACGCTTGGATGGCTGGAGGATGTCAGCTGCTGCCTCAGCTCCGATGAAGGATTTATAGCTGTATGTGGGGCTAGCCCCTTAGATTATTGTTTTGGGTGCAGTATGCTGTGAGAGGACCAGACTGTGATGAAACGGTCCGAACACTCCATGTAGGTCATGTAGGTGCAGTTCGTCTCCAGTCCTTCTTTCACGATTGCTTCAGCAGGGGCTCCGGAGAGCGGCACGTTCAGAATGACCTTGGCTGCCAGCTTTGTGCGCGTAAACCCCAACACGGGGGCGCTTATGATCGCTCTGATGCATCCCGAGCCGTGCACCCGAAAAACACCACCGACTGACTGGATTGGTTTTTCAACGCATTGTTTCTGCGTGCACTGTTGGGGAATACCAGGCCCCGCTCACCCCGGCGCGGCCGAGCAGCGCGGCAAAGCGGCCGGCGCGGCTGAGTTTGGCCGCGCAGAAGGCGGCGGGATGGCGATCTGCAGTTCATCGCTTTTGTTCTTCAGATGTGCAGTGAGGGATGGCTACTTAGGAGAGCCGGTAGTAGTAGTAGCAGCAGCAGCAGTAGTAGTAGTGGTAGTCGTAGTAGTCGTAGTAGTAGTAGTAGTAGTAGTGCTCCTACTACTACGACTACTACGACTACTACGACTACTACGACTACTACGACTACTACGACTACCACTACTACTACTACTACTACTACTACTACTACTACTACTACTACTACTACTACTACTACTACTACTACTACTACTATACCACTACTACTGCTGCTACTACTATTACTACTACTACTACTACTACTACTACTACTACTACTACTACTACTACTACTACTACTACTACTACTACTACTACTAACTACTACTACTACTACTACTACTACTACTACTACTACTACTACTACTACTACTACTACTACTACTACTACTACTACTACTATACCACTACTACTGCTGCTACTACTATTACTACTACTACTACTACTACTACTGCTACTACTACTACTACTACTACTACTACTACTACTACTACTACTACTAGTACTACTACTACCACTACCACTACTACTACTCCTACTCCTACTCCTACTCCTACTCCTACTCCTACTCCTACTACTCCTACTCCTACTCCTACTCCTACTCCTACTCCTCCTACTCCTCCTACTCCTACTCCTACTACTCCTACTACTCCTACTCCTACGACGACTACGTCTCTTGCTGCTACTGCTGCTGCTATTGAATATTGTACTGCTACCGTTCATACGTACATACGAGTAGTAAGTGGCAGTGGGAAGGAATAAGGACGAGCAAGAGGAGCAGGGGCGGCAGGAATGACGGAAGAGAGGGATGCTATTGCTGCCGATGCAAGGTTTTACTCAAAACTCTTTTCGCCTGCATGTCCCTTAGTACGGCCAGACAGGAGATATTGCCATGCCACATCCGATGTTTGTCAGGAGCTCTCATGGCTGGCTGCGTATAAAGCTCGGCCACCCAGCGCCGGTACCGCCAAGAAGGAGTTGTCGGGTTGACGAGGTCTACCAGACTCTTTTATGTTCTAGGTTGCTGATTGGCAGATCTGGCTTCGATCTTGCCTTTCTTGCCGGGCCCTTTATGTGTGCAATGCATGTGTTCGAAGGCAACGTCAGCAACCGAAGTTACAAGAGTTCGCGGTGTGCGGAGATTCTTCGGCTTCGGCTCCGGTCAACGAGCCCGAAACCCTTCGGATTCACGCCCCAAACCTTTAGCCCCTTGCTCTTTGGTTCCGTTCAGCAGATGCCTCAGCGCAGCCCACAGGTGAAACTGAAACCAGCATGCGACATAGGAGCAGGGGTCTTCCTTGCAGCGAAGTAAACTTTGCAATCCCTCTGTTTGCAGGCTTAATGTAATGTTCTCATACCGTTAGTGCCGCAAGCGCACAAAAGACGTCAGAACCCAGCTCTTGCATTTATTGCTAGACACGTGCGGGTTTGCAAGGTGTTGTTCGATGTAGTGACCCCATGCCCGACACTAAACCCTATACGACTATACAAGAAGCAGAAAACATCCATGAACTGTCATCCCCCAAACTTGTGGACTGTCGGGCAGGAGCGGAGCTTGCCCTGGGAACCTGGCAAGCTGAATCTGTGGCTTGAGAGGCAGCTGGGATGACACCCCAAACCAAACCTTAAACTGGCCCTAAACCCCAAACCAGCCATGCGAGGCAGGAGCGAACAAAACCAGCTATGCAAGAGGGATACCAAGCCTTGAAAGACAGGCAGCCCTTCGAGGAACCAGCGGAGCCCTCGGTTGTGAGGTCCGCCTCGCAGTCGCGCCTCGGCCAGGAAATCGAGTGTGAGTTTGAGTTGCTGCTGTGCTTTTAGGTCCCTGAGAGGGTTAAGAGTTGACATCTGTTAAGATCGGGTTCAGGGGTCGTGCAGTTCGCATCAGCTTGTTGTGCGTCCTTGCCTTGTCTAGACGTGCGGGCACTGAAGCCTCAGGAAAGCAGGGCAAAGGTTTCAGGCTCCAAGCCCACGACCCTGAAAAGAAGAATCTCCAGAGTCAAAATCCTGAACCTGCTCTTACGAGCACCAGTATCCATGAGTAGAGTCTACGCAGTGGGAGAGATAGCGATGGCTAGACGGTGAGAGCTTCACGCCCGAACAGTGATCTTGTCGGCAGAGCACGTCGAGCCGTGGCCACCCCCGCTTATGTCTAGCGATTGTATAGCCGTTGTGACATGCCCTTGTAAATCATCCGACGGAAGCCGAAAATCTTGAACGTGAAAGCCTGGCACGCAGCCTTAAATAGGCTATTGTTGGATTCATGGTAGAGGTCTTATTGGTTAACCAAAAGTATAGTTCCCTATATTTTGCACGCCATTGAAAGATCAAAGTGTCAAACTCGATTATCTCACTCACACCGAGCGCAACGCACGAACCTTTGGAAGGACCTTGTTACGAACCCTAAAGCAGAGGCATCCCGGTATAATTAGGTGCCTGACTGCGACCCGCTCACCAGGATTTGTCAAACTGTAAAGCAGAGGCAGCTCCTGACAGCCGCTGCACACGCAGTTGCAATGTAGGTCCCAACGGCGAAGCTCCCAACGCACCGCGCAGCGGACTGGAACGCCGACGGCGCCGCGTCGGCCCAACCTGCTACAGGCTTATATACTTCATTTTCTACTTCATTTGCTTCTTTATCTTCTGACCCTTTGCTTCCTGATTCTAACACTTGATCACTTGTCCATCTGGGTTCTCCTTCGTCTACTTTGTTCTATTCTTCATCTTCTTCATCTTCATCTCCTTCATCGTCTTTTTCACCTTCCGCATCTTCTTCTTCATCTTCTATCCCTTTGCTTCCTGATTCTAACACTTGATCACTTGTCCATCTGGGTTCTCCTTCGTCTACTTTGTCTTCTTCTTCATCTTCTTCATCTTCTTCATCTTCATCTCCTTCATCGTCTTTTTCACCTTCTGCATCTTCTTCATCTTCTATCCCTTTGCTTCCTGATTCTAACACTTGATCACTTGTCCATCTGAATTCCTTCTTCCTCGTCAGTTTTGTGGGATTGGGTTCGGGAGCGTGAGCATGCATGAGTGTGTATACACGGCGGGCGGCGGGCAGGTAGCATGCAGGCGTATGCAGGTACAAACATGTAGGTCCAATGTAGGTGCACACGTTGACATACCGACCCACCCACCCAGAACTACATACTACCGACGTCCAAGCATACGTGACTATGTACTTATGAGGCTTATGCCTCCGATACAATAAACCTACATGCGTGTTTGCATGCACAAACAAGCGCCTGCATGCACACGCGTGCGAAAGGTTACAGTTACCAGCACGTCGTCATATGTGTGTTTATATTCAGATGCATTCGCAAATATGTGTACCTTTGCATGTGTTTATCCATGCACATACTCACCCACATCTTTTAATTTTTAAATGTTGCACATCCATCCATGCATGCATCCATCCATATACACATACATTGCACTACATGAGGTTACATGTCATCACCGCAATACATACATGCATACATACATCTTCAGGACGCAGCGAACGAGTCGTCGCCTAGCTAGCTAAGGCAGAATCTCATGAGAGAGATTCCGGCGCCTCTGTGGGCGCGCACGTTTTGTGCCCCCTCAAGTCACACGTAGTCACGAATGACAGTACGTGTGCTGTGTACAACTATGTCGTCATTCGAAGCGTGCTCACAATGGCAGGTGAGGCCTCAGTCCATTCGTACCGCCCATATCAGATAGGCTTTGCGACTGAGCTCAACAGAGTCTGGAAGAGAGAGGGGCACAGCTGCACGATTGTCGTCATGCAACCAGACTCGCACTGGATTTTGACCCCATCGCGTCATACAGCGGTAATGCCCCTGATGCAAGGCAGGACCGTAGTGGAGAGCCATGGCACACACCTGATAGGGTCTCCAGTGCTTCTGAAGGTCATGTGACGTCGCAAATTGCGGAATGCGAAGCACTTCAGACCAGTCTGGGAGAGCCTGATCATCCTTGCTGAGAATGCCCCTTTCATCATCACGCCTGTAGCGCGACAAGTGGAGGCAAAGGAGATGAGGCATGGTTCCATCGAAGGCGGTATGATAATGCCGGGCAGACCACTCTTGAACGCAATGCTGAAGCCCCCGTGCCTCCAGGGGCAGGTCAACAGTGACCGGAAGCAATGCACTGGAAGATGCACAGACCACAGTGCCTGTGTCTTCCAATCTGCGAGTTTGCCACAGACCGCTGAAGGCCTCTAATCGGACTCTCGGCATGAGGTGAAGCAGAAATTCGTGCATGTCATGTTGTTGATTGGGCCTGGCCCAGTTCCCCAGCAACATGGTCCAACACATGTTGCGCATCAATCGAAGGTCCGACCTCGCAGTCAAGCACTGATACAAGCTGCACAATGAACCAGATCTAGCGGGATCATAGCAGCCGAGTGCCCACAGCAGGGCAATAAAAGCTGTGTTCATGTAGCAGGCAGTGCCATCTGCATTGTGGAGGACTGCACGAAGCAATGGCTGAAAGTGCAAGGGGACTTCTGAGGGCACAAATGAAGGCGAGGAGCAGGCAGTATCTAAGGGCAGATCCCGGGACACTCTGAGAAAACGACGTATACCGGAAGAGGCTGAGGTCGAGGCCAATGGAGTGGTTGGTTTCACCAACCTCCTACTGCCTGTTGGATTTGGGCCGCAAGGCCTGACAGGCCGGGACGGTCCTTCCGCAGGCGCGCTCCGAGAGGGTGGAGGCAACTCTGGTTGAGCAGCATCTGAAAGATTTCCCACATGCGGTCCCCCTGTGGCCGAAACCCTAGCTCCAGCTGAAAGTGGATCCATTCGGACTGGGGTTCCTGTGGAAGTCCGCGAAGTGACGCGAATTTCTTCACAGAGTCTGGATTCACAAGGGTGGGAAGCTCTCGGAGGAGTTCGAGGAGGGTCTCGGTGGCAAGTGGACTCGGAGTAGCTTGAAGTTCGAGCTGTCCTTTTTGTGCGTTCCACTGCATGTAAGTCCAGCCCTCCTCCTCCTTGTACCACTGCATGTCGATGGCCGTCTGCTTCTCCTTGCTGATGGTGAGCTTGATCCGGGTCTCCATCTCCTGCAAGGTGGCTCGGAGGAGGAGAGTGCGCAGCGGCGGAGAAGGAGACGGGCCATTTGACCGGTCAGGTCGCCGGAGGAAGTCCAGGAGTGGCCGCTGGACCAAGACTGGTCCGAGCTCCATTGATCGTTCCACGACTGCTGGGCAGCTGGGCGTGATTTGCCCCCCCCTTGCCCCGTCCTTTGCCCTTGGGCTGCTTGCCCTTCCCTTTGCCCTTGGGTTCCGAGCTCGTGCTGGCGAACGTCATGGTCGACGCTGAGGCCTGGGAGCCGGACGAGTGGTTCAGGAATAGGGCTTGTTGTGCCTCCGGCTCCTCCCCCCGTCGGCGCTTGAGTTGAGCCGCGTCCATTCCCGCCGGCGGTGTCGTGAAGTTCTGGAAGAGGCCCAATTCGCGTTGATCCTCCGCTGACTTTGGCAGGAGGGAGTGAGTGAACCGGTTGGTCCAGTGCGGTGGAGGCTATAGCAGGGAGGGTGTCGTCCAGCCAACACTCTAGGAAGCTGAGTAGGGTGATCATATAACACTGCTTCCAGTGATGTTGAAGATCAATGCGGGATTCCTGGCAGTATAGACATGGTTTACACAGACTGCGGCGTAGAACTTGAGCCTTCGCCTGTGCAGCCGGGCGGAGAGCTTTCCATTCCGGGTGCGACTGCTGCAAATGCACTTTGAGTCCCGAAGGAGAGGCAGCCCACTGAGAGCACAGCGGGCAGTGGTGCTTCAGTGAGCTCCTGAGATCTGGCGTCGAGAGCAGCGCCTGCCATCCGTGACTTCGCAGCTGTGTTTGAAAGGCCGGGGTATAAGCTAGCGACTGCGAGACAGGCAGAGGTCGAAGAGACGACGTGTCCTCTGCAGCCGCAGTGGTGGCGGCAGCTGCATGCTCTCCCGGAGGAGCAGAAGAGAGAGCCAGGTCCGGGCGAGGGTGCGCAGCAAGGCACTGCTCCGAGAGGGGCGGTTCCAGGCCTGGCGTGGACGTAGTAGTTGTGGTGGTGCCGGCCTCCGTGTGCACAGGGACAATGCCAGTGGATGTATGAGGCAGCAATGGGTGGGTCGCAGTGTTCGGAGGCACAGTAGTAGTGGGCTCAGGCTCTGGCAAAGCTGAGAAGGACAGGCATCTGCAGTGTCCCTTGTCTATATGGCAGCGAAGACCACTCCAACGAGAGAAGCGGTGCCCGCAGAGACGACAGGTCGGCATCCCACTAACTGAGTGTTGGTCGCGGTTGAAGCGGCCTGGACGCTCCCGATCTTTGGCCTTACTTGCATGGGTTCGGGAGAGATGTACGCGAAGAAGTCTATGTGATGGCGCTTGGTAAGAGCAGTGGGGACATGACCATCCTTCTTCGTGCATACCCGATTCCAGAGCGCCGGTGGTTGAAGGGTTGTCCTGCAGGGCAGAGCTTACCGAGGGAGCCGTGGGGGCTTCCAATAGCGGCTGAAGGGGGGAGTCGAGCTTCTGAAGGGCTTCATCTATGCGTGTTTGCCACAAGCGGTTGAGAAGATGGGCTTCCTCAGGAGGGATGGCGGCCCAACGGGCTGCTCGGCGGTGAGAGGCCTGACGCAGCGCATCTAACACCAGGGGAACCCGGAGGCGATGATGTAAAGCAGTTGTGGATTCGCCTGTCAGATGTGCCTGGGACTTGGCTACAGCACGCAGCTGTTTTGTTAAGGCTCTCTGAATTTGTACCAGGTGTTGCTGTTGCAGCGGAAGGCTGTCTAGCGCATAGAGAGCGGTGGGAGGAATGCATGCCTGCCAGAGACGTAGTCTCAAGGGGAGAGCAGGTGCCGAGGCTGAGGTAAGGGCAGGTCGAAGTCGGGTCCAGGTCGCCCATGTTTGGCGCAATCTATACGCCACCGTAAGCTGCGTACAGTCCTCCTGGTAGGAGATAATGGCTCCCAGATATTTGTGAGTAGACACTATTGGCATCTTGAAGGTGCCTGCCGTGGGTGTCGAGATTCGCAGGCGCGGGCCCTCCTTGTCAGAAAGAATTTCTCTACGTCGCCAGCGGCTGGCATAGGAGTGATTGACAGAGAGGAGAATCACGGATTTGTCAATATTGACTTTCATGCGTGCATCAATGAGCAGTTGTAAAACGTGGCCGAGCCTGTCGATGGACAGAAGCAAGTCTCGGGTGGAGTAGACAACCTGTCCAATGTGAAAGTCATCGGCAAAGGCCGTGAGGGCGCGACGGACCCACTCAGATGAAGTCGCGCGGGCCAATCGGCGCATGAGCAGACCTGTAGCCAGACTCCACAATAGTGGAGCCACTTTACATCCCTGTTTGACTCCTCGCAAGGCTTGGACGGTGGCCTGCTCAGAACCAAAGGTCAGGTGATAGCCCAGACCTCTGTAGAACTCAAGTAATTGTACCCTCAGCTCAATAGGAACTTGGGCCTCAAGCAATGCTTCGTGTATAAGACTCCAGCTGAGCCGGTCAAACGCTTGAGAAAGGTCCAGTGATGCCTGGACCCCTCCGGTCCGTTTCCGCTTGGAGGCAGAGGAATGGGATGAGGGTGTGCCAGCCTGGGCCAGCTTGTCTCTGGCACGGTGGATATTGTAGGCAGGCTTAAGATTGGCCGCGGACACTTCGTGACAGTGGCTGAACACACGATGCAGCGCCTCCCCTGTGCTGCGTCCTGCCATATAGGCAAGCTGGGGCCATGGGCCAACGAAGGCTTGAAGATAGGGCTTGAGAGCATCTTGTAAGTGTCCGGCCAGAACACGGCTCGTGCTTTCTGTGAGCCCGATAGGGCGTAGTTGTCGTGGGAGTACTGGATGACTGACCTTGGGCATTAAGGCCAGCCAGCAGTCTGACCAAACAGCCGGGAAGGAGGAGAGAGACCCGACCTTGTCACTGAGCCAGGGCGCAAGAAGATCAGCACAGGCAACAATCGCCGCCGTGGGTGCCTGATGCGCTGGGGTGGCTTTGTGTACCGGGAGCCGTGTAAGTCGATGGTGGGCCTCAGAGGAGGAAATGGTGGGAGCTTGAAGTGGCGGTAGGGGTGGTAGTGCCGGTTCGTCCTCCGGCGCATACAGATCCTGAAAGAAGGTTTTGAGGCAGTCCACCTGTTGCGTAGGGGACCAAAGCTCATCGTTGGGACCTCGGAGCTGGAGTTTGCGACGTGGTTGCTTGGGCATGAGGGCGCCAGCCAGACGAAAGAGCGCTCTAACGTCCCCGACAGCAGATGCTCGCTCCATACCAGGAATTTGATCATGAAACCAGGCCCGTTTAGCTTCGCGAGTCCTCTGACGGAACTGCTTATGTGCGCGACGAAAGGCGGAGTAGGCACGCCAGAGAGCAAAGACGTTTCGACGTCCTGTCGTCGGTCCATGCCGCCAGCAGTGATAGGCTTGCCACATACCTTTAACACTGAGTTCAACAGTGGGGGATTGCCAGGGGACGACGCGTCCCTGGTTACGGACAGCTGGGAACACCGCCGTCGCCTGTTGAAGAACGTGAGAGTTAACCTCCTCGACAGTAGCCTCGGGGGAATCGGAGAGTAGGGCCTCGACAGAGGCACGAAGGTGCCGAATTCCGGGATGACTCGGGTCGCGACAGGCGTTGCGTAGGCCTTGGAGATCAAGGAGGGCACGTTTGGGTTGACTCTTGCCCAGGGCGCGGTAGGGTCGAATGGGAAGTGAGACCTGCACCGGTCGATGGCGTCCCCCTTGTCTCCAAGTCGCCAGAGGCCAGTTACAGGGCTGCCGCCGCGGGCAGGCATGTCGGCGGTGGCCTTGCGCACAAAGACATGATCGATCTGAGATGCTCCCTGAGGGGAAAGAAAGGTGGGGCCGGCTCTGCGAGTCCAACTGTTAAGATGAAGCAGCTGAAAATCTACGAGCAATGCCTCGCAGCCAGGTCTGGGACCATCGGTGTGCGAAATGCCCTGGCCTTGCTTCCCACCAGTTCGGAGATGAGCGGGGCAGGCGAGTTGAAGTCACCAGACAAAATTAAATGGTGACGGATTGGAATCTCTTTAAGGAGACCACGAAGAGATGTCCAGACGCCCATGCGCTGATCGGCCGCGGTTTGAGTCTGACCTTTCTCGATTCTCGTGCTGCCAGAATGATAAACCTTCTGGTAGGTGTTAATTGCATCCACCGTGCGGTCTCCCAGATCGATGCGTACGTGGAGCAGCCTGCCTGCGACGCGAGAGGAGGATGAGATCTGATTTGCCGAACAGAGCTGAGCGCTGACTAGGGTGAGGAGACCCCCTGCCTTAGGGGAGGAGCAGGCCGACGATATGATGTGCCAGCCTGGTGTGCTGTATTCCTGATCGTGCGACCAATGCGTTTCCTGGATGTGCACTATCATTGGGCACTGCTCTGGAGGCAGCTGGGCTAGCCACTGCATCAACTCCTGGTAGGATTCACCCGTCAGCCCACCCGCATTGTAAGAGACATGCAGAAGCCTGGCAGCAGAGGCAGGGGCGGCAGCATGCAGCTGGGGACGACGGTCCATCCGAGGCTGCGGCGAGAGGACGGGTGCTCGAAAAGAGCACCATCGGCCACGATAGAAGGTTCCCTGCAAGGGGCTCGCTTGTGCTCTTCTGACTGCCCGGTTGTATGCACGCTTGATGCCCGTGGCATGTGCATCGCTGGGGGCCTGCAGAATGCTGCTGACTCCTAGAAGGAGCAGGCGCGAAGCGGGCCAGGAGAAGCGAGACCTGATGACGACTGGTTGTGTACGAGGGTGGCGGTCCCGCAGGACTGCACCACTTGCAAAATTCCTTGGCTTCCCTGCTCCCATACAGTAATCAGAGGCTGGAACTGTGGTCGATACATGTGCATCTGGTCCAGCAGGGATCGGGGCAGCAGGTTCAAGACGCGGCGGGGGACGTCTAACCCTCGGCTCTGAGAGACTTTGTGTACAGGTTAGCACCGGCGTGTGCAAAGAAGTGCGCTCAATGTGCTGTGGCCTGTGTGAGCAAGCCTCCCCTTCGGACTTGGGACCGAAGTAGGCTCTTTTGATGCCGAATGTATGCATGTGTGTAAGTTTGAGTTGCCATACTAAAACGATGTCCGCCCGGTGTTCGGGCTGTTGTAGTGGCCTTGTTGCGGCGATGGCTGCAAGTCTCTTGAGCAGACCTGTGACCCAACGTACAAGAGACCACAGAAACACGCTAGTGGAATGCAGGCCAGTAGTCTGGAGTTCCGCCTGAGTCACGTACCAGCGAAAAAGCAGTCTTCTGACAGAGGACCATCCTGCAGCGATTCGCCTTTTGCGTCTGAGCTTTCGAGCGCGTCGGACACCCAACGAGGTCCTTGGTCGCTTCAGTCTGTGGCGAGGAAAGGTATCCTGCAGTGTAGAATTCGGGGCGCGGCTGAGCTGAGGCAGCAAGTCTGCCGTGACCTGGGTGCATTGCCAGGTCCAGGAGGGGTGGCACCCTCTCAAGTGCAGGTGGGCCGGACTGGGCAAGTGCAGTGCAGACCGTTTTCTCCATAGCCAGTCGACGGAGCAGGCATTGTGCAGCGGGATGAAGGCTGCTTGCCTAGGCTCTACATCCTGATAGCCCACGCCGTTTGCAGCGGCCACAAGGGAGAGCAGCGAGCTGCTATCCGTGATGCACGGACCTAGGGTACATACTGGCAGACGCGTGTCGCATAATGTGGGACAACGCGGTTTGCGCCAGGACCTTATGTTGAGCCCTGGACAGGACCACTGTGGGCACCGGAACTTGTCCCTCCGACTCACTGAGCGAGCCAGGGGCATCATCATACCGGACTGGTCGTGGAGGCGGCGGACCACGCGGCTCATCGTTTTCACAGAGAGGTGGAACTGGGGGCGGTGGAAGGCCACGAGCCGCCATTTCTCGATCGATCTGGTCCGAGTCGGAGGCGCGGACCTCGTCGGGATCACTTGCAAACCAGGACGGCGTAGTGGGTATGTCCGAGGGAAGCTTTGAGCGGTCCGGTTGGGTCCTTGGAGCTCCTTCGATGGGCTTGTTGGTTGAGCTTGCAGGGCGCTTCGCCGGAGTCGTAGAGGTAGCTCTGGTGGCAGCGCGAGAGGCAGGCTTTGAAGTCCTGGAAGCAGCCTGTGTACGAGATTTCTGAGCACGGTGTCCGGAGGGACGACCGGCTGGCCGCTTGCGAACAGGTGCCATGGCCCAGAGAAAGAGGCACCAGCGTGTGGCTGAGGGCTAAAACGGCTGGGTGGCAGAAGCATGGCCTGCTGTGGGCTCCACTGATGTGTGTGGCAGGATGCTGGTAAGTGAAGGTAGCGCTGCAGACTGAGGGCCACGCAAAAAGACCACTGTCCATGAACAGCACCCAAGGACCTGGGCAGTGAGAACATCACTACTGCAAGGCGCATGAAGGCTCTCACAGGAGATGCAGAGGAAGCACGCATATATGCCGGGCTGGTCGGAGTGCCAGGCTGAGTCATGCCCGTGTCTGTGAAACGGCGGGGCTCGTGGCCTTGGCTCCGCCCCGATCGACCAGAGGAGCTGTCATCATTAGAACTGGACGCAGAGCTGCGCTTCTCAGGCCGCACCCGTTTGGTGTCTGTCCGGGTGATCGGAGAAAAAGGGGATCGACTCGGGAGTCCCTTTGAGGTAACCGTCGGAGGGTCTGCCTTGGCATGTGCCTCCGCCTCCGCCTCAAGTTGAGAGAGCTGACGCCGTCGCCATCGCCTCGTAGGCAGAGGCTGGCACGTACTGGGCGGATCCTGTGAGGCCACCGAGGCAGGCAGGAGCTTCACCATCTCTGGGACACTCTCCAGCATGTTCTCCGGAGGGGAGATACCTTGGAAGGTGTGCGACAGGAGGGTGGAGGCTGCTGGGTCCGCACGCAGGATGTTCTCCGGCGACGGGGGTGGCAAACCATCTCCGGGTTCCAGCGCCTCCACGGTGTCGCTCTCAGAGTCCGTGTGCCCTGGTGGTGCGTCTTCTGACTCAGGCCACCGGACTCGGCTGAGGGCCTTGGCAAGACTTCCATCTTCGGCCGCTCGCATCACCACATTGGCCAGGAGCTGACGCCGTTTCTCGGGACCCGAAGCCGGAGGTGTACACTGAGAGCTCGAGGAAGCCGGAGGCTCCAGGGAGGAGGCCGTGCTGATCACCTCCGGCAGTTTTTCTTGCCCGCCTGGACCCGGTAGAAGCACCACCACATCCTCTTCGTCCGTATCGCTGTCCGAGTGGATCTGGACCGTCGGGCGTGCAGTGCGGTCCGAGTCTTCACGACCATCAACCTGCGTCGGTGCTAAAGCTGGTGGTGGCCTGACATATCGCGATGGCGGTGGCGGCGATACCACCCAGCGATATAGACGGTAAAGGCGCTCCTGGACAATCTCAGAGAAGTAGGGATCACCTGCGGGGAAGTACAGATGTGCACGGCAAGGCCCGGGATAAGCATGACCTTGCATGTGGTCTGGCCAGCGAGCGGGGCCGTGGTAGTGCTCAGCGGAGTGCCAGGGATGTCATCTGGCAGGATAACTCCCGGAGTTCCAGCCAAATACGGCGGGTGAGCCTCGAAGAGGCGGATAAAGCGCCGTGGCGCGAGCACCAAGACCTTGAAGGTCGTCCCCGAAGAGCTCGAGCCGCTGGGAGCTGGGCCAGGGCCTGCTTTGGCAGCGGCCACACTCTCCTCCGGGCGAGGGGTCTCCCTTGTGCGACGGCCCTTGTGCTGCTTGCCCCTCTGAAGGCGATTCGCCTTGCCCATGAGAGATCCAGGCCGAGTCAGCCCCAACTGAGCCGGGGGCTTCTGCTGACATGAACCAACATAGCAGCGAGGTGATTGCTCAGCAATGTGCAAGTGCTTGTGCCCATGCAATGCGGTGACAAGGCAGAGCCATGTAAGCTGGGCAGGCGGAGGCGATTGAGGCCGTGGCTCGAGGTGAGCAGGATGATCAAGCCCACAGGCGAGGACTCCTCCAGCCTGGGCGCAGACAGGCAAGTGCATGGAGAGGCGGGCTGCAAGACGAGCTGTGAGAGCCCGACTCGAGAAGCCAGCAGGACCCAGCCTAGTCGAGTAGATGCAGATCAAGGAGGTGGGATTGCAGGCTGGCGTGTGCCCGAGGAGCAAGGTGTGTAAGCTGGGCAAGAAGGGCTGCATGCTCAGTTTCCGTGAGTTCTTGCCTGGCTTCAAGGTATAGGACGTGGGCCTCGAGAGATGGCAAAAACTGCTCATAGTGCAATGCCTGAGTAAGAGCATAGCTGCGGTAGGTGTTAAACCTGGCACTTTTACGGTACCTCGAGACGGAGAGCGCCTCACACAGGAGGCGCGTACACAGAGGCAGGGCACTCCATGCTGCTTCAGCCACGGTCCTAGGACTGGGGCTGATGGGACAGGGCGAGCAGTCGGTGTCGTCGGGCACCCTGTGTGCCTGAAGTTTATTCCTGGGCTGCCACGATCTATCCTGCGGCTGTGGCTGCAAGCATAAGTTCGCCCGAGTAGGACCTGGGAGTGCAAACAGTGCATAACGCGCGGTGATGGAGGTAGACAGGGGCGCCCACCAGACGGCGCCGCATTGTCCATCATCTGCAGGAAGGACATGTTACCGTGACCTGAGCGACCAAGCTGAGCAGGGAGAAGCAGGCTAGGCAGGGGCCCTTGTGACAAAGCAGAGCAGCCAAGCATTTGTGTCCGGTGCGCATGTACCATCGTTGCTACTGCGGCTTTGTGCTCCAAAATGAAAAGTTCGGGAAGCAGGGCACAGCGAAGTAGTGCTGCATGCAGTGCCTCAGACGTCCGATGGCATAGTAAGGCCTGACACCACTGCATTCCAGAGCTGGGCCGGCGTAGGGATGGCGGATGGTCCTGTCGCTGTCGCCGGAGTAGCTGAGCCCGTCGATGTCGAAGAGAAGGGGACCACAGCTGCCGGAGGCAAAGATGAGGGCAACGCAGCGTCACCCGGGAAAGCCGGGCGAGAGGGGGCCCGGGGGCCGGAGGTACCTGGCGCAGGCGGAGATGAGGCCTTGGTTGTGGCCGCTGCCATTGCCAACGTCGCTGGAACGGGCATGTGAGGCAGTGGTGGTGCACAAATCGGCGTACAGATCGACAATGGGGTGACCGGGGTAAGGCGGAGCTGCCAAGCGCCTTGTAAAGTAAGTACAAGGTCTTGGGGGCAACCTGTCGGCATCTGCATTGTTGGGGCCGGCGTAGGAGGCGGTGGGCCGGCTGGTCCAGTCGGGAACAGCGACCCGGATGAGCCAGAAGTGGTGGTAGCCGTTGCTGCAACCTTGGGATACACAGGGGCATGTACAGAGGCTCCAAGCGGCGTGAGCGCAGCAGCAGCTTCCTCCGCTGGATCATTGACCGCCACTGGGGGAGGTGGTCCATGAGGTGGTCCTCGACGAGATCCGCGTTTGGGCGGTGGCCCCCAGGATGCCTCAGATGACGAGGAGCTCTCACTGATCGACTCGGAAGCCTCTGCACGGCGCGCTCGTCGACTCTTCGGCGCCGGAGTTCGGGTGCGAGTCCTGCTCCCTGAAGCTTTTGCCGGCACAGCTGTGTCTCCGGAGGCTGCTTTGGCGAAGCGGCCTGAGCGGAGAATTCCGCCTCGTTCCTTAGCCGCTGCCGGAGTAGTCTTCTTGGGCGACATACCGGAGTGACGCAGGGGCCGAAGGGTGGAGAGCCTGGAGACGAGGCGGCCGCAATGGCACGGCTGCAGTGCGGCAATCGGTGCACTTGAGACAAAGAGGCATGCCGGGCACCAAAGACTGCTTGCACTTGCAGGGCAATAGATGGGCTGTCAGCGCAATCGGCACGAGATACCTCTGAGCACCAGGCTGTGCAGGGCAGCTCCAGGCAGACAGGGCTCGAGAGGACTAGAGCCACAAGGAGGGGCCGGCATGACCACATGGCAGAATTTGTACTTACACACGGGAACAATCGGCTCGAGCCAGAGCCTTATGCATACATACATGCATGCCTGCATGCATACGTACATACCTGCGTACATAGAAACTCGTGTTACATTACATTCATTGCGCTAGTCGAAGCTATGTTATGCATTTGTCACATTGCAAAATATGCATCAGTACGCACGCATGCGCGCATGCATGCATGCATAGTTACGCACACGAGCGCACACACACACACACAGACACACGCAGACACACACACACACACACACCCACCCACCCACCCCCACCCACCCCCACCCACCCCCACCCACCCCCCCCCACCCCCACCCACCCACCCACCCACCCACCCACCCACCCACCCACCCACACACACACGCACACACACACACGCACACACACACACACACACACACACACACACACACACACACACACACACACACACACACACACACACACACACACACACACACACACACACACACACACACACACACACACACACACACACACACACACACACACACACACACACACCACACACACACACACACACACACACACACACACACACACACACACACACACACACACACACACACACACACACACACACACACACACACACACACACACACACACACACACACACACACACACACACACACACACACACACCGCGCGCGCAACAGGTGCATCCACAACCCATGCATCCAATTGCATCAGCAAGTACATATGTACGTACAACATGAGTGAAAGCTCACCGAAAGGATTGGCAGCAGTTATTCTAGCATGTTTTCGGCTACTTCATGTAAGATATGTATAGTTATAGACATGAGAACTACTACGCAGGAGCTTCTGCAACATGTCTGTTGTCGCAGCTCCTAAGAGCTTGTTTGGACCTTTCAGTGCAGTGGACAGGGCGCGCAAGCCACGGTTCCCAGTCGGTCCAACTTGAAGCAAGCAGCAGGCCTGGGTTGCAAAATACTGTGACTCGCTGTGCTAAACTTAAGTCTCACGGTCTGGAGCTGAGTGGCAACAATGCGTACCATGCTGAAACGGTACTGCATGTGATGCATGTGATACAGCCCGGCGGCGGAGATATGCCTGTCATTGAAGGGAGTACAACGACGCCATGACTACTGTACATGTTATGTGTGCCAGGCAAGTGCCAGCCGATTATGTAAAGTGATTTCATGCCAACCCGGGACTGCGCAAGCATCAGGACGGCGGCACAATGCATGGGGCGCCAGTGAGCGGCCAAGCATCACGGCAGCAGCGAAGACACAAGATGGGCAGGCTAAGTAATAGGATCACCAATGTAAGTACCTTCCAGCCCCGAGGCCATGCTTGTATACGAATAAGAGCGATTATCTACGTCACCAGTGGATGCCCTCCAGTCGATGTGTTGGTCGTTGCTACCGTAGCCTGTCGCGGCGATGCAACCGGCGTTTGACCTTCGATGTTGCGATCGGCAGCTACTCGTTGCCGCTGGCCGTTCGACTTCGACAATTGGAATGTTCATATTCATGGTGGTACCCTACCCTGAGTCTTATGCATCCTCGCCATCATAGTAGGTCGCGTGTCTGAGAAATCTGAATGTGGCTTGAGGCGACAAACCCGCGGACAGGACAGCATTGCAAAGTCGAGTATAGGGTAGCGCCAATTGGTTCAGGGCATGGTTTGCGTTTCGTTCGTGGAGCGCGAAATCTGCTTAAACGCAAACCGAGTCGAGAAGACATGCCACTGGCAATAAAGTGCCACGCGACATCATCAACAGGTAGTAGCTGTTAGCTTGTTGAGGGTGGTATGGGTGGTTCTCGCTCATGACAGCGCTATGGGGGTTGGGCTTCAGTGGGTTAGGAGGGTGGTCTCCAGGGCTTTTATCTAAGTAGGATATGATATGGGTCCGATGCAGGTTTGCCCGATCAGACCTACATCCTCGACCAGGCCGTAGCTACCGGACTACAAAGCCAACCACCAAAAATCCTGTCCTCTACAGGATAGAGCCCTGAACCCTAAGATAAGGAAAATAATAACACAAACAAAGAATTCTATTAGCATCTAATCATACCAAACCTTTCTAGGTTGCTGTTTGGGTGGCAGGAGCGAGGCGCGTCGCCGCTCCAGCGGCCAGTCCAGCTCACAGTCGGCCTCGAAATCCAGACTCTCGGATTCCGTTTGCTCTGGATTTGGGGCATTGGGATAGTAGGTTACTATAGGGTATTTTGGTATTAGGCTTAGGGTAGACTCTGTTTGCTCTGGGTTTGGGGGTAAACAGGGCCTGTTAGCAGACCGCGGGAGCGAGAGAGTGGAGATGGAAGGCACGAGGCCTTTGTCTTTGCTGCTGGCATTCGTGAGAGTCCAGTTGTATAAGGGCCTTTTTTTTTTTTTTGATTTCGGTTCAAGGACTTTTTGGGTTTCGATTGTTCCTAGGCCGGGGTTGGGGGACGATGACTATAGCTTGTACAGGCACGCTGAAGTGCGAACGGAGCGGAACGTAGCCGACTCCACAGCAAGGACTGCACGCCCCATCCGACCGAGCAGTTGAAATCTGAACCCTGATGCCCTTACCTGTAAAAGGCATCGAGGCGAAGCCGAACCACGACATGTGGGCGGTGAAGAGCACTGACGGCACCATGTTGGAAACCGAAGGTGGGGCGATCGGCTCAGGGTCGAGGTAACCCCATTCTACCGGGTGTTGAGGTACTTGAACCGAAAAGGAGATCCGACCCTAAACCGGAAGTCTTTCGCAGGCATGTGGTGGGAATGGCAGTGGTGGGGCCCAAGTGGCTGGAGCTTCTTCAGCTCTTGGGTCACAGAACAGATCGAAAAGGCAGCGGCCGGATCAAGGATGTGATAAACCCTAGAAGATCCTGGAAGCCTATAATTTGCGGTTTCGGGGTTCGTCGCAGTCGCCTGCCGCTAGATTCCACCGCGATGCGGGGGAAACTCTGAACCCGACCCGTGTCTGCAGTTACCCGAGTTTCCTTGAGGACGTGTTTCATCTCGCTTGTCCATCTCGTGATCCTATTTACTGCAGAAAACTGGGCGGGAGCAGCTTCTGCTCTCGAATCTCCGATCCTTAGTAATGGCCGTGGCGCAAAGCTCTACGTCAAGGATTTGGAGTATAGTGGCACGTATGGTCATACATGTGCAACACGGCGGCTGCAATCGCACTTACGCAAGTTCTACCCCCAGGCACAGATTGATATTCAAAGTAATTCTCCGGTGAACAACCCTCAGCTACCCATGAGGTCAGCCGAGGGATGTAGATCTCACACATCATCAAAGGATCTTGAAAGCCTTCCAAATCTGGTTCCCTACGAACTCTTTCCATCCCAATGGGAGGTCAAAGAAACTTAGTCTAACCCACTCTGTCTAACCCTTGACTGCAACCCTGAACCCTAAACCCTGTCTTAGTGTAGTCCTTGCAGACTCCGAGCCTCGCCTGGATTGTCCGAGAGCGCCGAAACCCTGTAAAGCCCTAACTCGGCCGTCCCCTCAACGCAGGCCTTTGCCTTGGGTCGGGCCTCGTGTAGTCTTCTCTACGACGGCCGGCAAGTGGAGTTTAACCTGGCCAGTGGCAGGGAGGCGACGTCCCCAACCGCATGTGTATCTGTGCCCCTATCGTATACAGGCATTTATGCATACAGACAGACAGACAGATATACAGACATGCATGCATATATCCATCCATGCCGGCATCCCTACATCCATACATGCATATATGCCGTACAAGCACATGTACATACACATGTGTGCCGCCTATTGCAGATGCCGTATATAATTTTTGGAGTGTATACTCAAAACCTTATGGTAAGCCTTTTAACGAATCATGCTCTCAGGGTGTTGGTGAGACAATTCTGCAAAGCTTAGTGTGTGTTGTGAGGCCACCATGACTTTGGATTGCACTGCTCATAAGCGGAGTATGTGCAGGCACGTACTCGCAGTGTCATTGCCATGCAGGTCACTGCTGGAGAATGGCTTGGGCTAAACGGGGAGGGATTGCCGATGTTTTCGTTGCCTCGCCTCGGAGGCGACGTGCAAATTCACGCCTGGACTGCTCAAACCCCAATGTAAATGTTATCATCCTAAGCCGACACCGCTTCCCATCTTGCACCCTTGACAGCGGTCAGGTGAACGGCGAAGGCCGCATTCGCCGAATTCGCATGCCCTGTGATGAGTCCTTCCACGGGGCATCAGCCACTCAGACTTGACTTGAGTGGAGAAACGCGTGTCGCTCGGAGCGGCAGTAGCAGCAGGAGCAGTAGCTGTCGTACTCGTACCAGTGTTAAGGCTAGTAATAGTTGTCGTAGACAGTAATAGTGGTAGTAGTAGTAGTAATTAGTAGTAGTTGTTGTTGCAGCAGCAGCAGCAGCAGAAGGGGAGTAGGAGCGGTAGCAGCAGGAGGAGCACCAGCAACAGCAGCGTCACCCGCATTACCAGAAGTAAGAGAGGGGCAGTTGTGACAGCGCTTTTTGTGTAATTTCGCCAACAGCAGCAGGGGACTCCTGCTCCGAAGATCTTCCGCTAGTAGCCCTGCAAGGTTTCGTTGGACCTAGAGGTGTCGGCCGGCAATATGGCTCCACTCAGAAAATGTCCTGCCGGATTGATGCTGCGCAGACGGACTTAGGTGTGTTCTACATTTCTGGCGTCTACGCTCAGCGAGCCTCACGGGCCGTCTCTGCAGCAGGGATCGCACAAATACGGCCTGACTTCACAGAACAGGGTTCATTTCTGTCGTTCGCAGTCGGGTCGTTCATGCTTTGAAAAGCATTCCTCAACAGGAAATTCCTGTGCACAACTGCTGAACATCGTTTGCGGGTTTTGCAGCCAATGGCTCTCCCTTCTTCTTTTGACGCAGGTTGGCTTGTTGTTCAGCCCTTACGACTGAGACCCTAAACTCGGCAACCAAACCACTATGACTCGACAGGAAAGTCCGAGTGTCAGAGCGCAAAGCCCAAGATAGCTCAGCAAGCGCACCCTAGCCCGAGCATGAGTTCATCACACACCAGGTGACCGGGCATCTACTTGTAGAAGGGAAGTCATGGCAGTATCCGTACGCGTAGAAGTGCGTGTATGCTTCCTAGGTTCAGGAAATGAGGAGGCTGAGGCTGGTCAGTTTTTGTCAAGGAACAAGAGTAAAACCGTCTGACTGACTGGTTGTCATGATGACTTCACGCACAGTTTATTGGCAGTACCGGAGCACTGTCGCATCCTTCGACTCGGGTCCTGGCCCATAACCAGCTGGTATCTGTAACAAGCTAAGTATCACGATCCTCCCTCCCCGACAGACCTGCACAATACCTCGGACGATTCAGACTGAGAGGCCCCCGAATCCCCCCATCTCAAACTTGCAAAAGGTGGACCAACGGAATGGCTGGAGAAAGCAGCTGGCTTTGCCACGGTATTCAGGGTCCGGGCTTCGGGGTCTTGGTGGTTTGGGATTTTAAAGGTTTTGTAAGACTTCTGTGGTTGTGAGTTGAAGCTCCCCTCCCTTCATGGTTCCATACTGTGACATGGTTTTCCGGCAGCCCTGACTGTACCTAAACATGCCCGAACAGACACCTGATGCGCATCCGTCGGTCCGGTCTTTAACATTTACTTTCGTTCATGGGAGGCTCCGTTGATAGCACAGACTGTAAGCTGGTTTGTGCTGGTGGGGCTCTAAGTTTTGCCGCAGTTGGGTTTTCGACGGCCTTGGTCGTGCGATCGAAGCTTTGGGTGTGGTCAGTGTCGTTGGTTGCGGCTGCTGCCTATGGATGGTTTTGGTTCGCTTGTGGTGGTGGAGTGTGGGCCGGAATCCAGGCAATGCCCGAAAAGCAATCCCCGCGCCGCTACTACGGAAATCAAGCATTCTTGAAAAACAGCTTTCCCGCTTTCAGAAATCGTCTCTTCAGATCCGAAGCTCGAGGCAAGCTGCTTAGTGTACAAGAAGATCCCGGCTTGCTCTCGCCCAGCCGGACGCAAAGTATCGCACCTCCGCATAATTTCCGACAGGGGTTTGGTGCTTTGAAAGCCTAAAGTCTTTGGCATGGGCACGGCTCTGGTTGGCGAAGATTTCGGTTTTAGTACGGTCTTAGCAGTAGAAATGGGTTTTAGGCTCAGCCTTCGGCAAGTTACGCTGAGACGAGACACGGGACCCTGCAGTCTCAGTTGGTTGTTCCTTCGTTTGGCGTGCCTTGCACGGCTACTAGTATCCCGTAAAGCTTCCTGATTTGTTCTTCACCGACAAGTTCTGAAGACTTTGTATATGGAGAGAACTACTGCGGCTGCTACTGCTACTGCTACTGCTACTGCTACTGCTACTCCTGCTACTACTACTACTACTACTACTACTACTACTACTACTACTACTACTACTACTACTAATTACTCCTACTCCTACCCCTACTCCTACTCCTACTCCTACTACTACTACTACCACCACTACCACTACCACTACCACTACCACTACTACTACTACTACTACTACTACTACTACTACTACTACTACTACTACTACTACTACTACTACTACTACTACTACTACTACTACTACTTCTACTACTACTACTACTACTACTACTACTACACCACTACTGCTCCTACTCAACTCCTACTACTCCTACTGCCATTGCGACTACAACTGCTCCTGCTCCTGCTTCTGCTCCTGCTGTTGCTGCTGCTGCTGCTGCTGCTGCTACTACGGCTACTTCTGCTTCTCACTGCCGGTCGTTTGCTCGGGCTCCCGGTTCTGGGTTTCTCTTGAAGCGAGGTGTTCGATGTCATGCCGTTACTTTATTCAGGGGACGCTGCAGTTGGGGATCCGAACTACATGCAAGGCTCGAGTGCGCCTGGCGATCAGACCTGTGTTTGTAATACGTAGCAGTGACTTCTGGAGTGGAGCGGCCTTAGCGAGAATGCACGAGAGTACGCAGATCCGCGATGCGTGAGCCAGGTCGTTGAACCCAGCATCTCTGCTGGGTTCTCATCGGATTGGTTTGCAGTTCCTTGGCTAGAACAGCTTCTGGAAAGTGAAGAGTTCAAGGATTCGATTCTTGCGAGGACATTATAAGCCTAAATGCCTATAGGCTGCAGTGAGGGCGCTTTGCGCTGGGCTTTTGGGTTGTACTGTAGTGTCCATGTGGTAAGGAGCTAGCACCTGGTTGGGCGTTCTTTCGGGTTCCAATGCCTGACACTTGGGAAATCGGCATGATTTGAACCGTTGGCCTAGTTAGTTTGCGGTTTCTTCAAGCACGGGAGGATTCAAGCGTGCTGACACTCGAAACCTTTGGAGAGCGCCCCTTAGCATAGTTGGCATTTCGTGGTCAAGAGTCGAAAATACACACACATACCTACATATACAGAGGTATACAACCCTTTCGACTGTTTCTATTGTGTGTACTGTGCGCCGTGGCCTGGCATCATTGGTTTTGTTGTCGTCCTCGTCCTCATCCTCGTGGTTGTGGTGATGGTGGTGGTGGTGGTGGTGGTGGTGGTGGTGGTTGCTTTTGCTCTTGCTCTTCTTGTTGTGGTTGTTGCCATGTATGGCACTCGGCGCCCCGAAAGGTAAACACCTTACGCCCAGTGGGGTTTGGGTGGGTCGGATGTTCATTTTTTGCATCTTCGAGTACGTTTTGCAGTTGCAGTGAAGACGAGGGGTCCTACGAATACTATAAGTTGCAGCAATTTCTGTTTTACGATGTTGTCGTAAAGGCAGACAACTATGGTGTTTACTTCTGCTCAAAGCTGTCTTCGGCCGGCGCAAAAGGCACGAGGTAGTCAACGGGGCTTGCGGCCGTTGCTCGCGTTCGCCGTTGTAGTGACAGAAACGCGCGTTTCGCGTGGGTTTTTGCCAACACAGGGGCCGTTTCGGTGACGAGGTCATCGTCTTGGGGGCACAGCATCCATGGCCAAAGCCTGATGACGTCCATGGTTTGCTGCGATTTGGGAAGAGCAGAGCACACATGGCCAAAACCTAATGTCTGTCCATTGCCTTTCGTCTGGCATTGCTCTGCCTCTCCCTTACCCTGCCCCCGCATGCAAAGTATGACCACATGCATGTGCCAGAGAACAGTTTTGTTTAAAGCCTCTCTGTGCCGAAACCACGGTGCCAGTCACATGCGTGCCTAAAACTGCACGACCTGTCGCGGCGGCGAATGGCGTACATTCCTTGTTGTTGGTGGTGGTGGTGTTGGTGTCGTCGCTGTCGTTGTAGTTGTGGTGGTGGTGGTGGCGGCGGGGGGGGGTGGGTGGGTGGGTGGGCGGTTGTGGTTGTTGTTTGTGTTCTTCGTGTTGGTTTTGCTAGTGGTGCTGGCGTTGGTGCTGTTGTTGTTGCTGCTGCTGTTGTTCTTGTTGTTGCGTGGGGTGGACGCCTTTGCCGCCGTGGCGTGTGTATCGATGATGATGATCCATCGATGTTGGTGTTGCTGGTCTCAAGAAACCCAGTATGAAACGCATCATGCCTGAAATCACGCAGTTGTTGAATTGTCCCTGCGACCGTTGCGCGACAAGAGCCTCGAGCCCCACGGGACCTCTACAAAATGCAGTCCGGGTTTCTGAACCCCGTACCCCGCAGCTTAGAGTTCCTTCAGCGCTATTTCGCCCGGAACCCTCTATCTGTCCCATGCCTCCCAAGGATGCGCCCTCCCGGAACCACAAACCCGGCCGCCACGGCAGCCGCTGCGACTGCCATGATCTTTCGGGTTGGCCTCCTGTGAGTCAGACTTACCGTTGCAACAGCGCATGGGGGAGCATGATAATAAATTGTCATCATGACACCAGGGACAGGGACGACAGGCAAGAAGCAACAACCTAATGGCAGCAAGTCCCAGGCAAAGTGTTAAATCAGTGGGGCTGTAGCAGTAGCAATATACATAGCAGTGATGCTATCCGGCTGATCTCATGTGCTACCAGAGTCATCGCCGCTTATAACGATCGCTAAGGCAAAGACCTTATGACAGCGCGTAGTGGTGTCATCTGAGGAGTGCATAGACTGTCTCGTTATTTTTGTACGCATCAAAATTGAGGAAGCTCCATATACTACCTGGAGTGTATTTGAGGCTTTGAAGGTTTCCATGAGTTAAGCTCCGAAATGATCTCGCGGGTAGTTCTACCGAGTAATTTCACACTCCTTCGGCTGGCTGTCTTTATGGGCCAGTCTTGTAAGGAAGGCGTCAACCTCGCGAAGTGTTCATTTGCTTAGATGGGCCGTTCTCTCTAACAGTGCTTCCCAAAGCACCTATCATCGCAGCAATCCACATACAATTAGGCCTAAGCCACAGAGCTTGTGAGCCCGCTCTTGTCCTGAGGTCGTGTAAAGCACCGGGGTCTGTCTCAAGAGTTCGCCGTCCCGGCGGCTGTCTCTGTGAAAGGCCTGTGGTCATTGACCAACGAAGGCTTTGCTGAACTGTTGTTGGACTTGCAAGCCTGAGCACATCAACGAGCAATGGTCGATGCCAGGGTCTAATGGCCTGATGATTCCACTTTCCCAGTTTGCAGAGTTTCAAGCTCCTGTGTCGTTGGTCCCGTATCTCACCAACAACGCTGCACAACGTTGCCCTCTTCCAAAAACAAATCCGTCCACATTCTCCGTGCAGATATCATCAGCCAGCCAGTGGTTGCAAGCCGCACTGAGCCCGACCACCACGTTTGGCGCTGCGAAGCGCAACTCGGCCACAGCTTGCGAAAGGTTTCGGATCATGTGACTGGTCGTTATTTGCGTTAAGATGCTACGGCGCAGCGCCGGCATCGATGACATCGACAAGGACCAATGTGTTGTGACAGTACGACTAGCACAATGCAGCAGCACCTTCTCCGCAATCTGAACACTTCAAAAGGCAGGAAATTGCTTGCAGTTTAGAGTTTCGCAGAGCCAGAAAGGGCAACTGGGCATACACACAGCACATGTATGCAGCTGTGCATGATCAACAGCGACAGTCGTAGGTCGAACTGCACGTTGACACGCATTCCAGTACCTTTACCCGAACGATTCCGTCTGTCGTGTGATTCTAGACCAAACAATGGCTACAGTAACTGCAACGGACATTTGGACGCAGCAGTCCCGTGCTGAAGTCTCTTCTCGTCGGAAACTCTCATCTGCTGACGTGACAGCATTATCCTCGCATGTCTATCATCGCAGGTACAGTAGCTTGTGGTCTGTAGCCTTGGGGCTTTCATCCCGCACTCCCAGACTCGTACCTGACGCATTCCTGCACATGCATTGGGTTGTTAAGCCTCTTGGGATCAGGAATGATTCGCTGCTGATATTGCCCTTATCTTGACCAAAACGACAACAAGACATCGTTGAGAACACTTGAGAACGCACACTAGGGCTGCACAGTCTCTGCTGGCCTGGCAGTTGGTTCTGTTGTAATTTGGCACAAGCTCGGGAATGATTGTAAGCCCCACTCAGAAACCAGGTACGAAGCGCTGAACCGCCCCTTGCACGCAGCTGCGTCGTCGGTGCAAAGTTTCTTCAAGTGTCAGCTAGTTTATTGCTGATTGAAGCGTGGGTCCGTAGATGTCATTAGGCCATAGATGCCATGCAGCTTTCGGAAACCCTGAACACTTGACTCACCAAGCGTGTGTTGGGAGTACAGGTTTCGGATTTTTTGGAGAGTCACTTTGAAGGCTTTGCAGGACTCCTTCGTTGCCCATGTTTTCGAGGTGTCCGGTTGAGCTCGACGAGTAATATCAGTTTCAAAACTGCCAGTGAAATACGAGCTGAAGGCCTCGGGACCTGTGTCAGGCATTCTAGAGCAACATCAGGCTGTACCCTTGGGCCACAACAAATCGAATTAGAGAACCCCCTTTGCCGGCACATGTCTGCTTAAAACGTTTCATCTTCTTGTCTCAAACTCTAGAAGTTTTCGAGACGCAAGTTGAGCAGTATGCACTCACCCTGTCCGTTCCGGGAGCCAGACATGGGCAGATACAGTCAGTAAAGGTTAATTTCCAGTTTACTTACAGTGTTAAGAAAAAGGCGTGCAGATAACTTCAGTCCTGGACCGCACAGGAGCCGGCCAGTCGCTTGGATGCGCAAAGAACTGGAGTCTCGGTTTTTCTGTCAAGGTTGCCACGTGTTGGAATCCATTGACCAATGGAATTCGCTTCTAGGGCTCTGTTCTGAGCAGTTGCCCCAAAAGCCCCTGAAGTGCTAGATCGCGAGGCGTCCGTCATCATCTAGAACCTCAGGCTAGTGGATAGTGCCGTGACTTTTCCAGCTTCCCGGGATGGAGTTACAAAGACTTGCGGTACATCCATCGAGGTGCAACGTGTCGATCCGCTTAGGTACCTGGGGGCTTTTGCCCTGCGCCAAAGCCACCCTGCTTACCACAACCCCTGCCACGAGCGTTCCTAACCTGCCAATGCAAGACCCTTCTGACTAAATGAAGTCCCGCGCTGGAAGTGGCATAGCCTGGACAACAAGCACACCTCCTGGCATAATTAGTTCAACTCCAGATCATAATGCAAAAGACCAATACTTGGTTACAAGTGGTTGGGAATGTTTGTTTTCGATTCTCACAAAGGGCCAACATAGTTCGGGCTGAAGCTGTGTGTTTGGCTTCATGACACAGGGTCTCGGAGATCGGGGTCTTGTGGATGCAATGGCGGGGCCTTTCGCATTGAGAAAGTACCGGGTTTTGCTGCGGAGTGCGCGCTGGCTAAGCCCACGGCTACGCGAACCCGAGATTTGTTCCCGCAAGTTTCAGGCTACGTGTGACAACCCTTGGCTTAAAACGCCTGTACATGGTACACCCTCTGCAGTTCTCTACATCTATACGACCCTCACCCAGGCTGCAGGAGCAATGCACGGCCGTGCTCACAAGTTGACGCTGCGTGGCGAGGCACTGGGCCGTGCAAAGCCATGCAGGTTCAGCTTGCAGGATCCTGCGAATTCGAACTCACGGTTTGGAGCACAAGAGTTGCGGGATCCAGGAAGGGTTCGCTTCGAGAGTTATGACGACCAATTCGACGTCTCGGTGTTTGTGGCAAAGGCTGTTGCTTTCTTTCGGGTTACACAGTCTGGCTCCCTCCTTGACTTTAGTACCAGGACATCGACCAGGTGTACGTCGTACGTGGTGGTTCGTCGCATGAATTTAAGTTCAAGACACCGGTTTAACGAATGTAAGTCAAGACAAGTACCGGTACCGGTTCTTGCCGACTTGGGTTTTCCGGTTCCAGGCGCATTGGGAGGTTCGGGAAGACCTGCGCCGTGTGCCTACGGATGAGGACCTAAATGTGCTAAGTCTTAACAGATTCCATACTTGTACATACTGAGTCCAAGATCGAACTTTCGCCTCAACGTGGAGGCTGCGGGCATCCTCGACGGTCGCAGGCCTCGGCAAAGAGGTGGCATCCCTAGACCAAGCGAAGTGTGAGCAACTGCTGCCTTAACCTTTGCGAGTTTCGTGCCACGACGGTCTACGCGTCTTCTTCTGCGGGCTCCACCGACGGAATATGTTGGCTTTCGCGGAAGGCCCGAAAGGCCTTTGAGGTTTCAACTATCTTCACATGGGCTGAGGTGCTTTTGTCGGCCAAGCCACAATTGGTTCCGCGATTTGCCTCCTTAGCTCGAGAAACGAAGCCTTCACTTGTTGCCTTCAAAGCTCAATTGTGAAGCTCTCAGGAGCTCCGCCCATTGAGAGCCCTTCTGTGTCGGTGCTCTTCCTGGAAATTGGAAGCCGTGGCCACCCTGTTTTCAGAGCTCGGAAAGTTCCAGGAAAGCTTCTACTCGAGGAATTGGGGAACCTCTATTGTATTGTATAAGGAGTCCACACTGAAGGCACCCCTTTGTTACAACCCTTTCAGCACCCTCTCAGGGGATTCGATGAAGTCTTCCCTGGAGCAGTCCTGGGTCTGCTATGTTTCACACCCGCTTTTGCCATCATGGGTTGAGGTGCATGGCTGTCCCTTCAGGGGGACGGGCAGACGGCTCAAGGTAGGGCAAGGTTCGCTTTGGGGTCTGTCTCTAGGGGGGTTTGTTGGGGTTCGTGGCCACATGCCGAGTCAAATACCGATGTCCTCAACCCAGGACGATGAAATCATTTAAAGAGCTGTGGGCTGCGAAGACATGGTACACCGTTGAGCCTCGATGCAGCGAAGTCCCAGCTTCTGGAATCAAGTGGGTCTTTGGATCGGGCTCCGACCATCCACCTCTTTTCAATTCTCAGGAAGATGTCGCAGAGCATTGTGTCCAGGTCATCTGAGCCCAGCTGTTTGCACAGCCGAGCACCGGGGTGCATAGGCTGGCTTAGGCCACAATCCACCCCACGACACTTAGGTAGATGTCAGAATCTCACAGTTTTGCCAAACGCCACGGTTTTCTCTCCAAGTTGGCATCTGCCCTTGTGGCAATCAGAGCTCGGCACTTCTTTTCCCAAGCATCGGGTGGATGTGCAGTGATCCCAAGGCCTTGACCCAAAACGACTAAGCCCAAGATGACTGCAGACTCCGATCACACGGGTTGAAAAGGAAAAGACGTAATTGATTTGCACAGTGTGTGGGTGTGTGAGAACTCGAAAATAAAAGCCCTTGCTGACGCTGGCGCATCGGCTGTACTTGTGCAAGCCTTGCCTCACCCCTGCAAAGCCTCGCCCGAAACACAAGCCCAAAAGTCGAATGAGCTGGCAGAAGGTTTTTGCAAATTTTCCTAACCCAGGTGAGGACACGCACGTTCATGCATAGCAGAAGTCCAACGTCCCAAACCGGTTCTTAGGCAAGCTTTGTGGAGGTCGGGGAAGCATTACCCACCCGGCAGTAAACGTTGATGTTGTTGTTTCTGCGGCTTGACCCAAAGGGTGCAAGGTGCAGTTTTAGGTTAGCAGATGTCGTTTAACATGAGTTTTAGAAGAAGCTCTTCTTGGTTTCACCTGTCGTTGACAGCATTTCTTTCTGATTGTCGTGGACAAGTGACCCGGCGTAACCAAAAGCGGGCGTTGAGTTCCAACAGTTTCCATCATATTTCGTACTCCTGCACGAAGTTGGGGGTTGTTTTGGAAACGGCGCATCTAGCATGCATGCAGTCTTGTATGTCGGACTGGTTGCAGAGAGGATTCAATACGTTCAGCGCTCGCATCAACCTGTGCATCCTGTATCTTGCGTGTGTAGTCGTTTTCTGAGGATGAAGCAAGACGAGGAAGAGATGAAGGAGCGCATGGAGCCGCATGCTCAGCCGGCGCAAATCGGATGTACGTTCTGGTGAGGCCACGGAGTCTATGTTAGCAGTGAGCAGTGGTTTGTTTAAGGGCTGTTTCACAAATCAGCGTGCTTTGCCCCTGAACCTCACTTCCAAAGTCTTCTTGAGCCAGCTACTTCTCTGGCCGCGATTTCGAAGCTAGATATCCTCTTGGCTTTGGGATGGGTGTCCTGCGAGAAGGATCAATCGCTCAGGGTTTTGTTCAGCAGCTCCGCTGGTAAGCCACGAGTTGAGACCGTGGGGCCGAACAGGTTTGGAGGCATGTTCAAGCAGCTAACATCGCTTAAAGCTTGTGTTGGGGTTGTGACCCCCCCCCCCCCCCCAGTGCTTCTCTTCCTGTGATGTACGTCTGTCAGCCGGATGGCAAGCAATCAAACAACACCTTGGATGTGGACCGAAGTCGTAAACCTTAGCTGACAGAGCCCCGGAGGGAGGTTGGAAGTCGTCCAACACCCGCTGCCTGCGAGCCAGAAACATGCCCAGGTCCTTCAGAGCAGATTGTGACAAGCGCATGAAAGAGGATATTGGGATCGGGTGCAGGGCCGGTGGAGGGCTCGTCTAGGATTTTGAAGATCCTCGAAGTTCTGGGTACTGGTAATTTGGGATTCACGCCACTTGGTAGGTTTCTTTTCTGAGGTTACCGCATGTGGCTGAGCCCTTACGTATTGCTCAGACGCCCTACCAAAAGACAAGTTTCCTGGTTTTCGACAGATCTCCCCGAAAACTGGCCACTACTGGGCCCTGCAAAATGAAGCTTGTACTGCAGGCATTTACCCTTCTTGTAGGCTGCAAGTCCGCTGTCCTCGTTGCCGTAGCTCCCTACAGGCTTCAAGGGCAGGGAAATAAATTAATTCCTAAACTAGCAGCCTCTTGTGCTTAGGGCCGTAGTCTGCCCATGGCTTTGATCAGGACGAAACCCTCAAAAGTCGATCCAGAAGGGCCCGTACTTAAACCTTACTTTGCGTTTGGGAGCTCCAAGGCGCTCAGCTTGAGAAGCCCGGCTGGCATGAAACGCCGAAACCCCACGGGAAAACATCAAAGCGTCTGCACCCGTAGGACCTTACACATCTCCATGCCCCAAACTCCTAAACCCCGTGCTGTCAGACTCCGAAGCATATGCCTCGCCTGGATTGTCCGAGGGTGAGCGCCGCGCACTGTTAGCTTCTTGATGGATGGACTTGTGTGGAACCTTGCCTGCCTCGCGCGAGAGTGAGGGACACCCCTAAACCCAGACCCTGGCTTGAGTATGCTTTGAGTGCATTGCTCAACGCACAAATCTTGCTGCTTGCGGCTGGAGTCGTGTTGTTCTGCTCGTGTTTTCAAGTGAGGGCCTTCGTCCTCTATCACTTGTGACTCTCGCGACACCCGCTGCCTCGTCTGGCTTGTCCGAGAGCGAGAGCGTAAAGAACCTCCAAATCAGGAGCCCTAAACCCGAGACTTTAAAAAACCTAGAGCCTCCAAGCCAGGAGCAGGAGGCCATGGCTCGAATGACCCACGAGCTCCACAACAAGGCTCATGAGCAGGCTCCGCTTCGTGTCCCAGGGGGGGGCGGGGGGGGGGCATCTCAGGAGCCGAGCCAAGAGATGATGATCGCGGGAGAAGATCCCTTTATCGTCCCTATGTGATTGTCCGAGTGTGAGCGCCGCGTTAACTTCCAGCTTCGTCTCGTGTCAGGGGCAATAAGCTATTGTAGGGTGCCACTTCTGCATCACGGAAGTCTAACATTTCAGGCGTGTTTTTTTTGCCACAAACCGAAATCTTGTCAGTGTATCCTGTACTGGCCCTTGAGTCATCAACAATCCGGAGTTGCCGAGGATGTGGAAGCAAACCATCACGCAAGCCCAGACGCACATGGCCGTTTCACGAGCTTCAGAAACTGATCTAGTGGAGAAACCCAAAAATGCGTGGCAGAGTTTAGCAACAGAGCCGCATATGGAAACCCTATCTCTGCTGCTTGAGCCCTCCATGGTCGGGGGAACATGGGACTCAAGGACGTAAACCTGGAGGCCTCGCCTGAGAGCGCCTTACTAAAGCCTCCCAATGTAATGTATACTGTGCGTTGCTGTACTATACTGGAACATATACTATACATGCCTGTGCTATACTGGAATGTACTGTGCTAGAGTGTGTAATATAATGAACCCCTACTATAGCAGCTTTGGAGGTTGCCAAGGAGCAGCAAGCTGCCGAGCGACGTGTTGCAGAGATTCGGGCCCAGACGGAGGCATTTGGCTTAGGGCCTCATGAGGCTTCGGTTAGGGTTTAGGATGCAGGCTTTCTGATTTGCAGGGTCTGGGGTTGAGGGATGATTCTTGCAGTGCTGCTTCCCAGCTTATCCGGCACAGCCTGGGTTCAAGACGTGAAGACCCACCAAGCATGCAAAATATTTACTACTGTCATCAAGAGTGTTCGTTGTCGTGTGTATTCTGAGGTGTTGACGATGTTTGTGTGCTGAACTAGTTTGATTACTTGCCTGTTTAGGCAGATGACGTCTCATTGCACATAGTCTCCTGTGTGCAGAAACCCTTACCTGAACCACGAGCGCCAAAACGTTCCGGAACTGGTCGATGCATGCAAGGCTTTCCCCAGCAAAATTTCGAAAGGAGCTCAAGCCTTCTTTTCAGGAGCAGCTCAGATCGGAGAGAGAGGTCTCGGACAGCGTCCGGCATGCCGGGACTCGGAACTCTCTCAGGGCTCCAGGGAGAATATTGGGAGTCGAGGGCTTGGGCATTCCGGCATGACATGCCCCTCAGCCCCTCCTGATGAAGCATTCCAGAGGAACATATGCCTCGATAGTTTCGAGGCACGGGCTGGGATTTCAAGCGCAGATACACGTGACACAACCTAAGTACGTCTTGGCCTTTGGGGTTGCTAGGATTAGGGCAAAAGTTTCCATGGTACTTCATGTCTCATAGCTTCATGTTGGACCCTTAGATTTCATGTGAAATGTGTGCGAGCTGAACGAATGTCTAGATTTCGGAGGGCATGCAAATAGCCCAAGCTGTGTCCGGCTTTGGCTCCCTCCTCTTCCACAGCATCTAATCTTACTAGGGCATCATATCCGAATACAAGGACCATGACAAAATACGACTGTAAGACCCAGCATTGCGTTCATCCTCGAGGCCGGCAGATGAGATTGAGTGGAGCCGTTTTAGAGCACCTGCAGTAACCCTTATACAAGCCCTTGCAGAAGCCCTCTAAAGTTCTAGAGGAAGCTGCTTACTACTACTTGAGCCCTGCATGGCTGGTAATTACGCAGGGACCAACTCAACTGATGCAGCTGTTTGGGCACGGAGGCTTCACCCAAGTCTGGGAACTAAATCTAAGCTCAGCGTCGGAGTCAGCACACGGCCGTGCAACCATCTTCATATTGGGGTTCACGTCCCTCTAGTTCAGGTACCTTTCATGCCCTGATTGCCAAAGATTATGCCACATCAGCCCGATGCATCCCAAGGCTACCTCTGCACCCTGACCTTGCTGGTGCAGACACAAAGCCGAGAATGCCATAGATTGCCCACCCAACCGGAGCTCCCAAACAGATCCAAAGACGCATACAACCTTGGCATGGCATCCGAAACTCTTACAACTTGATCACCTTTATCAGTCTCCCTACTGCATGCCCTAACCCCGAACCCCTCAACCCTGTTGTCCTTGTCGGATCGACAGCCATGCCGGACAACTGAGCGGCTGAGCTGTAGTATGCGCTGGGATGCACTGGAGACCTGGTCGGGCTTAAGGACTATATCGGAGTTTCCGAAATTTGGGGTCCTTGTAATAAGGATCCCAGTATTTAAGGTACTGTATCAGGGTCCCCTATTGTCGGAGACCCCCATATTATAGAGTGCAGGGTCAAGGGACTACCTGGAGTTTAGGGTTGAGACTAACTAGGGTTCAGGGGGTGTGTTAGGGTCGAGATGAGGCTCCCTTATTCTCTCGTTCTTGTTTAGCCATCAGCCCGAAGGGCTTCTGGGACAAACAGCAATTTCAAAAGCCACCTGGCCCTTCCCAGCCAGTCAGCTAAGAACTTGAAGTCACCTTCTTATTGGTAGCCGCTGCAGTCGCGACCCGAAATACTGCTTTTTTGGCTGGGGGGGACATATGCTCAAGGTATACCAGCAAAGCCACGCCTTTGGCTTCTTCTTGAGTACTGATTTTCCTTCGGATATCAGTGTTCGCCCATTGGTGTTTCCTGCACTATTTCTAAGCAGCATTCCTCCCACGACTCTCCGAGTCAAGGAATGCGTCCAGTGATAGCCACTACGATGCTCCGATCAGCCGTCAGCCAGCACCTCAGAGACTGGCCGCCGCTGGCGGGCCAGCACGAAAAAGCACGGCTTCTTGAATCCTGTAAAGCATTGAATCGTCAGAGGCTTAAAATCAGAGCCCAGTGCCGAAACTCTACAATTTGTTGAAGCTTCGTGAAACCCAGGCTGCTTGCCTTGAGCCTGTCTAGGCAGTTCTTTTCTCTTAACCTAGTCTTGGAGGCTAAGACTGCTTCGGGCTCAAGGCTTTAATATTGAGGTGCCGTAAAGCTGTACATGTTGACATTGACATTGTAAATTTGGGTCATTCAAATCTCAGTGACAACCGGAAGCCCTAAACCCGAAGCAGTTGGCAAGCTTTCAGTGGTTGTTCGGCCGAGAGTCACGGGGCCGGCTTCCCAGGCTCACGCGCAATGGCAGCCACTACTTCGGAAGCACCTGGAGCCTGCCTTTGTCTCAGGCTGGGCAGGGGGACCAGGATGATAAGGGTAGTGCAATATTCGTGCGGACTTTGATATTTAATTACCTGGCAACTTTGCTCAGCAGCTCGAACTCCGGTTAATCCAGGCTCAAGAACATCAAAGCCACACTGGCAAAATGCTTTGCCACTAGTCGCGTAAGAGGTATCAGCAGAGTGCAGAGACAGCAGACACGAAGTTCGCAAGCACAGTTGCTATATTTTGTTCGCACCACAAAATCTTGGATCATGCCCGCTTCCTGCTGCTACAGTATCACCTTGAGGGGGGTCCAGAAGGAAACCTGCCACAAAGACTTCGAACGCTGCGTTTCAGAATGATGTGAAGTGCTACGTTGTCAGCAATGGAACAGTACTGTACGTTTTGCAATGTGGAACCACCCATTTCATGGGGCATTTGTGCGAACACTGCAGTCTCCAAGCACTTTTTTCCTGCTTGGCGACAGATGCGCGAGTACTCTCCGGCCGATCATCACGACTCGGATGGAGAGGTGCCGTGCAAGCATTCGAGGCTGAAATTCTCAGGCGTAAGGCCGCATGGGATAAGTTGGGTGATTATTTCCAGGCTACATGGCTGTACCTGGAGCTCTCAATCAGAACACAGAGCTGTGCTGCTGCTCCCATGTCAGTGTGCTGCTGCTCCCATGTCAGTTTGTTTCAGGTTTTGGCTACCGCGTTTGCAGAGCATCGCATCCTGATGATGCGCTGCCGTTCTTTCGGTATGAGGTTACAATAACCACGTGACCAAGTTTATAGTTGACCAACCAAATAGCAACTATCTGACTATGTAGCTGATTTGATGCATGAGTTAATGAGTTGACGAGTTTAACGTATGGTCAGGTGAAGTCGAAGACCTTTCCGACGTAAGTCTCCGGTCTTTTGGTGGCACTTGTGCCGCCATTTCGGTCTCCACCGTTGTTTGTTTCGTTGTCATGTTGCGGGGAATCACTTCGCGGGATTCAAGCTATGTAGTACACATTGGTAGACTATACAGGTTGGAATTCGCCGTCATCTTTACGTAGTGATATACACCGGAGCAGTGGTGTCCAGAACAGCAGGTGGAGCTGCTCCTGGTAATTCTCATGGTTTAATCTGCTTCATGATAGAGATTCTGAATATGGTGGCGGCGGGAGAAGCTGTGACCATAATGGTGACATTGCTGGGTCAGGGTGATGACCGTGTGCGTTGCCGTCATGAATGCCAGTGCCTCGACTGATTGCAAGGACGACGGCGGAACAATTTCGGAGGCTTCCGAGGACTCAGACACCAGCCAGGACGCTGTTGCTACTCCTGCTGGTATGGGGCCAGAATTGGGAACCAGCACATGCAAGGTCGTACAAGCAAAGTGCATTGTCGCTGCGAGGGGCATGCGTGCGGAATTCAGCAACCTGAATGAACTGTCCTGCATTCGCAGAAATACTCAGTTTAAGACAAGACTGCACGTTGACTGATAATAAGACCCGCGAATGGTCAAGCGAAGCCTCAGATGACGCATTAAGCCCAAAATACAGAAACGACATAAAGCCTCAATGCCGAAACCCGGACTTCGTCACAGAAGCTTTGGCACGGCATTTGTCAAATGCATAATATTATTTCAATGGCATTGTCCCGATGCTGTTCGCCCAGGATTTTAAAAGCTGAAGTACAGGGCTTTTTCCCACCGATTCTCGACCCCGAGTTTCCTGATCTGTGGTATTTAAGATGGGCTGATGTCGGCAGGGTCCTTCTTGCAAGCCTTTCAAGGACGAGATCAGCTGCACATCTGCCTTCTGCCGTGAGCCGGACAAGGGCGAGCTGAGCTGGGAGCAGGTGGCCGATTCTTTAGTCCTGTAATGTAGGGACCTTAATATCCACCAAGAGTACGTACTCTTTCGGGTTCCCTGATACGGGTACAGTATATAGCGTACTTCGTAGACGCCCAAAATCCGATCTATTGATTCAGGTCCTTATACTAACTATACTAGTCACTGGGTTACGTTGGGATTTAGGCATAGGATTGAGGGCTCGAGGTCCTGGATTGTTTTGGAGTTTCAGGATTTGAACTAAAGACTTAAGGATTATATTCCAAGACGACGTAGCCACACGAAGACATCAGTGTATGTAGCCACACGTACACATGAATAGGTATGTGTACAACATCTACAGTCGATATAATATGTACATCTAGGTGTGCGTATATATATATATATATATATATATACATACACATAGTCTCTATTATATGTGTGTGTACTTATATGTTCAGAACTGTATCTACATCTATATGTACATATATATGTTCGTTTTTTGCCGACCTAGCTAGCTAGCTAGCTATCTACCTAGTCTTTCTATCTGCTTATCTATCTAGCTACCTATTTCTATATACCTGGCTATCTGTCTACCTATCTAACTACCTACCTACCATATCTATCTATCTATCTATCTATCTATCTATCTATATACACACACATATATATATATATAGAGAGAGAGAGAGGTTTATTTGTTTATTTATCTATGTGTGTGCATGTATGCATGTAAGCATGCTTGCATTTACCTGCACACACATGTACTGCCCTGTGCGTATCATTTCTTCACGACTGACCACGTGGTGATGCAAACGTTCCCGAATGTATGCTTGCACAGATTGGTTCACACATATGCACTGCCAAACATTGCGATAACCCAACACCACCATGTGCCGCAGGTGGTTCAGCTTCTTGGCATTGAGGCATGATCACAGCCAGCCTTCGTGCTCTTTGGAAACCACATCCTCCGGAGCCTGAAGCATGAAACCCTAACCTATTCCATGCTTGTCCCAGTTGTGGATGCCGAGGCGGAAAAGGTTGTTAAGTGGGAGGAGGGCGATTGTGGCTTCATAGGATCCTGCTTGACTCCAAAATATGTGCTCGCTCGGCTTCTCAATAGTTTCTAAGCTGAGCGTGTTGAGCATCTCTGCCGTAAGTTCACACGGTAGGAGTAGGATTCACGGCTTCGGCCTCATCGTTTGAGGCAGTTATAGCCAATCGCAGGTATGGTTGACGTCATTACACCCAGTTGCAACGCCCGTTACTTTCTGGGTTGGACACTCCGGCTTCCTTTGCTAGGTAATATTTCAAGTCGGTTGTGCCACGGGAGCCTTGTAACGTGACAGAGTTCCTCACTGAATGGCAGTCAGCAATCATCAAGACCGTTGCTCAAAACGGGACGTTTAAGGTTTATGTATTTGTGCAGCCCGGCTGCATTTGTTTCAATGTTCTTGCACATGATATGCTACTGGGCCGACATGGATCATGTCCGCTTTATACAGAGGGTCGAGCGAGCACAAACGTGCCAATTTCTGAGTTGCAGCTATGAGATATGCTTTGCTCCAAGAGAACGAAGCCTTTGTGGCACATTCGAGGCAAGAGAGATGGCTGATAAAGCGCGGCTTGTCTGAACACCGTCAGGTACATGCGCCATGAAAATTCAAGAGGAGCTACATTTTTCCGGGTAGGGTGGCCTCACATTCGGAGTGTTGGGTTTGTGCTTTGTGCAGGTAGCCTTAACCCAAGCCGTCAGATCTGGAAGTTTGGGTACAGGCTGCGTGAGGGGTCCGAGAAGCAAACGGAAACGAGGTTTTGCATGTGCTCCCCCAGCTTCGGATTCCAACATTGTTCAAGGCCCCCATGCACCAGCGGCTGAGGCAAGCGAGCATGCCTGAAGCCCGATCGGGACCAGGCTCCCTTTTCCATTGCTTTCTCCGGTGGAGGCCTGGAGACAAAAGGATGGACGCCCGCCTCAGAGTTCGCAGTACACAAGCAAAGGCTGCACGCACAAAAGGGTCATTCATTTGTATATCATATCGAGTAGTCTCAGCTTCTATCTGAGGGTCTGTAAGGTGCTGTTAGGGCTTATACGATATGATTAGCTTTTAATGCTTACAGTTTAATAATATTATTGAAACTCCGACTTTATTGGCTTTGCTTCACCCTCGACGAAGGGTGTTGTTGATTCTGGGGCATTGAGGTAGTGTTGTCATTCAGGAGCAGTTTGAGGTTGAATCGTGTTTAGCGACCAGTATGGCTTCTCTGGTTGCGTCGGAGACAAGTCCGCGAAGTGACCTTTTCAGAGGCGTGCGCGCGGCGGCCTTTCAGGCCGGAGTGCCTTCGAGGCATTTCGCATTGTGTTTTCCGGGAGAGAATTGGATTGTTTTTGGCCAAATCCAGGCCGATGGATTGATTAGATACGGTTGCATGCTCAATTATTCGCAAGTGTAAGTAGGCGTTGGCTGTATGGTGGAGCTCCAATGTAATTCACTTTCGAAAATCGAGTTATGGATGAACAGGACGCTCCAAGACCGAACCCCCGAAAGGGAGCTGAACTTCGCTGCAAACTTGTGATGTTTTTGTCGAAGGGGAACGGTAACGGATGTGACAGTGCATCACGTCTCCGGGGGCAATGACCAGTGCCTGCACCAGATGTGGATTGAAAACTTTCGTGTTCAAACCTCGAAGACTTGAGGTGCTTGACACTCTACTTGAGAGGGCTGATATGGCAACTAAACGTTCGAGCTCAGGTGCTTTGGCGCTTGGCAGAGGCTTGGTCACAGTGTTCGGGTTCTGCGAAGCTTTAAGGAGCATGGTGATGGCGCCGAACGGAGGATGGACAGTCCAAGCGGTCTTGACAGTAGGTAGCGGTGGTGATGATCACAAGCGTTTTGAAGTGCGCATTGCCGTAAATTGTATTTCCGAGCGTCTGCCAACCATATCTTACTTGTTGGCAGAGGCTAGTTCAAAATTGGACAGATGTCGCAGCATCGCACAGCCTTCCAGCAAGCATGATTTCATGGGAAATGTGAACAAGCAAGTCTATGCTATGCATCCTGACCTGTGAATCTGATCTCTTCGCCTTGACAAAGGCAGCTTCTGTCGTGATTGTTGATGACCTGAGCGTGTGGACCGGAACGTAGTTGACATACTGCAATCGGCGAGCATTCCATGCCTATGTTTCTGCATTTCGCTTCAAACACAGCCTGGCTGACATTCAACACGTGCAATGGCACAGAGGCCCGCTTAGAGCGGAGCCAGACTGACTGCACATGCTCAGAGCATCGGCTGCCACAAGCACCCAGCCGGCACGTTGCTCCTATCAGGGCTGACATACTGCTCTGGATCTCAGTTCGCTGACAGCCACAAGCATTCATCTGGCAGGCTGGCAAAATGCAGAGCGTGGAGCACTTCGTGGCTGTGTCAGGACCTCCCCTGAGCTGCATGCTGCTAGCGGCTAGCGGAAAGGGTGCTTAGCATGGTGAGGGCGCGAAATCCGTAATCACCAGGCGGCAGGCGGACCCTAGAGTACACGTCACCTCCTGCAAGTCCCACCGTGCATGGCTGCACACAAGCATGAGTAAGGCAAATCTTGCGGCCACCACCGACGCAGCAGCAGCAGCAGCAACAACAACAACAACAATATACTTACGATGTCAACAGAGCCAACCCTTGTATTGTCTGAAATGAATTAGTTTTTAGGGTGTTGGATACGATTCGGAAGTACAACTACAAGTTCATGTACGATTTGAATTTGGAGCGCCGGCAGCCTCCAATCATATGTGGAATCGTAGTTTACACGACTAAGTACGATTCCGAGTACGATTTGGCCAGTCCCGGCGCCCCACCCGCCCCACCCCGAATCGTACTTGGAAATCGTACTTTGCACGAGGAAGTACGATTCCAAGTATGATTTGGCCAGTCCCGGCCCCGCCCCGAATCGTACCTGGAGTCGCACTTGGAAGCGTACTTGGAATCGTACTTTACGCGAGAAAGTACGATACCAAGTACGATTTGGCCAGTCCCGGCGCTCGGCCTGCCCCGCCCCGAATCGTACTTGGAATCGTCCTTTACACGGGGAAGTACGATTCCAAGTACGATTTGGCCAGTCCCGGCGCCCCGCCCGCCCTTGGAATCGTACTTTACACGAGAAAGTACGATTCCAAGTACGATTTGGCCAGTCCCGGCGCCCCGCCCGCCCCGCCCCGAATCGTACTTGGAATCGTCCTTTACACGAGGAAGTACGATTCCAAGTATGATTTGGCCAGTCCCGGCGCCCCGCCCGCCCCGCCCCGAATAGTACTTGGATTCGTACTTTTCACACGAGAAAATACGATTCCAAGTACGATTTGGCCATTCCCGGCGCCCCACCCGCCCCGCCCCGAATCGTACCTGGATTCGTACTTGGAATCGTACTTTACACGAGAAAGTACGATTCCAAGTACGATTTGGCCATTCCCGGCGCCCCACCCGCCCCGCCACGAATCGTACTTGGAATCGTACTTTACACGAGAAAGTACGATTCCAAATACGATTTGGCCAGTCCCGGCGCCCCGCCCGCCCCGCCCCGAATCGTACTTGGAATCGTACATGGAATCGTACTTGGAATCGTGAAGGTACGATTCCAAGTACGATTCGGCCGCTTCGCCCCCGCAACGGATATCGGATCTTAGAATTGCACGTCTCCCATTGGGCACTTCCTGCGTGATCGTACTTGTTATCGTATTTCCAATTCGTACTGGAACCTGTACTTGTACTTTGCAATCGTACTGGGTATCGTATTGAAACCGTAAATTTAAATTATCCAGGCTTTACAAGGTCTGGCTGTCCACGGATATCATAACAATATACCGTTCCGTGGAAAAAGACCCTGTCTTTCCCCTTGACTTCAATGATTTGAAGCCCAAGTCAAAGCCCTGAAACCTTGCATCCCAAACCCTTGTAGGACCCAACATGGCCACCCTTGTAGCAACCCCAGAGTAATTTGTTGTGACCCATTATAGTAAACTGGTTTTGGCAACCCCAAACGGATGGAATCACAGGGGGCGCCTATGTGGCCTCGGCCTTTGCCTCTACGCTGACGGCAGAAACCCCGAAGCCGCAGGCTGTAGCGTGGGGGCGTGGGGGGGGGGGGGGGGGGGTTAGGAAGGTCCAAGGTGTTCTAGTTATTACTCAAGGCCCGCAGAGTACCCGATGGATGTGTTAGGGAAGGTGTTTGGTTTTAAGGCATTCGGTAGTCGTAATAAGCCTGGATTCAATTTATTCCAACTGTTATTATGGGCTCAGTAGGTTCATTTGGGAGATAGGGTCTTGGAAGCTCTGGGTGTTGTCGTGCTTTGTGTGGCTGTGATTTTGCCGCAAAGAAGCGAAGTGCTAAGTCCGGATCATCTACGTGCTAGGGATTGTTCATCATGGTGTACGCTGCATATACAGGAGATACACACTCGGATCCTCCGAAGCCCCTGAAGGTATCGAGTGTTGACAGGGATGTACGCGACGGGATTTACATTTGGGGGGTTCCAGGATGTGCTATGCTGCAAGGACGGGGCGCCCATGCATGTGCTTTTCGCCTCAGGCTTGAGTGTGGTGCAGGGCGTTGGGATTTGCATGTTGGAGGCCGAGGAACTTTCATCTACACATCTAGGTGCATAGCTCCTCAAGCCTAACAACATGGCTTACCGTTTGGGGCCCAGGACCGGAACGAAGTCACGAGCTTCTATCTTCGCTGTGCGGCGAAGACAGTATCTCGAAATGGAGACTATTGGAGAACACCTGGCCTTGGGGCTTGCAGTTTAAGAGGCAAGCTTGAGGGTTTGGCTGAAAAGTTCCAAATTTGCGGGGTTCTATTGCAGTTCGGAGGCTGAAGCAGAAGGGTTTACAATAAACCCCGGACCTGATCTTGGTTGAAAGCCCTTGACCCTTGATCCGGAGGGTTGGAGGGAAAAAATACCGAATGTCACAGCACTCGAAGACCCCAAGCTTGAACGTATTCTCTACCAGGAGGGGGGGGGTCTATCTCTATTGCAGTCAAAGCGACTCGAAGCATTCAGTCATGCGACCAGAGCCCCAGCCCAGTGCGGCGCTGCAGAACTAACCCCCCAAGCACAGCAGACAAGTATGTGGTATGTCGACATGTCAACCCTCAAGTTGCAGTCAGTCCGGATGCGAAGGCCTCAGGTCCATGAACTTACCTCTGTCGTTCTGCAGACTTATCCACATCGAATCTTTAGAGTCGCAGAGGGTGTAAGACCCACAACTTGAACCCAACGGCTTTCAATTAAACATCTAAGCAAGGGACTTCCGTCTTGGTGTCCGGGCCGCAGTGAACATCCCGATGCCAAACGTGTCGTGCAGTATAAAACGCAAAAAGTTCCAATTCCCTCTCCTGTATTCATACAGCTACTTGCGCCCTCTAGGATCCAGAGCCTCTGCCAAATCCTAAGCCCTTCGCATGTAGGACTGTGGTAAAATGGAGAGGCTTCCCCTCAACGGCTTGTTCCTTAAGTGTTTCACTTCGCCAAAAGCCTTAGACCCGACGAAACCTTCCAAATCACGTGTCCCAGATCTGTCGGATGCAGCGGAATGTTAGCTATTTGGTGCGCGACCTTCGGCGAGGCGCGGTACACAGTGTTGGAACTTATGCTTGCGGTTCTGTGGCTCGTGAGGCGCTTGTCTTTCGATGAGCCTGGGTTTGTTGAGTACAGCCTGCAACACATCCGCTTTCGGCCGTAGATTGCTCGAGGCAAGCTTTGGCAAAGCGACGACGACGGGTCGAGCCGCGTGCCTCCCATCTTAGACCTCCCGCTGCTGGCGATCATGGGGATTTTCTCCATGCTCCCTGGAACATGATATTTTGGAAGGTCCTAAGAGCTGGAACCTGCGAGGACTGAGTGACAAGAGCTATCCTGCTTGTGACAGCAAAACAAGCCTGAGCCCTTTCTCTGGACGCTGTTGGCGCTGCTTGCTTCAGGTCATGCATTGTGGCCCATCAAGCCTAAGATTGCCGTGCATATACGATAACATGTATTCCATGTTCCACATTTCACCAAGGCTGATCAATCCGCTGACAGCCTTTGCTATCTACTTGTTTCCCTTCACCGAAGGCACATCCCGCAACGCTTTGTGCTGCGCCGGCTGTTTAAATGCCTTCAGTACCAACACACCAGCCGTTAGTCTTTTGTCTTGCATCGAGAGATGTTGAAGTGATGCTGCAACCAGGTCCGCATGATTCCATGAGACGGGATGAGCAAAGAGAGATTGTTCTTGCTCCAGCGGCAGAGCGTGGCACCTGCTCGAGATACCCGACGTGTTGGTGGATTGTTGCCTCGAGTCCTCAAGCACTTGCTGTCGGTAAGCTAGCATATTTACACTAACAGCTCGGGCAGTGTCCTTTTCGTGTCATTGTCATTCACGAGTACTGAGCCAAATTCTTGTGTTTCTTGTTCATATATTCAGGAGGTTCGGAGACATGTGACATGCCCGGGCTGCCATGTCAGCTTTAGGACCTAATGAAACGCTGCAAAAAAATCTCGTTGATGAAGATGACTCTTTGTCAGGTATCGACCTCTTCGAGGGGTTTGGGATGAAGGCTGCCTTCTGCGTTCCCGCCCGTGATATGGCTGCCGCCCGGCTTCACTGCTTCTCAGCACCCTCCTATACCTTGTCAGACTTTCGAGTGTTCCCATAACTCATGAGTTCTATTCCTGAGTTTATCATGGGATCCTGTGCTTGGGCGGTGGCTTCACAAGATGCCTGCTAGGTATTCAGGGGCTTGGTGCTCGTCCGTTCACCACCTGTTCCTGCTACACATCATCCGCAAGCCTAGTAGGTTGTCGTAGGTCGTAAAGCAAGTGCTTCGGGGTTTCATGGTTTGGCCCGGGTTTGGTGTTCGGTAAGGCCTTCCCTTAAGTTGCATGATACTCGATCCAGACTCTAAGCCGCCCCAAGTTCCAGGTGCCCTTGCCTTGGCAACGTAAGAACTATAAACAAGTCGAACCTACAGACCCTGCCCACCAAAACCTGAAACCCCGATCTCAGCCCAGATACCGATCTTCAGCATTTGGGGGCCATCCTCTCGCTCCTTGATGTTCCTGACTCTCTCCGTGCGATTGTGACGAAGAGATGGTTTTGTCTTCAAGTTTTATACGGTGGTTGTGTAGTGTGAAGTGTAGAAATTGTTGAAAAAGTACCCCGTTACAGTACCCTTTGACTTGATTAGCGGGCCGTTAGTTTGCCGGCTAAGCTTGGATAACCTGATATGAAGCTAAAGGCCTGCCCTGAAGCCTGTCTCACAGTCCGACGCTATACCTGTTGGTATAGATGTTTGTTTGGCTTTTCAGGGTGTCTGCTTGGCGGCCGTGCCAAAGTAGTAGTGATACGGTGGATTGTGTGGAGCCTTGCCTGCCTTGTGCGAGAGTGAGCGTCGAAACCTTGAATTGGTCTTCCTTGCAACGCCCAATCGCCCTTACTATTCAGTTTTCGGACTTCCGTATGGGTTGAGCTGTTCCATGTTTGGCAATGTGCACTAGACTCCTTCGGGCTTCTAGAGGGGTTTCACCAAGGCCTGGACAGAACTGGACATCGCATATTATATGAAATTATTTAGCAAAAATACATGGTATAGCACAGTATAGTATAATATAGTGTAATAGAAAGTCAAGACTCATCAAGGAGTTCTCCCTATGCTTCATCATAGCTTTGCTAGATGAAAGGTCTAAGATTTATTGTAGCGGCGCGTCTGATTTAGACTTGTGATACAAGCCTAGACCTGAACCGACAACCATGACGAGCCCAGGATCATTTGTGTCCTTTCGGGCTTTGCTTTGTGGCTCTTCTCCGCATTCCGAGTCTGCAATGTTTGGAGGCATCCCGCCGGAGAGGCCCTGCATCCTCTAAGGGATCGGGTTCTGAGCTTCAGCCCGTCACTTACATCCTTGTCGCGAGGATCTAAACACCGAAGTTTCCCTTTCAACTCAACACGGCCCCTTCCTTGCGCCTCGAGGGAAAGCACCGCTAGCTTTGGGCGGGCCCCGAAAGGGACGATCTGGGCGTCAGGAATGGAGGACCCGAGTCCCGGAAATGTCCCGCAAAACAGTCGTACTTGTAATGATGGCTCCCAAAAGAGGCCCCTTGTTCTAGGAAGCCGCCATCGCAAGGGATCGGGTATGTTCGTTGTTGAGTTGCTGGTTAAGGATTTGGAGCTTGGCAGCAAAACCGAGTTTACAATTTGGAGAATTTTGCAACTAGAAGTTATTTAGAACGCTTGCCTGATATTTACTCTTCAGGGGCTTGGTTTCAGGCCCATGTGAAGCACGTGAGAGAAATGTGGGCAATCCATCTTTAGACACCCACGCCGATAGTTTCTCCGGACAGGTGCCTCGGATTGCCCAGATCATGCTCAGCCTTCGAGCCGTGATCGTCCGTGCGTCTGTGATTCAGATGGTGATCTGGGTGCTTATCACAGGACCCGGCATATCCTCTGTCGTCGAATTAGGGCTTCTAGGGATTCTAGGGCCTTATCTAGGACACTCTGGGATTCCAATCCTAGCACTACTCCCTGAAGCTGCAAGCTTAAGTTCTCATGCACCTTCGCTCTGCATGCGAAAACACTCAGGCACACCGTGTTGCATCCCGCAAGCCATCCATTCCGCATGTGACGGCTGTGACGGCATTATCACTGGTATGGGACTACTGAAAGCGAGCGGGGAACGGGGGACTTGGCAAGCAGGACGCATGTATAGGGTTATCATGGGGGCAGTTGGTCTCAATTAGAGTACTGTCAGGTTTGCTGTCAGTGTAGCTACTAAGTCTACCGGTCCTCCAAGTATCAGGAGCCTTCCTTGCTGAGCTGGGCACCATGCCCGCTAGCGATCGCTTCGACGCATGCTCGACGTACATCCGCTGCTGGGCTTGAGGGGTTCGTGCTTAGGCTTTTGGGATTTAGCAGTGCGCAGTTTGTTCCGCATCAAGGATCCTTCGATTCGAGGATCTTTGTTGATGTCTATAGCATCGGACATCAGATGCGGGTCTCCAAACCTGAGAGTGTGGCATGGCGTGAAGGAGCAGTTTAAGAGTTAGATTCGAAGAGGTCGTTCCTGCAGTCGATACCATAACCTGTCTATATACATACATATGCATGTATGCGTATATATATATATATATATATATGCTCACCCCCCCCCCCCATGACAGACCGTCGTAGGAAGGGGAAGGGTGGCGTGCGTCCCCAGGCAGGATCTGTCAACGGATAGGCGACAGACACTTCTCCCAAACTCAATTCCAAAATGTTCTTTTAGATGGTTTGCAATTTTTGGAAATTTCTTCACATGCATGCAGCGCTCCTAGTCCCAATCTTAATCTCAATTCTGCTCTTCGTACCACTATTACTGTTTGTAGATCTTAATTCTTGTATCAGTGTTAGCATTAGTATTAGTTTTGTGGTAGTATTGATATTAGGATGTTTAGTATTAGTAATAGTATTCGAATTAGTATTACTCTTAGTATTAGCATTAAGTATGTAAACTGATGTTAATAGTAGTAGTCGTCGTACTAGCAATAGTTGTCGCACAGTAGTAGTAGTGGTAGCATTAGTATTGGTATTAGTATTAGTATGAGTATTAGTATTAGTATTAGTGACTAGTATGAGTATCAGTATTAGTTTTAGTATTAAGTATGTGTACTAGTAGTAGTAGTAGTAGTAGTAGTAGTAGTAGTAGTAGTAGTAGTAGTAGTAGTAGTCGTAGTAGTAGCAGTAGTAGTAGCAGCAGTAGTGGTGACATTAGTATTGGTATGAGTATGAGTATTAGAATTAGTAGCTAGTATTAGTACTAGTATTAGTGTTAGGATTAATATGTATTGTTCTTGGTTCTATTCTTAGTACTGCTGTCATTGTTCGTAGTAGTCCTAATCCTGGTATCAGTGTTCATATGAGTAATAGTTTTGTGGTAGTATTGATATTAGGATGGGTATTGCTTTAGTACTAGTATTGGTATTGGTATTTAGTATTAGTATTAGCATCAGTATTAGTATTAGTATTGAATAAAAGTATACATATCAATAATAGTAAATATGAACTCGTGATTATGTTCGTGCTGGTGTTAGTGCCAGTGTCGATGTCAATGTCAGTAATGGTACTCGTGTTAGTATTAGTATCAGTCTGAATGCTGGTTTTAGTATCTGTTTATTATTCACAGAAGTGCTGGTATTAGTATCAGTATTAGAAATAGTTTTGATATGTGAATATACTGATTGGTTCGTACATTTTGAGCTTAATATAATACAGTAATGTATTCGAACAATAGTATATTTGCATAGTTGAAGATTGCGCGAATATATTAGTACGTTGGTGCATGAGTACATTAGTATATTGGTGTATCATGATATTCGTATGTTAACGTAGTAGTATATTAGTATATTATTATAGTGGTCTATTACTACATTTACTATATTCGTATTTTACCTAATAGCTTATAGGTATATCAATATGTTGGCATAATGGCATGTGAACATGTCAGTGTACTTGCCTTTTACAGTATTCGTATATTACACTAGCATATTTAGTGATAACTAGTGTTAATGCCAGTGCCAATATCGATGTCAGTTTTAATCAGTCTTAATGATGAATTTAACATCAGTGTAATATTCGCGGACGTGCTAGTATGCGTATCAATACTATAGTTAGTTTTGATATATTAGTATACTGATAGATTATATAAACAGCTTAGTATACCAACACATTATAATGTATTCGAACAGTAATATGTTTGTATACCTGTATGTTTGTATGCTCTTAGTATATTAATGCATGCGTACGTTCGTGCATGAGTACATTAGTATATTGGTGTGCTATTATCTTCGATTATTAACATATTAGTGTATGAGTATCCTGGTATGCTACTTCATTCATCATATTCGTATATTATCTAACAACTTTTTTGGTATATCCATATGTTAGTATACCATTGCCATGTGTCAGTGTACTTGCATATTACAGTATTCGTGTCTTAGCAAGTTAGCATATCAATACAGTATAATCAGACGTTAACAAGTAGTATATTGTCACGTTGGAAACTGGGTATATGACAAATTAAATACGAATATACTACGTTAGTGCACGAATGCATTGATATATTTGCTTTTCAGATAGTGGTATGTATATCTGCGGACATTAGTATACGCAGGTGTCTGTTAGTATTGGCATTAATACCAATATGAATATGACTATTGGTAGGCGTAGGAGTGTTAATGTTAATAATAGTATTAGTAATGTGCATATTCGTAATAAAAGCATTAATATAAATGTCAACGTTAGTGTTAAAAGCACTACACAGTAATCTTACTTGAGTCATATATAGAGCAGATTCCAGCATTTCCAACATTTCCAAAATTTCCAAAATTCTCTCCCCTAACTTTCCGGATTTCCAAAATTTCCAAAATTTCCAAAATTCCAAAATTTCCAAAATTTCCAAAATTTCCCGACCTAGTCGACAGAATTTTTTCCAAAACATAAGGGCGGACTTTTTGGAAATTTTGGAATTTTGGAAATTTTGGAAATTTTGGAAATCCGGAAAGTTAGGGGAGAGAATTTGGGAAATTTTGGAAATGCTGGAATCTGCTCTATATATGATTCAAGTAAGATTACTGTGTAGTGCTTACTATGTAGCGTATCAGCACAACCCTCATCCATACACGTGTGCTCTGTAAGTCCTTTCTTGGTAGGACACCCGCGCGCCTTATCGTGCTGCTTTCTGGTCTCAGTCTTTTGGTGGTTCCAGGGATACGTTCGGAGGGCTCAAACTCGATACCCCAGAAAAAGCACGAACACGCCGGTGGGAGCGATGTTTTGAAGGGGATGGTCTGTCATGGGGGGGGGGTGACCATATATATATATATATATATATATATAATTTTACATACCTGTGGCACACATGTTATCATACATACACGATCTTGCATGAAGTCCCTGACAATCTGAGCTCTGGAGCTCCAAGGAAGCCGAACTGTTTTCCAAGACGGTTCGGTCTTCTTCAACTGCACCTGCCGGGACCGTCCTGGATTTGTCACTGGGGAAACAGGATAAGGGAATCGCAGCGTTGAGCGCAATTTAGAACATTTGCTAGTCTAGCGCTGCTGGCGAGAGAATCCTAAGCCCGAAACAAGAGAGTCGACCTGAGGCCGTGCCTGCATCTGTGAGTGTGCGAGTCGAAATCAATGGCTTGGAACGGCTTTGGGGTTCATCGAGTGATCTGAAAGGCTAGCGGATTACCTGCACTTGCATTGTCGTGCGTTTCAGCTCTTTATTTCGGGTGGAGCACATTTGCTGTCATGGGTCTAGACTAATTTGTGCTTGGGATGGCTTCGGCTCAAAGGTCGTTTCTGCTATGCGACAGGCTGTACGGCCCCTGCCCACCCGCGCACAATGCATTCCGAGATGCAGATCACCTTCGCGGCAAGTCGTGGATCCTCCGAAGTACTACTCTTGCAGAGCAAGGTCGAGAGGATTCTTGAAGTAGCAGTCGAAGCCGTGGAGAATGCGCGTTCCAAGGCACTTCGCCGCCGGGTGGGGCAGCGACTCCGTAAGAAGCTCAGCAAAGTCCTGCATCAGGAGGAGTTCGAACAGGCCTTGGCGATTTTCATGCAGCGGGAGTCTGAGCTGAGCAGGGAGGACCAGCAGGGGAGTTGCGACTCCGTCCAATCACCGCTCTCCTCGGCAGATGTAGGATCCTTATCCAGGCAAACCACGCTCCAGCCCATGATCGCAAACAGTGCCGCTTGCTCGACCAGCCTGCCACACCAGACAGCGATTGCCATCCCAGTCCCGGTGATCGCGGTACCATACTTCGTTCCAGTGCTTGCGGCACCTGCTAGAGCCGTTGCACAGCAACCCGGCCATCATGATCACGAGGTTGGTGTCCCATCGGCTGCAGGTGCTCAAGCACTGGAGGAAACGGAGTTGGAGAAGACACCCTTCTTGCGGTCCATCACCCGAACCACTGGTACCACAGAAGATGGGGCATCAACGCTTTCCGCTATGGATGACGATGACATCGCAGAGCGCCGCCTGGACTGGCTACGTGCTGTCTCCGAACAGAGCCCTGCACCGGTTGAGCGCACCTTCATCCAGTTCAACACTAAGCTGTCAGTGAGTCATCGGAGATCGAGCTCCCGCTAAGTTTACTGCGATTTGCAGGGTCCTAGAGGTGCATGAATCACCATGCGCCTCACGGCAGAGCCCGCTGTAGGACCGGGGATTTTCCTGAGAGCGTAGTTCATACGGCCATTTTGGCATTTTCTGCCACTGGAGACCTTTGGCTGCAAGCAGGGCCGAGTTCCTTGAATACCATGAACCCTTAAACCCAACAACCCTACAAGTAGTAGCAGTGGCAGTACTGTAGTGTTGCCTGGAAGACAAGACCCAGACAGATGCTTGCGATCATTAGCAATACCCCGAAGCCCTGTTTGAAGTTTGAACCAGATCTTTTCAAGACATGTTTGCTCGCCTGGGCCCCTGTATGATAGTCCGGATGCTGGCATTTCCGAGTCGTGTGTTCGGCATCTTCACGTCAATTCAACGCTGAGGAAGGGGGCCCGGGATTTCAAGTGACCAATGAGCCCAGAAGATTCCATCACTTCAGCATCTGATGACCGGGAGAAGCTACCCGATTGTTGGAGTGTAGTTCGAGTCTTTGACCTACATAGGACCCAGATCTTGAGCCTGGCTGTTTAGTACTCCTTGCTGGTCGTGAGACGCTGAGTCTGCTCTGGAGTTCACGCATAGCCTTAGAAGGTGTTTGTGCGTGATAGTGTTTGCGGAGCAGAATCCTCCGGGATCAGCGAACTCCAGGTTCTATCGCAGAGGAGCTGGGGAGATGCTGCAGCTGCCAATAATCCCTCGAAAACTACTTAATAGACATGCCACGCTGGTCAAGAAGGTTTGCATGGATGAGCAGCGACGGTTTTCCGCTCCACCGCGCCATTGGTCAAGACCTCGTGGTCTCTCCGGTAATTCGTAGTTCCGGTGCTGGTTGTATTCTGTCTCCTCCGGATTTACTTTGCAAAGGAAGCCAGAAGCCTGAGCACCTGAGTCCCGCAAACTCAATCACAGGGATTCACCTATGACTTCTATCGCATAATCCGATCGCCAACACTCGTTTCCTAGCCTTATGTGCCTGCTCTGTTAGGCGGTAGAATGCAGTAACTCTTGTTCACGTCGCGGGTTCCATCGCTCTCGCATGCTCTCGCTATGCTGTGGTGTTCTTTTCACTCAGACGGAAAACGAACCGCGAGGCACAGTCCCGTTGCCCGCACGGTGATGGAATGTTTAGTGTCTGTCGAATCTTGGAAGCTAGTTGTACGAAACTGCGGTAACTAACACTATGGGGTTTTCTACATACAGTATCAGAGGAATGAAGTTGTTGTAGATTGCAGGCACCGGACTTTGTTACATACCATACTGACGTCCTTAATCTGGCAAATTTCGAGCGGACATCGCCTTCCGACGCTCGACGTCAACAAGGTCCGAGCATGCCATACTGTTCGATCCTCGGGCCTCCCTATGCTCTGGAAATGGGAGTTTCCGAAAGTTTCTATTTTGGGGTCCTTATACTAAGGATCCTACTATGTAGGGGTGCTAGACTAGGGTCCCCTGTTTTGGGAAACTGTCAAATCCCTCCAAACTTGCCATATCGTGGTTCTTGCATAGCACGACAAGTTCGAGGCGTGCGTAGTCGCTGCAGTCCGGCTCGGGCATGATTCGGCTGGGACTGCTAGGTTAGGAGCGCTCGCTCATTCTGCGGGGTTCTGCTCTGGCTAAACACTATCTGCACAAAAACCAGAATCGATATTCTGGCATGAAATCTCTCTCGCGATGATGGCCCTGTGTTGCTGCAGGCGTCGTCCTTGTCGTCGTGGTCGTTGTGCACCTTTCACTTTTTAGGTGCTTACTTTGGAATGTTACTTGGTGTTGAGTTGAGCTGTCGTCTTTTCATCATGCGAATCTCAATGTACGTCTGGGTGATGTGGGGTACCATCTGTTCATCCGGAGGCTGCGGAGTACTTCTGCGGTAAGAGCAGCTTGCGCCAACTTTCAAGTCTTTGCGGCTGTTTAAATTTGCACACCGTGCTACGTTTCGTGAAGGTCCTGAGCTCCGGTGGTCCATGAGGCTTCGCGCACCTAGTTCCAAAGACTCCAGCCCCAGAAACGCACGTCAAGCTTTCAATAAGCGGTTGAACGACTTTTGGACCTTGGAGTTTTCGCATCTAAGCTTTCGCTCACACGTGTCCGAAAGCAATTGGGGTTGAAGGCTTATTATAAGTTTTGTGTTTAGGGCTTGGGTTGGAGTTCAGTATTTCAGATCTGGGAAGGCGGGAACGGATTGGGCTGAACTCTTATAAAATCCTTCAAAACCCTACAAAACCCTACCAGCCCTAAGCCCTGTACCCTACAGATTGCAATTGAAGCATGGGCCATTCCTGCTCGGTGACCTCGGGGCCGTCTCTCTCCGAGCCGGTCCCGGCACAAATATCATACTGTAGTACCTGAATTTGTGAGATGTTGGCCGTATAGCAGCTTTACTATCTACTAGCTATCGTAAACTTCATGCTCCAATGTTTGCACACATAGCGCCTTTTTTGTCATATTTGTTATCGTAGCTTTTCTTATGATCAATATCGTGCACCCCTGCTGCTTGTACAACGTGGGGACATTCGCGTGCGGAGAAGCACAGCTGGAGCCTTGGTCGAACCCGACTCGGGCTGCCATGCAGGAGGCATTCGCCATTCTCCGTGGGCCTTCTCCACCCTTAGCTGTAAAGATTCCAGTGCAGCTGTGGCATTGCACTTCTGCGCAAATAGCGCAAACTGCGAGGCCTTATTTCCGAAGGCTTTTCTTGCACCGGTTCAACTCTACAGGGATCACGGTATTTATGAAATCATGGCCAGGCACAAACCATGGAAAGGTTATGAACCGCTTCGGGAACAGTGCATTTGCGGTGAATACTGAACGATGCACTGACAAGGCCGGATCCTCACGTGACGCATTCCTGGTTTAGAAGGATGGTCCGGAGTCCAGCAAGTTGCGATTTTTGTTCATGGCGTTGGTGCCCAGATCGATGCGCCTGCATGGTGTACTGAGTACCCGTGCAGGAACACAGACTTCAGACAAATCAGACTTGTTTTCTTGACCATGTCACGAGAGACCTGGGACTCACCCATCAAAGTGTTATGAGAAGGCTTTTTTTGTGTCGGCAAAGTCTGTTAAACGCTTCACTTCGGCATGCGGGGTGCTCAACATCTCGACTTGGTGTGAGATTCCATTCTCTTAGTCTTGGCTTTGTCTATCCTCGGTAGCTGAGGCCCGGGACTTGGCAAGAAGATGGATAGCCTGGTACCTACTGTATGGGACGGTACGTGAGTTTAGCGAAGCTTGAGCCATCTGCCTACCAAGCCTCGGCACTCCCCGAATGTGGGGCACGGGCACGTGAAGGGCAAGGGGCCCACGACTCCTCCTTCCCAGCTCACTCTTTCCATGGCCACGCGCTGATCAGAGTTTTAAAGCCAGGTCAAGAGCAACATAACGGACGGCAACTAGCAATGAATATGAAGGTAGGGTTTCTGGTGCTTTTCGTTCACCAGCTCTTGGTGTCGAGGGAGACTACGTGCTAGGAGCCTATATGTTTCATCATACTTCGGACTGCAGGCCTGGCCGTGTCTAACCGTATCCCGGTCCTATTTGCGCGCCGGCGCAGTGGAGGGCACATCCTCCAGACGATCTGTTTCGGGGGTGGCCGGGTGGTTTCGACCGCGGAGTCGGAGCAGAAGACATCTGTTCCAGGCTTCAAGGAAAATTATGAAACCTATATAACTACTGCGCCTCACGACTTGGGCAGGACAAGCCAAACCCAAACTCTTTTTCATCGCCAGAGTGCACCAGGGGATCCTAAAAGCCCAAGCTTAAAAGCCCTAAGCCCTTTTCCCCTGGACCTCCAAGCCTCTCCAATCTCGAGCCAAAGCTCCCGCCGAAACCGCCGATGGCACCAGAAAGGGCCAGAGCCGAGCCGTGCGATGCCTTGCTTAGCCCCCATCGGCCCCCTAGTGCCATAGTAGTTCTTTTTTGGGATTACCTTATTATGGGATTCTACATACGAGCCCCAAAAAGGAACTACTTTGGGGCCTATGGGTATCTTACCCTTCAAGCGAATAGTATAAGGCAAAGCCACTACCACAAGGACATCAGGAGGGTGAGTCTGTAGTCTGTATACAAACAAACCATCAGCAGGGAGTGGCAGCAAGATTTCGCAAGCCACGGTTGCTTATCGTACAGAGAAGGCGGACAGGTGCTCTGCAACATACCCATACCACGACGATGACCTTGCGTCTGCACAAAACAGATTGAGAGACGTTCCCCTCATAGGCACTTGTCGGAGCTTGCTTGGACAGGGTGCTTGTCAGGATGTTGGCTGTGATGATGTTGTTTATGATGTGGAGCTTCAGCTATGCAGATCTGGGACAGACTGGTTCTGCAGGGATGAGAGCAATGAGAGCAGTAGTATGTATGGGCAGTGAAGCAACGGTAGCAACACTTTGAAGATGTTTCATGCCGGAGCAAGAAGTACTAGTTGCATTTGGTGACGGCAGCATAAACTGGGGCAAGCATGAAGCAAGCAACAGTAGCTTCATACTACTCGTTTTGTAGTAGTGAAAGCAATAGCCATCGGTTTGCAACCGCTTCCATTCCACTGCCAATGCTCTCGGCGGTTGCAATCGGGGCGAAGATACGTGACGATGGCATGCTAGGGTCTAGGTTCAGAGAAAGCTGAGTGCTCCGTCAACCTATGAGGTTGTAGTAGTTACACACGGCTTAAATCGTGTAGTTTTAGAAGCTTCTGGCTTCAGTGACAGGCTAGTAGCTGCTGCTGGTGATGGTGGTGATGGTGCTAGTGGCAGCAGTATGCAGCAGGCAGCTGTATACACACTATTATGAAGATGGAGTGAAGGCAGAGTTTGATTCTATCAAGCAGTAGTAACCAGGCCAACAGGCAATGAATCTATTTGCAAACATCTGACAATTAGGATCATATCTGTACATTAAGACGTGGCACAGACGGCAGCATTTGCAAGAGCCTCAGCAGCAGTAAAAAGAGCATCCATGACAGCCATTAGAAGACACACTTGCAGGACCTGTATGCAGGGTATCCCTGGTGGACGTCGTCATACTTCGTCGGAGGCGGCTTTGGCGATCAAATCATTTTCTGCCCAACTACAAGCAGGGGCTGTCTCGTTTTCGTGTTAGCAATCCTTGGTATAGCCCTGTTGCTCGCCAAAGTAGCACGCGGTGCATGGAATCCACATATATTTTGTTCATTCAAAGCTTGGGGTATGCCGTCGCGGCCAGCGCTGAGAATTTTGCTCAGCTGGGCTTTTTCGCAGACTTTGGAGCGTTTTGTCAATGAAAGCTTCCTGCTTCTGCTGAATTGTCCTTCACTACATAAACTCCGCAGAGGCACAATGCGAATCGCGATGAATCGCTCTTGCATCAGCGAACCTTTCGCTAATTAACCAACCGCACGCAAGCCTTTCCGAAGCATCATATTTGGCTGAGACTATTTCACGCAGCCCGAGCAGCAGATCATCAACGCCACCATGCCGGGTTTACCTACGTGGAGGTCCATCGAAGCACTCGTTCTATTCTCGCGACACAATGCGAAGGTCCAAAGTCGCCCTGTTAGAGGCGCACTGAATTCAGGTTATGCTTGCTTTGGAGAATCCTGTTAGCTGACCCATCCCCCGTAGTTAAGGACGAAGGATCGATGGTGTGGTGGTGGCAGGGTCATACTTGCTTAGGCACCTTATACACGCCACCGCGGGGCTTCAAGTTTTCGTGCTGCCAAGAAGGTGAGATACGGGCAAAGCCCCCACTGGTACTGAGCATGCCCGAACATGTAGGATAGCTCAAGATGTTCAAAACATTCACCGAAGTCGTCATCTTGGTCATGGGGGGTAGGGGGCGGGAGTACGAGAATGCAGGGAGTCGTAGAAGTAGGAGGAGAAGCAGTAGGAGTAGGAGGAGGAGGAGGAGGAGTAGTAGTGGTAGAAATAGTCATAATATAGTGGGCCTGGGTGGTAGTCGTAGCAGTATCAGTAGCAGTAGTGTGGTAGCAGTAGTGGTAGTAGTAGTAGTAGTAGTAGTATTTAGTAGTAATTAGTAGTAATTAGTAGTAGCAGTAGTAGTAGTAGCAGTCGCAGTAGTAGTAGTAGTAGCAGCAGTAGTAGTAGTAGCAGTAGTAGCAGTAGGAGGTAGTAGTAATAACAATAATGTTCGTAGTCACAGCAGCAGTCGCCCTCGTCGCAGTCTCAGTAGTAGAAGCAGTAGCAGCAGCAGTGGTAGCAGCTGCAGGAGCAGTAGTAGAAGCAGCAGCCGTAGGAGGAGGGAGAGTAGGAGTAGGAGTCGTCGTCGTGGTGGTGGAGGTCATGGCAGCAGCAGCCGCAGAACTGCTACTCGGGACAGTAGTGGTAGATACTAGTAATACTAGTAGCCATTCGGCATAGTCGCGCTGTCTCTCCCGGATTCTCGGGTCGGGGGCATGGGTCATGCAGCTCGCGGTACAGGCACATGTTGCTGAAAGAGGCGGACTTGGGCACAGAGCTGAGGAGAGACCCCCAAGGGCCCGGGATCAGGAGCTGCAAGGTTCCGCAGCAACACTGAATGGTTGTTTTTGGGGCCGCCTTGTTGTTGTTGAGGATTTTCTGTGAAACCTCGGCCGGATGTCCGTTTGGGGCCTGGGGGTTTGCATTCCCTGAGTGTCCCCCGGACGTAGATTCGGCACCGCTAAGAGGAGGCTAGACAGGCTTTGACAGGAGACTGGTGAGTTCAGCTTGGCAGGACAGTTCAACTCCTCCTGAGGGTCAACTCACTTCTGCTCCCCGGCTGCACATATTTAGGGGACAGGATAGCAATAGGGAGGCTTAACACCAAGAGAACCGCAATTACGGCTAGAGCCTCGCATGACCTCGTCGAGAGCGAGTGTCAAAAAAAGTACGTGGCAGGTACTGCTACCGCTTGTTGCGCTTCTGCTGGTAGTACTGCCGAGATATCCGGACTGACAGGGGCCAAGAAGAATGGACATGATCATGATCGATGTTGGAATGAACTTGCTGCTCAGTAGTTTGCGGCTGTAGGTGCCGGTTGGTAGCTTTTCGCTCCGGTCTTTTGCTTCGCACCACAGCTACGACAATCTCTTGGTTGTGGCATAGTGCGGAAGAAGACAGCCGATCCCGCTAGCTCACAGAATGAAGATGCAGATGATCAGCATGCTCATGGCTATGAGTATCCATGGACGATTCGTTGCATGGTGATGCAAAGATGATTCTGTTGCTGTTGAGGGCGGTATTGATGGGCTTACAATGGGACAAAGTTGCTGGCCTTCTGGAAATTGAGAACATTAGCCGCTTTGCCAATGGGACAGATAGCCGCTGATTTTGAGATCCGATCTTGTGACCTACGCCCGAACCTCGTCAACTCCCGCTCACCCCGGCCAGTTTCTTCCTGCACAGGCATGACAGCCTCAAACGTGTGTCCAATGCACTGGGAAAACCCTCCATCGGGCCACTGATCGTTGCGGCTTTGATCCTGGAATGCAACTTCCGGGAAGTCCGATTCGGGAGTTTCCTTTTGCGACCTTAACATATCCTGGACTCGTAGATCGCTCTGTAACCTGACCCATAAAACATCGCATCCTCGCCGCCAGGGCTGTTGAGCCTACGTATCCCTCGTGGTAAGGTGCAGGTTGTAGACCGCCTGAACATCAGAGATCCCACAGCACATGGCCTTATAGTTGGGCTTACTTGTCATGTAATCAAGGTATACATACATGTGTATATATATATAGAGAGAGAGAGAGAGAGAGAGAGAGAGAGAGAGAGAGAGAGAGAGAAAGAGTAATATGGACGTACGTATAAACATGTGTATAATTGCAGACAACGTGCATTAAACCTGCGTTTGCGTATTGCTGCAGATATTACCCCTTGCCCCCAATACTCAACCTCACCGTAATCATTTTCGGGGAGCATTTGGCCCAGAAAGCACCCGGCTAGTTTAAAAGGGGCACGACTGCGGTCTAACAGGAGCCAGTGCGAGTGTGTTCTAGAACGTGTGAGTTGAGTTCCTTTGCCTCTCAATACGAGTGCTACCCTACAACAACTACCGCCACCCCCACCCCCACCCCCACCCCCACCCCCACCACCACCACCACCACCACCACCACCACCACCACCACCACCACCACCACCACCACCACCACCACCACCACCACCACCACCACCACCACCACCACCACCACCACCACCACCACCCCACTATTCTACTACTACTGCTACGTCTCCTGCTGCTGCGCCCACAACTACTAATACCACTGTGACGACGACGGCGACGACAGCGATAGTATCACCAGCGATTCTACTACAACAACGGCTGCGACGACGACTACTCGTACTGCGCCCAGTACTGTACCGCTTCTAAGAACAGCAGTCACCGTCATAGTCGTGGCAGTACTCAACTCCGAACCATCCAATGGTAGGAGGTGCTACAGTATTTCATGCGTTCGCAGGACTCTTAGCCAGAGGTCAGCACTTAAGTGCTGATTACCCTCGTAATATGCATTCCACTCTTAGATCTTTGACGGGAAATGTGCAGGATTTTCGCATGTCTTCCGCGCAAAGAGTCCAGCATCCCGCCTGTTCAGCGGCCTGCATGTGAAGCACACTGGGCCTCCACACCCCAAACCCTGAAAAGCCGCATCCCTACACCCTACACCGACGACCGGGTCAACTTCCCCCACCGAAGACCGAAGCATCTTCAAATTCAGGATATTGGCTCTTGTCCTCAATCCGTTTATCCGCGGCATCTTTCTTCGAGCAATGTCCCTTTTGGGCCCGGCCACTAGAGCAGCAAAGACATGTCTGCTTGAGGAATCTTGAGGGCGTCTGTTGTCTATGGCTTGCGGCTGCATTGAAGAACAGTCTGCTCTTTTGCGTCATCTTACGGTGCTCCGTTGAAATCTTTGTTGGATGGCTTCGCAGCCGGTAGCGGAAGCTTGCGGAGCTGATGTTTGTGTGTACCGACAGAGCAAGAGCAGAGGTGAGCGCTTTGCTAGCGACCGGCTGCGTGGTCCAGCATCGGATTTTTTCGCCCATCACGCAGCGGCCGCGGGTCGGCAGTGATCGCGCACTAAGAGCTGTATTGGGTTTGGGCTGGTTTGGAAAGCACTCCTGAACGAAACTCGGAGGATCACCATGCTGAATGTTCTTTCCGATGGAGCCCCTGTTGCAAGAATGTACAGAGTTCGGGCCCACATGCGGTAAGTAAGATCATGCTAAGCTGCACGAAGCCCGATAAAATCCGAAGCAGAAGCCCCGACAGTCTCCATATCAGAACGAGGTTGAAGAATAAAGAACATGACTCCAGTGAACGAGGTACCGCTGTCGAGATCGCCTTCTCAGAAACTCATATCATGATCTGGGCAGGGTTAGGCGAGCTTGCAGACTCAGGACCTACTTTTTTGGCCTCATTGGTCCACCACATGAGCCTTTGTCCGCACATGTTGGAACTCGGGCCTTTTCGTGGCTTCTTTTTCGCCAGAATTTTGATGCCGAAGCGCAGCTTTGTGCTTCCTGCTTAGGTGAGCTCGCACATGTCGGGGCTCTGGATTGTCAATCGGAGGTGTTTCGAACTGCAGCAGGCTTCTGTGCCGTGAACTTGCGTAGACTTCCACCCTAGTTTCCTAGATCGGCTCCCTGCATGAACGATATTCCAAGATATATCAAATCAAAATCATGTTGCAGCCTTGCCGCGAAGATAACGGCACATGAAGCGACATGTCAAGCGATCTTCGGATGACATAGTCCAGCGATGCTCCGACTCTTGTGATGGCTCGGCGACTGGCCACAGGAAGATGAATCATGGCTCAGATTCGGTAGAAGTGTTGGTGCATGAAGCAACATCAGGACTGGTACGTCGGTTTTGGCATTGCCACGTTCATCTGCTTCTCAGAAGCAGACCAAGAGAATTAATAGCTGGATTCTTGAAGACAGTGGGCGAATGCCTAATTCCCTGCAGAGTTGCATCCTGCATTGCCACTCCGAACTTGTTGTTGCTCATGATGTGATCCGGTCTGTTAGGGTTAGAGCGCACTGCACTGAAGGATGAGCTGCCGCAACCTGTAGTCATGAAAGCCTCGGCTTTCAAGTCTTTCTTGATTCGCTTGCTTGGCATGTTGCGCAGAAGAACCAGCTCGAGCATGTGCGCAGGACGTCGGAATCGTTCTGTGCCCCGGGCATCCCACGGCCTCACCTTAAAAATGTGTGAAATGTGGATGATGTCAAAGTTCTGAAGTTCTGACCCTGAAGGAAACCCTGGCGCTTAACCGCAACCTGTGTATTCCCGGCAAGCCAGATTGGATCCAGGCGCTATCGTCATCGTTCTCTTCTATCACCACCTGCATTCCGTGTCGCACACCTTCTATGCACGGAGTTGGGAGCTCTGAACAGGGATTCAGGCTTGTCAATGCTAATGCTATGCAAAACATAGACATGGCGCACTACGCGCCGGGAATAGAGCCTCGATAATATCAATACTAATATGAGACCAGCCAGAGCAAAGCGTGAATAGTTAGGATGGGTAACGGGTGGCAGAATGGACCCTAGTGAAGCACCTTTTTGATGATGCACGCGCAGTTTCGTACAGTCGCTGAGGCATCATTTCCACCAGAAGCGTGGTAGGGAGAAGGGAGGGGAACTTCAGCTTCGGAATTCGCATGTCCTCTTTCTTGATTTCCAGGTATGGTCCTGAGGTTTGCCGTGTTGCGAGCATGAGAATGGCATTGTGCAGAACAGTTTTTTCTTCAGCCTTGCGAGCTGCGGAGAAGCCGAACGGGGTAGTCCTAGTAATCGCCCTGATCGTCAGGGGCAAGGCAAGGACCGGCCGAGCTACCCGCTACCCCAATCCCAAACGACATCCAAACGACCCTAAACCCTATACATATAATGATGTCTATGCTATACATTCGAAACCCTGCATCACAGAGCGATGGGCTTGAGGTCTCCAGAAGGCATACTTCGAGCATGGCAAGGACCAGACGTGGCCCCTGGATGGCAGCGACAAGACATCATAGTTCGTGCTTTAAGGGTTACCACACGAGTCATGTTTAGGATTTCCGGTTCATTTGACTTTGGTCTTGGAGTGCCTGGCTTGATTCGGGGCCGTTTTTGGGGATTGTGGCTTTGGACTCCAGGTGCACAGGTGCGCTGTAGAGTGGCCTGGGGCGTTGGTTGAGTGACATTTGTCATTCCGTATAGTAGGTAAGCTGGAAGACAACCCAGTTGATCCACAAACTGCTGGTTTAAGGCGCCTTCTCGGGAACTGCAGGGCACAGGGCAAAGGACTGCTGTTTGGTTTCCCGAGAAAGGAGACTGCAATTCGAGGGTGCAATTCGAGGGTGACCCTCAGCGACACCAAGTCTGTTTCGCTTCAACAGCATGGGTTCGACTGTCATGTCACCTCGTACACGATCGGAACTGCAACTGTATTCTGGCTGGGGAACACCCGTTTGTGGTGTAGTAGTGCCCGCGCAGCGAGGGTTTCGGTGGGTGTCGTAGGTTGGTGAGCAGTGGCTGCAACTGTAGATTTCGACTGGGCTCTTGCTCCCTTGGTCCTGGGCGGGCGCGCGAGATCCCTGGCCTTAGCCAGAAGTATGTGGGAGACTTCATGTCTCCTTCCGCATCGCGTTGCAGCGCCGAGTCGAGAGCACAGTTTCAGGGTTTCGTGATCTTTCGCATATTTCAGAGGTCCGATGTCAAGAACAACGACTACTGCCCACTCTTCCTTTTCACTGGTACGGTGACGGATTTTCGTCAACCCGGAGACGAGATGGCGACGCCTGACATGGCAGCTTGTGGTTTCTTTGTCTTTGGAAAGCTATACGGACTTCTCAAACCATTCTTTTGCTGACACCATTTTGTCTTTCATATTTGAAAGTGCAGCTTTTCGTTAGCTGTGGCTCCACTTCATGTCTTCATGTTAGCGGTGGGGTTACCATGTCAATGTACAAGGCACGTGGGGGGAAATGTTCGTGAGTTTCTGTCGTTTACACTGGTGTCAGTGTTGAGAGTGCTGTTTAATCCCTTGCGTTTTCTGATTCACATGATGCTTAGTTTCTCGCAGTGGTTGTACAGAGTGGAGGCTAAGTGAGCCAGTGGGTCGGCACGTGGGTAAGCGGCTTAAGCAAGCTGTGGTGAGTTTGCAAACAAGCTGAGTATCTGTGTTCCTGAAGTCTCCAGTTGCACATGCTGAGTTTTGACTACTTGCTTTCATCGCTTGGCTGACTTCCAGGCTTCTGGCCAGCCCACCTGCGTGTTTTTTTTTGATCGTTGCTGTGGCAATTCGGGTGGTTCTTCGTGCTTGCGCTTCTGAACCAGCAGTCGGGCACCCACAAGAAGGCATTAGCAAAGTCGGTCGCCCATCCTGGCTTGAAGGCAAGACGAAGAGATTGAGCGGTTTGCCAGGGCTGGATTGGTCGAGCAGCTGTGCATTTCTAAGGATTACAGAGATCTCCATGAGCCCACTTCATACCGGCTCTGTCCTCAGATGTGCAATTCTGCCATGCGAGAGAACTGATGCCCTGAGATTGATAGCTACCCCTGTTGATACCTTAGACCCTGGACCTTTGAGGCAGCGACAAGACGGGCTTTGTCGACACACCGAGCCTGGGTGTGAAGTGTTGTTCAGAGGTTCTGATCCGTCAGTGTTGTCATGATGGGATTGAGCATATTTTCGTACTCGCACAAAAAGCAACTCGTAGTAGCACGATGTTGCGATGTTGCAGTACTCCTTGTCGTGGCAGCGGTAGTCGCAGAGCTGTCGTCGTTGTCGTCGTCGTCGTAGTTGTAGTAGTCGTCGTCGTCGTAGAAGTAGGAGTAGGAGTAGCAGGAGCAGTAGCGGCAGCAGTAGCAGAAGTATCAGTATATAGTAGTAGTTGCAGCAGCACAAGCAGCAGCGCAATAGCAGTAGCCGTAGTAGGAGAGGTAGTAGTATAGTAGTAGTAGCAGCCGTAGGAATAGTAGGAATGCTAGTCAGCAGTAGTTGTTGTTCTTCTGGTTGTTGTGGCCAGGTTGCAGAAGCAGAGCTCTTGCCTGCCCAATCAAGTTCTTCAAATTCATCTTCAGTGTAGGCCCCGAGCACTTAAACCTGCAAAGCCTGCCAATCTGTAGCTGTAGCTCGTTAAGCAGCCGCTCGGAGGCCCTGGCGGAGCCTCGCAAAGTCTGCAGCTTTGGCGGCAGCCGCCACCGATGCCTTTATCATCGGTGCCCTGGACTTTGCATTTCGTTGTCATGTAGATTAGTGCTGTCCAGGCCGTGATACCGCATCACGAGTATGGGAGCTTCAGCTACCAGCCGTGGGCCACTGCTGCCGTGCATGGCATAGCCCTCTCTCGATTCACTGTCGTCCCTGCAACTTCCAGACCTCCGACCGCCAAGGATGCATGACATTGACCGCATACTTTTCGTAAATGTTCTCAGCGGCATACGCACAGACATATGCACACGAACAGTTTGAACTTCTGCATGCATAGACGGAGCGCGCAACTGTTCGTCTGAGGCATGTTGGATCGCGCACGGTCACCCTACTGCAGCTGCATTGGGGGTTTCGCTTTGTGGAGAGGTTCGCAGGG